CCACAACTCCTCACAAACCCCACCAAATTTAGTTTTGCATTAAATGCATTCTCTTTTGGAATATCATTCCACGGAGTCAAGTCGGTGAGGCTTTTCTTTTCATCTTTTGACCATTACTTCCACAGAAAAGTGAACCAAACATCCAAATGGAGAAATAACATTAACGGTTCGTAATCAAGCTTTCTCCAATCCTTGACTCGTCAATTACGTTGAAGCAAAAACTCGTGATTTTTTCAAGAACTTAAAACTCAGACAACAGAAGACGAAGTTCCAAAGACTAAATGTAAAATTAGGGAAAAATAACCAACAATAATTAGATTGAGGCGATCCAGTTAAGATTTTCTCTGAAACAAACGAAGGATGGATACAGAGTGATGGAGAGAGAGAGAGAGATGATTATACCTTGCGAGCATAGACTTCGGAGAGAATGGCGCCCCAACCTCCATGGCCGAAGCTCATCTGGACGATGGAGGATCCAAACAGAACGATCTGAGGTCGCGAAGGTCCTACCATTGTCTCGCTTTAAACACACAACCACGTTCTCTTCCTCTGTTCTGTTCACAAAAGCTGAAACTGGCCCTTCTTTCTCCACCGCAAATGATTTCGGCCGGTGAGAGGTAAAATCAACAAACCTGAGCTATCTCTCCGTATCGCTCTCACTTTCTTTCTTTCTCTCTCTCTCTCTCTGTATCGATCTCGCACACTCTTTGTTCGTAATGTGCGTGCGAGATTAAATGCACGAATGTCTCGTACTTTTTTCTTTTTTAAAATATAACAGAAAATTAAAAGGAAAAACAATAAAAAAACAAACAAACAAAACAAAAGCCTGCTTAGATATATATATCCTCTCAGAGCAAGTTCATGACGGGCATTACTGTTATTTCCTTTTTTAAGGATCTGTTTTCTCTTATGCCACATAGCCTTCTCTTTTTGTTTGTAACCACAATATCCAATGATTTCTTTTACTTTCATATTGACATTTATTATAAATTTCTTTTCCCTTCTTTATATATATATTCAAATGAAAAAAAGCTAGGAAAGAAAAATGATGTAAAAGCTTCTTCTGTTTATGTTTAGTTTAGTTTATGATTTTCACCAAATGTTCGTAGTACGGGTAGAGAGAGCTTATTTATGATGAGCAATAATTCAAATGATATGGTCGTTGGTTGGTAAGTAAAGGAGCACCAAATATAGATCAACCATATTTTAAAACACTTCATTCAATGCCCCAACTCTTATCTTTTTATAATAACCTAGTTAATCTGTAAGTAGTACTATATTGAAGGTTAATTATGCACTTAGCATCTATTATGGGTCAAGGTTTCTTCATTATTAATCTAATAATAGACAACAGAAATTGAAATAGGTTTCATTTTTTGTTATTCAAAAGATAAAATTTTAGAAACACTTTCGCTGCTTCTCAAGCTAATGGCAAAACTGTTTTAAAAGACCAAACACTCCTCAAGTGAAATATAGAGATATCAGAAGAAGATGAGAAAAACTAACTCAGAAGAAGATGAGAAAAACTAACTCAGAAGAAGATGAGAAAAACTAACTCAGCAACTCAAAAATCGAGTGCTCCGGATTTGGATGATCCTGAGCAGCTCCCGGATGTGCCATACGATGTTCCACTGGACCCATCCACAGGGGCTTGATTCAGACACTCTAGAGCCAAGAATCTTCTCTTCTTCAAGCTCATCGAGAATGTCTTTGCCTCCAGAATCACAGGCGCCTGTTTCATTAAACAAATCCAGACAGAACCATTGTGAATTCATTTTTTAAATCGTCTCCAATATAAAGTTCATGCCATTCTCATCAAAAGAGAGAGCTTGGGATTAGATGGGGACTTCTGGGTAACTTTTTGGGTAGAATTTTGGACTTCATAAGGCTTTTCTGTTGGAATTGTTTTTGATTTTAACGTATTTGCTAACAGGTTTCAGGGTAATAACATGTCTACATTGAGACTGAGAGATACGATTTGTAAATACCTGTGTGTTAATGCGCGCAACCTTGTGTATGTTGAGGAATCCATTTATGTCCTTGTAGCCAGTGAGAAGTGTCTCCAATTCCTTGTCACCATCTGGAAAAAAGGTCAGGACACTTGTTAGAAACAACGGAGATAATCTACAAACGAATGAGAAGATCAAGGGAATCAAACCTGGGATCGCTTTGATAGAGAGTAAGGTATCAGCCATGTGCTGCAGTCTTTTTGAGGAAGACGGGGAGAGCATGGAAGGCGGAAAAGTAACAATGGCTACCGCATTTGAAACCATCAGCATACTTTTTAGCAATCTTATGAATGAAAGCATGTCTGATTCCTGTGTTGACAGAAACAATAAATCAAAAAAACAACAAGATTAAAATATAACAACATGGCTTTAGAGTCCAAAGAATATTAGTTAAAAAGTAAACTGACACTTTGTTGAATGAAAATAGGCTAGAAGTTAAGAGAGCTCTTCGGCCAAATTACCTTTTCCGAATAGTCACACAGGGGAGAGCAGAATGACTGGATTGCGATGCGGCCAATGGATGCAATGCTACTGCTGTTTCTGTGGAAATGATCACACAAGTATTTCAGAAAAAAAGGATAAGCTTCTTAACAAAGCCAGAAACAATAATAGAAGAACTTCAACAATATCTGAACAAGTGACGAACTAGAACAATATCTGAGGATAAAACTTTTGGCAACATACTGTCTCATCTTTATATTGAGAGCATTTAGAAAATGAGCTTCGGCAAATTTTAACGCATAGTTATGGAAATGGACTAGCAAATTTTATGGATTTGAAACCAGAGAGAAGTAAATGACTATCTAATAAGAAAGGAATGCCACACAACCTCGGAAATTTTGATAAAAATGTAGCAAAGTAGTCCTGAGCAACGGAAAGATCCGAAGAATCCAACAGACTGACACAATCTATTGGCCGTCCGCTAAGAAATTGCCTCTCCAAGGGCTTTCTCATATCAAAGTCATTGGAGTAATCATCTGATACAGAGTTAAATAAGAGAGATTACGTTTCCACAGAATGATACTAGCTTACAATTAGCTCGATTCATTCGTGAATGACAAGCCTGAGACTATACAACCGCACAAACTAGATTACCAATAGCATTCTTCTGGTTTTCCATATACTTCCGATACTGCCAAGCAATCCTCAAGCTCTCTCCCTACAATATTGACAACAATGCACTTATGCACACTACCCAACTTGTAACTAGTTCATTCATGTCATGCCAGGAAAAAAAAAAAGAAAAGAAAGAAAGTACGAACAAGAAAGAAGCACCTGATCAGGGTCAGGCACAGTAGGTTTATCCTCTTTGGATGATGCAGGATGCGGCAAAGTACCAAGAAAACCTCTCGGATCTTTCGAAGGACTAGCATAAAGAAGTGGTTGATTGTTAACAAGCCCCTGAGACATGAAAGTTCTTAAGAGATCCATATGATGCGGTGCTTCAGGATCTTCCATCACCATTACTAAGCTCCCCAAAGGATACCCACCACCCAATATCCCTGGAAACAAATAAAAGACAATCCTTTTAGCACCAGAAACCAAAGTCTCTCATCCTCAAGTAGACTTGATGGGTAAATCAGAAGGAGAAATCTCACTGTCGAGATCGCGAATCCCGGTCGATATAAAGGTTGTGCCATTAGGACCGCATTTGAGACCAGGTATTTGAGGCGATGACACAACTGATATGTTGCGAGAGAAGCTGCTACTACGAACGTTTGGTGCAGCCATAGCCGAATCCACAAGAAATCACAAAAGGAACTCGCTACACGTTCAAAATCTAGATATCACCAAACCAAACAAACAATCGATAAGTAGTTAATAAATCCCATTTATATTTCACAATGAATTTACTATTTCTAACTCATTCAGACATTCCATCGAACATCTATCCTGCAGCATAGACTAAAACCGTAAATTCCCAGATAGCTTATTCAAAGAATAAACACGTAGACTAGAGATGAACTGATGAGACCTAGAACACACTGGAAATCGATACTACCAGCTACTTCTATGTGAACAAAGAGAAATTTACACGGCGTGTTACCTTTTTCGCCTTCTCTGCAGGTTTAAAGTCGGAATATTTTCGAGTAGTTAAAGACCTCCTTGGCGTCTCCGGTGAGAGATGAGATTTAACTTCGACGAACAACAGTTTCCGACGCAGAAAGATGCGGTTGCGTCGGTTTTGGGCTCCTACTCTAATTTCCGGGCAACTTTACGGCGTAGGAAGGAGATTCGAGACTCTATTAAAGAGTCTTGTTCAAACAGAGGGTTTGTATTGTATGGTAGTAATTAATGGGAAAACGAAAGAAGAAACAAAAAAATCTATCTTTTTGGTCTAGTTTTTCAAGTCAGAACAGTGACAATTTAGAGTATTTTTATCAATTAAGGGGATAAGAAGCAATCACGTATACTCCATCATCAATCTAGTAGCAATATGAAACAAAGATTAAAAATTGAGAGTTCTTCGTAATACGCATAAAAAAATTTAGTTTTCGTATATTCCCAGGCCATGACTTTGTCAGGTCCACGTTTCTCTACAAAAGGTGAGCAATTTTTTTTTTTTTTTTAATTTCGTCAAAGTAAGAACACTCTGAATTTTCTCTATTTTACTCCTTTTTCTTTCGCTCATAAAAAAATCGGCAGAAAATCCTAACGCTTCTTCCGTAATTTAATGATCTCTCATTTTATTACACTCTTCCTGATGCTATAAAGATCGGTTCCTTTTTGCACAAGTAGATTTTTGTATTTAAATCGATTTCTGGAAAAAAAGAAGAAGAAAAAGTGAGAGAGAGATGGGGAGATTGTTCTTGGTGAATTTGGAAGGGAAATCTTACAGTTGTAGGCACTGCAAGACCAATATCGCCCTCTACGAAGATGTCGTCTCAAAGGTTTGAATCTGAAACTTTTTGATTTCTGGGTTACTTAGCCGTGAACTTGCTGATAAATCTTAATCTGGGCTATTGCGATACCTCTCTGATCATAAACACCATGTGGGGTTTCTTCTCACTACGATTGTATTTTGATGATTACATAATTAGATGATCTAAACTGATTTGGGGAAATCATATTGCTGCTTGCATTGCATTGACTATGGTGGCTTCTGATAATATCTGGAATCTCCATGATCAAAGCTCTGAAATTCTGGATCATTGATAAATTTTGTCGTGTTAAATAAAAAAAATGGAACTAGAGAAACTGGAAATTAGATCAATCTATGACTCAATTACTGTTAGACTCTCTGTGCTGTTTCTATGGCTATGTGATCTTGAGCTTGTCATGTCTTGGATTTGATTGCGGTTAGATGCTAAATACAATCGGTTAGTTCACTCTAAGAGCTTATGGTTCAGACAGTGTTAGATTGTCTCTTTCACATTTGCAATGTCTTTAGTATTTGTGGTGTGTAGAAGAAACTGACAAGTGACAACATCTGTGTTTGTCTTTGTTGACACAGTCTTTTCAATCACGGCATGGGAAAGCTTACCTCTTCAGTAAGGTGTAAGTTTTCTTCTTCAAGTTTGATTTGGTTTTTTGATAACCCCATTGTAGAAAAGCCGAAGATCATTTTGGAGATAGTCAATGCATTTTATTACGAGTACTGGATTTGTGTGGACAGAGTGAATGTGTATGCTGGGAAGAAGGAAGATAGGATGATGATGACAGGACTGCACACCGTGGTTGATATTTACTGTGTCAAGTGCGGCTCTTATGTTGGATGGAGATATGTAATACAACACCAAATGCTTCTCTCTTTTTTTGTTTGTGTGGAATGGATTCTCCATTTGGCTCTTGCTTTGCTAATATATGATTCTTGTTTGTTGTTCAGGAGGTTGCTTTTGAGAAGAATCAAAAGTACAAGGAAGGAAAATCGGTTCTTGAAAGGTCAGTATAAATCTTAATCACTGGTTTGTTTTTCTTGTAACATAGTTTTTTTAGTTGAGTTGGTGAATAATATGTTTCATATTCTTGACAGGTACAAGGTTTGGGGTCCGGATGGAAACAATTACTGGGTGGCTCAAGAAGTTGAAGCCGGAGAAAGTGATACTGATGAATGAATGATGCTTCATCTCAAAATTCATATCTGATTTGTACATTCTGTCTTCCTTACTCTTTCATTTTTCTATAATTCAATGTTTTTTTCTTTTGTTTCATTTTGTGAACCATCTATCTTTCATTAGGATACCTTCAGAGATCAATTGTGTTTGTGTTGCAACTACTTGTCGAACACATACACTTAGAGATCTCTCATTATCTTATTTGTCAAAGCTTTAAGTTTGTTTCTTAAACTCTTAACTACATATTTAGAATCAAATTCATTTGGGATTCGTCCCAAGTCTAGACAGAAATTACTACTAAACTCATTTGCCAAAGCAAAGAGATCTTTTATGCTCGGTTTGGTTCGGTTTTTCCCCACGAATCTTAAAATGGAAATATTTGTCGAAATATTCAAACTCAAATAAAAATTACGCCTTTTTCTTGTTTCATGTAATCACAAGACGGAATTACACGACAACACTTAAATGATATACTTTTTACAGTTATTAATAGTGATTTGAATTAAGCTTAATGTTACCGAAGCTCATACACCATTCTCTCCGAGAGCTCAGCTCCCACGACTTTTCTGTACTTAATCAACATCGATCCCAATTGTTTACGAACTGCCAGATTATTGATCCGTGGCAAATCCTTCAAAAACAAAATTTGTTTACATTTTTAACAGAGATTGAGGATTTGATGATCTGATAAGACACAAGAGAGGAGTAGAGGTGATAGTGATATTGATATTACCTTGAATCGAACTCGAGGTCCATTAAGACTGATAAGGACATTGGCAATGTCACTGCCGCTTACGCTAGAGTCTAATTCTTCATCAGAGTTATTCATTTCTTCACCATCATCATCATTTGTGTCCCTTTGTTCCATGTCTTCACGTTCACTAGTGGATTCCGCTACGGGTTCAGAAGCTTTAGGTGATGACAAGACAGAATATGGCTTTTTATCAAGCAGAGGCTTAGCTGTTTCGAATGGAACCCATCTGAGAACAAAACACAAGAAAATCATTTAGGTTCTCTCTTTCAAGTGACAACAAGTAACACGAGTTGTTAGTCTTAGTTTTTTTGTGGGTTTGAGAACTTACTGGTAACGGAGAGGACATAGAAGCTCGGAAGGACGATAGGCTGCTTTATATCTCATCTTGTTGCAAGAATGTATGTAATAGCCAAGATAGTAATACTCAAGTGTAGAGCAATGAGCTTGGTTTTGTCTTACCCAATCGATTTCTTGCAGTGCTGAGTAGTTTCCAAGAGACAAGGATGCGAAATCCGGATCCCAGAATAGGTATTTACTCGACAGACATTTAGGAAGAATGTCGATTACTCCGACAGCAACCAGACGGCCATCAACTCGGTATTGCTGATGGAAAGAACCGAAGCCACAGGGAGGAACCTTTTCTTCAGCATCAGAACCTGAAGGTGGAACTTGTATCAACGGAGTGTTAACCAAAAACCTTTTGTATGAAGTTTCTGAGACGCTCTCCGGCTCGTCGTCATGCACTCTTATTTGATAACGTTTGTATAAATCATATTCCTCTGGATCAAAACTCGACCTTTTCAAATGCATCTCCAGCTTCCTCTTTCTCACCTGAAGGTCGCTCGAAGAAGGCTTTGTTCTTGTAGCACAGAGGCTTTCACCTTCATCTCTATCTGCGGAAGTAACTTGGGTAGCTGAAAGAAAGTTGATATGGCCTTTAGAGACCTTAATAGACAAGCCAGAGAATTCTCTCACCTTTCTCATTTCACTTAACAACTTCTCAGAAACTGACTCTGGTGATAATCTGTTTTCTTCTGCGTTGTTTTTCTCGCCTTTCTCAGATGTCTTTCCGTGTTTTATAGCAGCTGCTATCGGAAAAGCAATGTTGCTGGTGTACAAGAGTTCCTCTGACCCTTCAGCTAGCTTCTTCCTTTTAGTAGAGAGCACTTTCTTGACCGAAGCTTTGAGAACCTGAATATTAGAAGGAAACTCCCCACTTTGTATGCATCTCTGCACTGCACTATCAATTTGTTCAGACAATTCTTTCATGATTGGCTCCACTTCATCATTTTGTTCTCTTTTGGCAGCTCCAGGTGATTTTCTCACCGACTCTGAAACTTCTCCCGAGAAAGAAACATCTGAATCTTCTGTTCGCTCTCTCGGCCTCGCATCTAATTCGCCATCCAAGAACCTTTGTACACAGCACCACAAAAACAGTTACAAAGAGAAGGGAAGCTTCGCATTCAGAAACTGTATTTAAAGACGTTCGGTGAATTTTGTGACAGACACAATTTCGACAAGATGTTTTGAAGGCAAAAGGAAAAGTTTTGTGACATAACTTTAAAACATAAATCTTAGTAGAGCTTTCATCAATTGATCCAGAGAAAGAAAGAAGGGAGAAAAGTACAAATATATACTAATACAATACCTTTCTAGTCTTCTACGCACTCGCTGCTGCTCCTTAGAAGGAACAAAGTCACTTGCTTTCAAGCGGATAGTATAAGAAGGGCAACATGTTTGATCCATCTCAGGTTTGTAAATGTAGCAGCCAGATCGTCTCCATCCTCGGTCAAGAAGAGCTACTCAATACAAAAGGAGAGACACACCAAAATACTATGCTCAGAAACGAAAACCTTCAGAAGCAATAAAAAATGGCGAGCGAATAACACTCAACGAAGAAGAAATCTTTAGAAGCTAAAAAAGCATCACAGTCACACAGCATTGTCTTCAATCAAACCTAATAATCTATAGAAGAACAGCAGATGGAGGCAACCAACCTTGGTAGTCACTAACGGTGAGAGACTCCGTCCATAAACCTGCATCGGAAATGAGGCACAATCACAATCACTGAGTTATCAATGTACATTTCTGATCTTATAAGAGCATACCAAATCTAGAAGCATGCGAAAAAAAATCTGAACTTTAAACATACGAATCTCACATTTTTCTCGGTCAGATCATCATTGTAAGTATCGATCATATGCTCAACGAGACGATAGAATATGGTAATTTCAAATTCAATTGAACGATCAACTCTAGCGTAGAGATACTTCGACGTATACAGAAGGAAAAAAAATCAGTGCGCGAGGCAACAAACCGTGAGTGATGCTGGAGCGAGTCGGGGATTTACAGTAACCGCAACTGGAACTATTACGTCCACAATCAGCGACTATACTCTCTTCACCGATGCCACCACGGCTACTACTTGCCTCGTTTCTCGTCTTCGATTTCTTCGACGACATGATCGGCGTGAATCCGATACAATTCAACCGATGAGAGTCACGGTGGCTCTTGTAAATTCCAAAGCTCTCCCCGGCGAAGAAGAAGAGGGGAAGAAGCTTCTGGTTTTTCTACAAAAGAAATCAACGTCCTATGGTTTTATAAATATGAACGAGACGATGTTCTCTTAGTGATATATATATAGAGTAACATCCTGTAGTTTTTACCAAATTTATCCGACAAATAGTCCTCCCTTTGATATTTAAAACGTCGCGCATGTTCTCTGTAACTTGGGCGGCCCAATTTAATGAAAAAGCCCAATTTCTTTGAAGTAAAATAAGAGCCGTCAGATCAAACAAGTAAGCAATCAAGAACCGTTAGATTTAGGTCGAAACCAAAAACCAAAGCTCTCTAGCTTCCTTGATCCTCTCGCCGACTTCGTCGATCTCACTCACTCGGAACAGAGGACATTTTGAGCTAATCCTTGTGAGCGAGCGACAATGGTGAAGGCAACTAAGGCGGAGAAGAAGACCGCGTATGACGCGAAGCTATGCCAGCTTGTCGACGAATACACACAGATCCTGGTCGTTGCGGCGGACAACGTCGGATCGACTCAGCTCCAGAACATCAGGAAGGGTCTTCGCGGAGACTCGGTGGTGCTCATGGGAAAGAACACTATGATGAAACGTTCCGTTAGGATCCACTCAGACAACACCGGAAACACTGGAATCCTCAATCTCCTTCCCCTCCTTCAGGTTGATTTTTTCGAAAGATGTTGCCGCGTTTTTTTACATCTCTTTCATTTTTGCTTGTGGAGAAATTCAGATTGTAATTGCGATTTTTGTTTGTTTTAGGGAAACGTTGGCTTGATCTTCACTAAGGGTGACCTCAAGGAAGTGAGCGAGGAAGTTGCCAAGTACAAGGTTTGGTTGGATCGCTCTTTGTTCTATTCTCATAAATCTGATTAGCTAAATGATAAGATTATAGCTTCTGATATAGCAAAAAGCCTGGAACTTGTTCTTCTCTATTCATTTAGCTTTACATATAGCTGTTGCTTAGTGGATTGTGTAAACATTTGATGATTTCTGAATGTGATTTGAACAGGTTGGTGCTCCTGCTCGTGTGGGTTTAGTTGCCCCGATCGATGTGGTTGTACAACCTGGCAACACCGGTCTCGACCCGTCCCAGACATCTTTCTTCCAGGTTTGCTCATCTTATCAAGCATTGTAACGCAAGTCTTGTTTTGCTCATACCCGCTTTGAGTTAGTGTCGATCTGTAGTATCTGATACATGAATTCGTTTTTTTGGATTTTTTTTGTGTGTAGGTGCTTAACATCCCAACTAAGATTAACAAGGGTACTGTTGAGATCATCACACCTGTGGAGCTCATCAAGAAAGGTGACAAGGTCGGGTCCTCTGAGGCTGCGCTTCTAGCGAAGCTCGGAATCAGGCCATTCTCATACGGTCTAGTTGTTCAGTCGGTTTACGACAATGGGTCAGTCTTCAGCCCAGAGGTTCTTGATATGACGGAAGATGACCTTGTTGAGAAGTTTGCTGCTGGTATCTCCATGGTCACTTCCTTGGCTCTAGCTATATCTTACCCGACCCTTGCTGCTGCTCCACATATGTTCATCAATGCTTACAAGAATGCCTTGGCTATTTCTGTTGCTACCGAGTATACTTTCCCTCAAGCAGAGAAGGTCAAGGAGTTCTTGAAGGTTAGTCGTTGTTCAAGTGTGTTTAAGTTTTTGAAGCTTTAGTCATTCAAATTTGTTGATGCTAACTCTCGGGCATAATTTTGGAATGTAGGATCCTAGCAAGTTTGCGGTTGCTGTAGCAGCGGTGTCTGCGGATGCCGGTGGTGGTGCTTCAGCTGGTGGAGCTGCAAAGGCAGAGGAGAAGAAGCAAGAGGTTGAAGAATCAGAGGAAGAAGACTATGGTGGTTTCGGTTTGTTCGACGATGAGTAGATTTTGTTCATTAAGGTTATTTCGCACGAGTCAGATTCATTTCTGCTAATGGCTATATAAGTGTTGCATCGTTTTTTTTTAGTTCTGTTGACATGATTTTATGAAACCTATAATTACCAATTTTCCATTGAAGTTTGCGTTTTAGTTCTTAGGCTCTTTGCCGTAATATCTCACGCGTGCCTTAGTTTTATGCCTCGAATCCATCCTGAGTTTCTAGTATTCTGTTTGGTTCCTTTCCTGATTTATGTTGGATAAAATCATTTATACAAAATGTTACTTCCTCCGTTTCTTAATATATGATTTTTTAGATTTTTCACAAATTTTAAAAAGCAATTATTAATTATTCTTTTTAGTTACTTTTTCATTTTAATATTTCTTTATATTAGTTATTATAATGTATATTCTTTTTTTTCAAAAATAAATAGATTATATATAATCCAAAAAATCAAACTTTGTGGAACAAATTTTTTTTCTAAAACATCAAACTTTCTATAAGGGAGGGAGTATTTGGTTATTAAGATTTAATTTATGAAAATTTGACGTAAAAGCTCTTCGATTACTTATAAGAATTTTATTTTATTCTTCACAATCTAAATTCTTTCATGTGTTAATTTGCAACATACAGTACTTGATGCTAATTGCAGTAACCACTGAAATCTGAATTTGGATAATATATTATGGTTTACGCAACCAGATAACATGACTAGTATTAATATGGTGCATGGAACATCATAGGGAATTGAATGCGAGTGAGCATTACAATGTGAGACCGCCTTCAACTTTTTTGACTAGGATAAGAGCGCAATTCTCGCTCTCTGAGAAATCTATTTTAACTTTTTGTTCGAAAAGTTGTATCAGCAGTTACTTAAATCAAGATTGTTGTCCATGAAGGCTAAACAACTCTCATAGGTGTCGACTGCACTAACACAAACGAGTTGTTGATTGGTTGCTCTCTCAAATAAACTTAAATTTAGGAACCGATGTTGCTTTTTGAGGTTCCCGAAACTTGGAACCCGGACTTGTGTTAAAAAAGAAAACCAAAAATAAGAAAAGCATGTAAATAAAACTAAAAATATTGTTTAGGAACAAATGATGAAATGTTAGTTTTGAAAATTCAAATCCACGACATGCAGTGTTTTGCATACTCAAATCCAGTAATTAGGCGCATGCCTACTTTTCATCTCACAAATCGAAATCATATACTAAAGTTTATCGAAACCAAACTAATATTATTCAAATTGATTAACTGTAACCGTACTACACGCCAAACGGGTAACTTAAGTTTCATTTATAACATGGTTTTTAGACCGTAATTACCTGTTTATACTTTAACAATTATGAGGTTCATTAAAAAAAAAATATGATGTACGTAAATTGATTGGTCGGATGATTCCAAGTTACATAAGTCATGTGAACTTGACTTTGGCACCGAACTGACCTATATTAAATAAAATAAAAAAACAAAAATACAACTTATATGCGAGAGAGACAAAGATTTTTGTAAGAACTGTTATGTAGTTTAGTGAAGAGTACTTTGTTTATAAAAACAATGTTTGGTTTTATTCACATTGTCATTTTATTCTTTGGACCATTTTCCTCTTGCTTAGCGTCCCGTGCCATGTCTCCTCTAGATCATCACCATTAATGCCTTTTTTATGGACAATGAGTAAAAAACGAAAAGAGATTTCGTTCGAATTTTCCTTTTCTATTTTGAATTTTTTTACAACCCAAAATTTCTGTAAAAGCAACTACCATGCAGATTTCTTGTCCACGAAATTTCACTATATATATATATGCTTCCTAATGTAAAATAAAAATTGTTTCGTTAACGAATTAAATTAACTTACAGAATCTGAGGATATCTAGTTTTCTTGCAAATCATCCTTTGTACTTCATGAACAACAAGAAATATTGTACAATTATATTTTCATGTAAATATATATATTATGAAGAAAAAAAACGAATTTCCTCCCCTCAGCACTTGCCGACCAAGCTCCCTCAAGTGTCACATCTTTTGTGTAAGACAAAAGACAAAACTACTGTTAAATAAATTGTGATAAGGAAGGGTCACATCTTTTTGTGGAAAACAAAATATAAAACTATTTTTGAATATCTTAGGACTCGTGAGTCAATCTGTTCACACACTGTCATGTATGTAATTATTCTTGATCATACTCATGTCATTATAGCCATACTTGTTTCGTAGTTGTAGAGACAGTGTTGATCTATAATAAACGAGCAGCAATAGCAATCCAGGACATGTCACTGACCAACGACAACGACTAAATATTATCTATTAATTAAGTGGTACGATGAACATAGTTTCCCCGAAGCTTATTGATTAAAGCCTGATCTCAAATCCGATGACACCAATTCGTATTTTAGTCTAGAATGAACTTACTGTATTCGCTACTATTGATCAAGAAGACGTTTTTTTTTGTCAATCGTTGGAACTTGGAACTTCCGATATAAAATTATAATTCTTGCATAGGAGATCCATATGTATATGACTGTATATACACGGAACAGAAGCCTATAGATAGGTATAAGGATAATACGATCAAATCTGCAAAGATCAGTCTCTCCCAAATCCCCAAAAGAAACAAAGCATGCAGTTCGTAATAAACAACTCTCATCATAAAAGGACAAATAACTCGAAAACAACTCCCCCGACAATTGATCAATTCATTTCTCTAATTTCTTTTTCTTTCCAAAAGAGCCAAAAATCATGATATAAATTATAACACTCCCACTATAAGATCTCCATATATATATATGGATATACACAAGCCCTAATACGTAAACACTTAATTGAGGAATATATCTGAAATGCCTTTTTCCGTGGAATGTCATAGCTTACGTGGCAACAGTCACGGAGGAGGAGGAGGAGGAGGAGGGACGGGGACAAAGTGTGGGAGGTGGAATCCGACGGTGGAGCAGTTGAAGGTACTGACGGATCTGTTTCGAGCCGGTCTTAGAACTCCGACCACTGATCAGATTCAAAAGATCTCGACGGAGCTCAGTTTCTACGGCAAGATCGAGAGCAAGAACGTTTTCTATTGGTTCCAAAATCATAAGGCTAGAGAGAGGCAGAAACGCCGTAAAATCTCCACTGGTTTTGATCATCGACATCAAGAAAATGACCATATCTCTCATCATCATCATCATCATCATCGTCAATCCTCAACTAGAGGTAATCGCATCAAGACTATATTATAATTTGTTTGATATATTTGATAATGTAGTAATGTTATTATCTGTAGATGTTTTTGAAATAAACGAAGAAGAGGAAGATAATGTAGTAGAGACATTACAACTCTTTCCGGTGAATTCGTTCGAAGACTCCAAGGTGGAGAAAATGAGAAGCAGAGGCAATAACCATCAGTACCGTGACTACATTCGAGAGACCAACACGACGACGTTTTCTTTGTATTCATCATGTGGAGCTGAGATGGAACATCCATCGCCGTTGGATCTTCGATTAAGCTTTCTTTAAATTAGTGACAACCTTAAATATTTGTCTTAATGTATTTTGAGTTATGACTCAAAGTATCCAACGCATGAATTATGACATAGAGACTGATACAAGTCCAAGCTGGTTCAGTTAATTACTTTTTTAATAGTTTAAAACAATTTAATAATTTATATTATATAAGTTTTTACATAATTTTGTCTGTTTTATCACATAATCTTATAGGTCTTTGGTTGTTGACCACACAGAAGTTATCTTTGGTCCGAGAAACTGAAATAAACAAGAACTAACGAAAACGAGTTTTGATCACAAAGAAGTTCAAAAAGTTTTTTGATATAAATCCAAAATCAATTTATATATGTACGACCGAACCGAACCCAAACGAAGAGACTAAATTAAAACACAAAAGTTTGAATGGTTTAAATTCATTGGATGTTGGTACACGTGCTAGAAGTAGAAGAAGAAAAAAAACGTTTTTGGTCTTGAACAATATTTAGAGTGGTGGTCACATCCTAAGTACAATGAACAGAGAATTGTTTTAAATGTCAACTTTAAGGGCCCATAGAATTGGGCTTTAGAATACAAAGGTCCATTATATGGTTTTACCCATCCAAATAGCTTAATAAAATAGCTTAGAAGAGAAAGTTCGTCAAGAGGTTTTTCCTGGAGAAGAAGCAAACTCAAGCTCCGTCGGAGAAAACGTAATCGGGAAGTTCACGTTTTGTTAATTGCCGGAGAAAGGAATTGAATAGTTCTCAAGTGAATTTTGATCTACCCAACAATGGATGTGATAAAAACGCAGCAGATATCAGCGAGGACGATCGAGAAAGTGATTGTTCACCCACTTGTCTTGCTTAGTATCGTCGACCATTACAATCGTGTAGCCAAGGACTCGCGCAAGCGCGTCGTCGGCGTTTTGCTAGGAAACAGCTCACGTGGTACCGTCGACGTCACCAACAGCTACGCAGGTTCTCTAATTTTACTTTTTCCGTTCTCTTTGTTGATATTAGTTCAGATCTCAAATGTTTGTAGAGCTCTTGCTATTTCTGAATTCGATATTTTTCAGTGTTCCTATGAAAATTTTACTTCAATTCGTGAGGTTATGCGTAAGTTGGTATTCAAGGCGAGTTTAACATGTTACTGCAAATTAGGATTTTGTAGCCTTTGCTTTGCACAAAGTGAGAACTTTAAGTTCGTATAGTCGCTGTTACTTACACATCACTTGCTTGACCTTGTGTATACAGTGCCTTTTGAAGAGGATGACAAAGACCCAAGCATCTGGTTTCTTGATCACAACTACCACGAGTCGATGTTTCACATGTTCAAGAGAATTAACGGTATGGCTCAGGGAAAAAGAAAAAATAAAACTAGTGCTTTGAATATATATGATTATGTGGAAAACCTCGTGTTGAATCTATTCAATGTTTGCTTTCAGCCAAGGAGCATGTTGTGGGTTGGTACAGCACAGGTCCTAAGCTTCGAGAGAATGATTTGGATGTTCACGCTTTGTTCAATGGGTAGGACCATGGCTTAAAGCAAAAAAAAATTCAGTCTTTATCTTCGTTTTTTTTTCTCTGAGTTTTGACCTTAGTTTCTGGTGTTGCAGCTATGTGCCAAATCCAGTGTTGGTCATTATTGATGTCCAACCTAAAGAACTTGGCATCCCCACAAAAGCATACTATGCAGTTGAGGAGGTGAAGGAGGTAAAACACCCTCCCACTTGTAATCATATCACTTGCTTGAATGTTCAGTTGCATCTGACATACTTGATTTGCTTTCTTATGTTTGTGCTGCTATATCCATTTATTTTGATCCCCTTGATCCGTACTTTTTTATCTCTGTAGAATGCTACCCAGAAAAGCCAGCAAGTGTTCGTACACGTGCCTACAGAAATTTCTGCTCACGAAGTGGAGGAAATTGGTATGTATTTCTTTTCCTTGTAGTTGTGTATAAATGATGGACTTCTGTATTTCTTCTGAGGAAACTCATTTGAGTCCGATACCCTGCTTCATTGTTAACAGGCGTGGAGCATTTGCTCAGGGATGTAAAAGACACAACCATCAGTACCTTGGCAACTGAGGTTCTTTTATTCACACAAAACTTGAGCATTTTCATTATCATGCTTCTTGATCTCAAAATATAATGCGAGGAGCATCTATCTTTATCCTGGAGGAAGTTAAAATGGTTTGAACTGTACTTTAGGTTACTGCGAAACTTACTGCTCTGAAGGGATTGGATGCACGACTCAGGGAGATTCGGAGTTACCTTGACCTTGTAATCGAAGGAAAACTCCCATTAAACCATGAGATCTTATACCATCTTCAGGTTAGAACAATCCCACTTTCCTGTTTTCTTTTTCCTAGTATCTGTTACTGCGATTACCTACAGAGGATTGTTCAGCTAATTAAATACTCTTATAAAAATCTGCAGGACGTATTCAACTTGCTTCCTAACTTGAACGTCAACGAGTTGGTTAAGGCCTTTTCAGGTTTGCCTTTTCTGCCTTGAAGCTATATTATGTTGGCACAATTAATCCTCTCATTTTCTACTAACGTTATTCATCCTGGTGCAGTGAAAACAAATGACATGATGCTCGTTATTTACCTCTCTTCCCTCATTCGAAGTGTAATCGCCCTCCACAATTTGATCAGCAACAAGGTCAGAGGATCATCTCTGTCTCTCTCTCTAAAAGTATTTGAACTTGCTCTTTTTTGGATTTTGTTTGTTTATCTCTGGATGGTATGCTTCAGTTATTGAACAAGGAACATGAAAAAGCAGAGGACTCAAAGCCTGTTGACATACCCGTAACCACCGGGAGTTAAAATGCGGCAACATTTCGAGCTTTGAGAGGATTTCAAATCGGAGATTACTCAGTCATCTGTTTCCTCCGAAGAAGATGGTCAATTCATGGACTAGGGTCTCGTTCCAGTGATATTGCTGTAGTTTCTACAATGGTTATGATATTAATATGTCGTTTCTGTCTCGATAGATTTTTTTTCTCCCATTTGATGTTTTCTCTTTTAAAGATGATATAGGTACGTTTCACATCAATGTGCTGAAATCTCCAGAAAAAAAAAAAAACTGTTTTCCTTTCGAGTACAGTTTCCAGAAATTGTTTCGTAATCTAACGTACGCATTGCCTAAGGAATGTACTGATCTTGTGGGTTTTGGTTCAGATGTTGTGGATCCGGTTAACTACTGGCTTAGTTGATCATTCCGGTTTAAGAAACACTTCTTTCAAGATTACAGTACACACCTTCAATCAGAATCTCAGAAGTCGCATATAAACTATGATTTGTTTATGGAAAGTCACCAAATTAGATTCGTGTACTCCGGATGAGTCGAGATCTCCGGGTTATAAAAATATTTTCGAAACGGAAGCGTGTGAATAAGTGTTCACATTGATAGAGTGAAAAAGGAAGAATATTGACACTTTTAGTGAGATTATTTTGAAGAAAGTGAGCTAAAAAAGAAGGAAAAATAGTATTTTGAAGGAAAATAAAGTTCACCAGTGGCGTAAGCTTCGTGAAAAGGATATGATGATAAGCGGAAAAAAAACTGAAATTATGAAACCAAGAACGTGCTTTGTTACGCAATATGCTTTTTAAGCCTACTTTTTAAAGATCATTTTTTTTTCTTGATAAGTGTTGTGCTTATTTAAAATAAACTCTACAATTAAACAAAGATTATTTAAATTAAGCTTTGTCTTTTGCATAAAATATTCGAATGATGTACAATATATAATACGCTCATGATTAGGATTAGCCTTGGGTCGCAATTCGCAAAGCTTCTCGACGATTATCGTACTTATTTAATTGTTTCAATGTTCTTCATGATGTTATTTTCATTACTACGCAGGGCCCTCCATGCATATGTCGCTTGGTATAATAACACATGCAATAAAATATATACATTTTCCGCTGTTTAACATGTATACAAATGATTCTTTCAGTCGAGTTAGTGTCTTCATACCATATCATACTACATATATAACCTTGAATTTTGTATATATTTACAATTTTATTTTCCACCAAATCTTTAATTTCACGAATATTATAATTAATAGTGTATAATAAAATTCCGTAACTGTTTATTTGGCAATTCTCGAAAAATTGTCCCTATACTTTTGCTATGAAAATCTATATTTTCTTCTTCATGTTGTTATCAAAGTTATCAGCACCGCAAATCTTAGTCATCAAATAGACTGAAATAGTGGATATATATATATATATACTATATCATGTATCTAAATAGCGTATACTGTATAGTATATAGTAATGCACGTATGACGTAAGAATATTGAATGTTTTTCATATTGGTATACATCAGTGTAAGGCATGTAGATCCCATCGAGGCGACCAGATCGAAAGTGACAAAATAACTAAAGGGTGTCAAAAGAAATAAAGCCATAAAGTTATAAAAAAAAAACTACTTTATTTTCTTTATCCGAAATAGGACTCGCAATTCGCAATCACGATTGATGATCAAGATTCATCTATAATAGAAGATGTGTAATTTAAAAGATTCGATTTTTTATTTTATTATAACGGGGCGTTTATCCAAAATCTAGACTATTCTCCAAATTTTTATGGAAGAGTCAGACATTTTTTTTTTTTTTTTGGTAAAATGTAAAATTTGAGTCAGACATTTTTAAACGTCTATACTAATATTTTTTTATGAGATATCTTAAAACATACTAATTGTAGAAGTCTAGAAGATAGAATACTGATGACTCAATTTTCATGATAAACCCTTACGATTATCAGCATGAGTTAGTTAACATGCAGACGGCTGAAAGAAATTGATAATAAAATAAAATTTGAACTTATCATGCAGACAGTGGATATCACTATAATTTAGATTCGCATGAAGATATAGATTTTTTCTTGATCTTCACTATTTTACCAAGTTATAAAAAGAAAGTAGACAAATTCATATTACGATAAGTTTGCTCAATATGGTCAGACAATTATATATTTTGGAATGCCTTTCGTTTATACTCCAGCGTTTTGATTGGGACAACAAATACTTAACAAAAAAAAAATGTTCATTCATATTTTTTTTAATGGTAACTAATTTATGTTGCTCTAGTTCAATCAGATCAGAATTCGAGTTCTTCCTAAGTGATTTCTTAATTCATTCATATTTCTTTATGCTTAATTTCACACAAAAATAATAACAATGAGTCGGAGGGAAATTAGCTTTAGCGTTTTACGAAGTTCATATACGTAGTCACACGTAGAGTTACCCGTCTTTAGTTCTATTATTTTCTTGAAATAGCATTTTAAACTATTGAGCATAATAACATACTAAAATCATTGGTTAAAAAAAAAAACATGCTTAATCATTTTCAAACCTTATGCAAAAAGTACACAACAATATTTTGCCAATATAATATTATAACTTATTTTTATATCCAAATGCCATCAATTTTATATAATTCTAAATTATATGTATATTTGGGGAGGCAAATGGGTTGGTGTAATAGATGAGAAGAATGAGATTCTTTGGTCAGAAGTGGAAAGCAGACTCAGCCTCTATTGTATACTCAAATCAATTGTTCATACTTCATACCTTCCACCAACACTCACACAGTATTTCCAACCATATCTCTATTTTTTTCCCCAAATTAATTTGTAATTTAAGTCTTTACAATTATAATTCGAATGTTTACCCAATACGAAAACAAGTATCGAATTTCCGTTTTTCTTGAGCTACTTCAAATGAATCTATGGTCTTGTTAGGTTCGGTCATAACGGTATCATAACGCACGAGTCTTTTTTAACAACTATAATTAATGGAAAAGAAAACATAGATATATTCTAATATAATAGGGATTTCGTAACCACATACACACACATACACAGTCACACTCGTGTAAAAAAAAAAAAGACAAGATTATGACACAAGAACATATATAAACTTGGGTTTTGCTTGTAATGCTAGTTACACTTTTACTATCCAACTTACTTTTGAGTTTGGTGATTTTATGTTACCTTAAGCTCCGGCACCGAAAGCATTTACTCCAGCAAAGTTAAAGGCAGCACCGAAAGGAGATGATGATGGAGAAAACAGGTTTTCCGAAGATAGATTCTGACTCATAAGCATTACTCCCTCCTCGGCATTATCCTTGTCGATAAACCCTAAATCCGGGAGGATATCTCTGTGATCGGGAAAGGAACGGTTGAGATTGGCGTTTAGAAGATTGACGGTTGTGATGTCATGTATGCTTGGCCGGCGCTTATCCTTGGCTCCCGAGAGTTGTCTCTGGTAATACTTTTGGGCGTGGCTCGCAACTTGCGTTGGTGTCTTCGACACCACGAAGTTTCTTGATATGTTTCTCCAGTCTCCTTTCCCGTACTTGAGAAGCCCTAAAAGGAACCTCCTGCAGCGAACAAGAACAAGAAACAGAGCAATGTAAACACTAAGAAAAACAGGGGGAATGACTTGCTTGACAAGAAAGCTAGGAAGGGTGACTTGTTCTGAAAGAAACTAAACCTGTGTTCTTCCTCAGTCCATGGGACTCCTTTCTTTCGATCGTGATCAGATGGTCTGGCTCCGTAAGACCGTTTCCGAGACATGTCCGGATCAAACCCTAGAGGAGAAGAAGCCGCAGGGTAACCCGGAATGGGGACACGCCCTGCTTCGATATCGAAGACGTCTTCTTCGAGCTTATTGTACTGCTTCATGACATCCAAAACAGACTTTCCAGGGATCATGGAAGCAACTCTGAACCAGCGATCAGGCGAGTCGTCAGCGTATATGGCAAGGGCTCGTTCGAACATCTTGTTCTCTTCTTTAGTCCAGCTGCTGCTCAAGCTTTGTAAGCTCATCCTCTCTTGAACAACGAACCGGTGGTCAGAAATAGGCGCGTGAGAGAGTGGATGCAGAGTCTCCATAGCTAAAAAAAAAAAAGGAAGCAAAGAAGTTTAAGACTACAACCACAGCTCAAAAAAGTCCATTTGTGAAGCTTGAGGATTGGTTTGTGATGTGTATTAGGAAAACATGGGAAGCTTTTTTATATACAGGATTTAATGATTAAACATATTAGGAATCAAAGGGGAGAAAATTGACAAAAGGGAAGGTAAATCAAGAATCGTATACTGAAGGAATCAAGAACCTGATTTGGGTGAGAGATTTAAAGCATATAAAACCGACCCTCGAATCTGAAAAAGACTCAAGCTTTGAAGAATCTATGAGAATCTGCAAAAGTGGGTCGTCGAAGGAAGACAAAAGAACAGCAAAGCCACCAGATGAGAAGTTTCCTCGGATATGAAGCTGTGATGAGAACAGAGACAGAAGGAAAGGCTCAGAAAACTAAAGACACAGTTGAGAGAGAGAGAGAGAGAGATTGTGAAGGACAAATAAGAGTATTATAGAGAGAGTCACTGTTAATTTTGGGGGCACTGAGAAGAAGAAAGGAAAGGCCTTTTCTTCTTCTTTGTATACAAGAAAGATTTGGCGTATTTGTATTGGACAAAAGCGAATGGCACCACTCGGATTCTTGCGGTTCATTTTTTGTCAGAAAAGATGATTGATTTAAAATGTTTTTTATTAATAAAATATATTCGTAATACGACAAATTTATTCTATCGTCTTTTTTCTGGTCCATACACAGGAGTTGACTATGTAATTGACTAATTACTCTAAGGATATTTATATGTGTACATTCACTTAACACAAAAGCGCCTGTAGCTCAGTGGATAGAGCGTCTGTTTCCTAAGCAGAAGGTCGTAGGTTCGACCCCTACCTGGCGCGAATTTTGTGAATTATAGAATGTTTTTCACTTTTTCTGTCTCAAGTTCTAATCTCGGTTGAAAAATTTAAAGCGAGCAATTTTGAATATGTATTGTATTTGTTTATAGACTGATTTATTAATAATATCTATGTCGGTCAAGATATTTTTCACAAAGTATGAGAAATTCAATAGCTAAAGGCAGCTCATTAAATTCCCACTCACTATCTCACCGTTTAAAGTTTTTTTTACTTGTTTTGATATTGTTTCGAAAAGTTATTGAACAGAAAAAATCCAAGAAACTCTATCAGCTTTTGTTGTTGTTACAGGTCTACCAAACCAAACTTTAATTTAACCAATATATTATGACGCTTCGAATTTGTTACAGCTGCTGAATCGAGCATGCGTAACATATAAATCAGATGAAACAGAACAAACATATATGGTTAGTTTGATTCTATGAACCAAATGATTCCAACTTTTCAGGCCATTGACACTTTCTTGAATCACAAGCAACTGACATTTCCGGAACTGGAGATCTTGTAATAATTTCAACTGTCAGCAAATCTCTCTTCGCTTAGATTAGAATTTACCTAATATGTAAGATTCTAGTCAACATACTCAAATTACTCAGATTCTCAAAAACTAATAAATTGGAGACAAAGCTTAATTATATAATATCTCAAACTGTATGCATTTGTTCTAGGTTACCTTACAATATTAGATATTACCAACAAGCAAAATAAGCTGTTTTACTCTGAAAATAAAGAGACATAAAGGGTTTTTGCGTAACCACACATAAGCAGGGGAAGGTTGACAGTAAAAAAACGAGGATCTTAGGCAGCAACGGTAGGACGACCTGCTTGAAGTCTGAGCAACCAAGAGATTCTCAAACTTGATTTCTTCAGCTGCAAGAAGATCTCTCTGTAATCTTTCCTCAGAAACAAATCCAACGCAAACAAGTAAAGATCACTGCCTTCCTCAACCTCTTCCATGGAGTCCAAACGCTCGATGCATTCCCCAATAGTATACTCGCACTGCTTAGCCGATGCCACTGGACCCTCTCTTATCCTCTCTGCCTCGAACCGGGTACATACCGGAGTTTCAATCTCAACATCTTGTAACCGAGACTCTGCAAAGCCAACGCGGTTAAATCTCCTGCGATGCGGAGCATGAGAAGGCTCAACATCATCTTCATCGTCGTTTTCATCATCATCATCATCTCCGTCTTCACTCCCTGTGACTGGCTCGTTTATGTAGAGTGTTGATAATGGAGTTGGGTCATGTAGCTGTGGTGATTCTGAATGGTCGCGCAGTTTCTTGCGGTAAGGACGGAAATCGGCTTTTCCAGGTTCAATAACTCCTTCGAAGATGATTGCTAGTTTCTCCGCGCAAGGAACGTGTTTCCTTCTGAACTGTGCAGCTCTAGGATTGTCCTGTAAATCAACAACAACCAAGAAAGAGAGATAAAAGATCAAATCTTGTCCCAAATGAACAAAGATTTTGGTTACCTTTAAAAAGATTCTCCAGTCCTCATCTGTTGCGCCGAAAGTACGAGTATCTGGATCCCATTTCATGATAGGAGCACCAATAACTTGACACCAGATCTTCCAAGCTTTCCTCGTACAGTCCCAGTGGTTTTTCAGCTGCGCTCTCGTGTAACTTTTGCCAGTGTTTTGGTTGATCGTCTCAAGCATCATTCTCCAGCTCTCCTTGGGGTAATGTGTGTCAGGCCTGTTCCCTTTGTAAGTCTCCTGGACCAACAGGTCGACAAACAGCTCGTGCGTGGCCGGTGACCAGTACCCTTTCGACTGAGGAGTCGAGAAGTTAGACGCCATTTGCATATCATGAGCCGAGAAATTAGACGCGATCTGCAAATCATCATCTCCAGTTTCAGCTTCTTCTTCATGGTGCCTGCTTCTTCGCTTCCTCTTGCATTTACCAGAACCAGCTTCATCGTCTCTACCATCTACGTTACTTCCTTCAAAGATAACCTCTAGTTTCTTGAGATACAGTGGAGGATTCACCCTATACGGAGCAGCATCAGGATTCCCCTGTGACATAATCCAACTATGTGTGTTATATAGCCTTAAGAAACACCCAAACACACACACACACACACACACACACACAACAGGTTTGTGTTACCTGTAAATAGTTGGCCCAGTCTTCATCACTGGCATCGAAGATGTTACTCTCAGGATCCCATTTCATATCACTGCAGTGAACAAGCCTACGCCATATCTTCCACTGCTTGCACATTGTGTCCCAGTGATTCTTAAGCTGCTTTTTGTTAAACCTCGCGCCGGTTCTCTGTTGAAATGGTTCCAATAGATGCTGCGTCCCAGGTTTATTCCCCAGCAGCCTCTGCTCCACGCATAACTCCACGAACACTCTGTGGTATTCAGGCTCCCACGCTGCTTTCGTCTTCATGACTCTTCACTGTTTATATGTATAGATAGATACAACAAAAACATGAGTTCCTTTTTCAAAAACAACTTCACATTAAGCTTTGAGAAGACCATTAGATTAGCCTAAACTCAGAAACATACATGACTGAAGTCTGAATCTATACATCCACATTTGTCTGGAAAGTTTCCATCATGGAGCTAACACACCTGGTTAGAGACAGAATCTCCGTGAAACCGCTAGATAACGTAATTAAATTGCAATTGCTTTATTTGGAAACAATCCAGGACTTACTCAACTGCAAAATGCATAGATTCAAACAAATTTATCACAAAGACATCCCACGAGACCACATATCTGGATAAGCTATAACAATGTATGATTTTGAAAGCCAAATTCTCAAGATCGGGTGCTCATTCATCAGATGACATTCATGGTTTGCTCTTTACACTAGATCGAGTGCTCTTTTACCCTAACAAACAAACAAAAAGAAACAATTTTGCGATTTGCCTCGAAAACAAAAAGTCGAGAAATCGAACGCGAAATTGGGTATCGAAGGAAACACTAATCAGACAACGATGGAGAGCCATGAGAGAGACGATACTCCCGTGGCCGGAGAAGAAGAACGGGAAAATCAAAAAATGAAATAAGCACAGAAAAAAACGTAAAAACGTTTACCGGGAATTTAGATTTCGGCGATCTGATGGCCACAGTGTGTGGCGGTGTGGCTGAAGAAGCCGATCGCGATTTTTCCTTGCTTTCTCCAATTGGGGCGTTTGGGCCGCTCGCGTCGGAGCTTTCTGAGTTTCTCTGAATACTAGGCCGATTTTATTTATGCCGGTTATGCCGGTTCACTTTATTGGTAACTTTTTTACTTTGTGCTGACAAGTTTCAACCAAAAATTTTGTTCAACAAATTTAATAATCTTCAAGTCTATTAAATCTTTATGTTGTTTTTAGTGTTTCATTCATTAGGAAGATAGTTAAAACAGGAAATTATATGAGGTTAATTACCATAGTTTTTTAGTATATAAATAAGTGAATTGATGCATAAAATCAGAAGTTTTTTTTAAATAGGTACGAAAGAAAATTTATACGTAAAATATATAAATAATATTATGTTATTTTATGTAACTTGAAAGTAGAAAAATAATTGGTCGTTATTACATGCATACTAATAAAAACAAATTTGGTCATATTGTTTTGTTCATATATTATTAATAAAATGACATAATTTATTCAATATTTAAGTTAAACATGCAAAATGTTCACTATCGGTTACACTTTTGTTTTTAGTTATTTATGTAGATAAGTACAAATTTTTGTCACTCACTATGAGTATTTAGTTCAAAGCTCAAATTAATTATATTTTTAATATAAATTAGACCGGTTCACATTAATTATTGTCTTATTGGATTTAGATTGAATGTTTAAAACCAATACGGAAATTTTTCTTTTAATACATACTAAAGAGCTGGGGAAACCATGTTTCACTAAAAAGAAAAGAAAAATAGAGTAAACTATGTTAGAATTTACTAAAAACTTGATATTCTGTTAATAAATTCTAATAAAATAAAACTTCAAATGGTGTGACATTTTTATAGCTACTACTTACAAAGATTGAAGTGTAATAATTTGATAATTGTGTAACTATTTAGAGAGTTTGAAGTGTTAATAATTGTGTGGTTGTATGTACAATAGTATGCTCTCTTGTTCTCTGACAAAATAAGACATTGTTGCAGAAGAATACTATGGCAACTAAACAAATAAGCAAAACCAGTTTATGACTCTGCTCGAGGCCATAATCTAGTGAAACTGCAGACCTTAAGTGAAGAAAAAAAAAGCTTTGTCCTTTTCCATAAATTAATCAGTGTAGTAAATGTTGATATCACAAAACTAAATGTAAAGAATCGACAAAAAAGCTAAATCGAAGTTACTCTTAGAACAACCTACGACAAAAGCAGTAGAAGATTCAAGAAGAAAAAAAAAACAAAGAAGGAAAAAAAAAATCACTTATTTGTGAAGTCCTCTAAATGATTACGTTTGGTACGAGGATACTTTGGTGTTGCTTTACACATCCTTTTGCTGTGTAAGACTTTATGTTCACAGCAGAAGAAAACTTGGCTTGTGTTTTTATACCCGAGGGACCGAACATATAAAATGAAAGGCTGTTCTTATTTGCTTCGTTTCTTGGCTTCGCTATAGAGGATAACTCCAAAGACCGTGAGAGAGTAACCTAACATTCCAGTTACTGAGACCGGATTCTTGAATATTAGGATGGAAACAACCACTGCTACTGCACCTTTGGCGTTTCCTAGCACCTGTCACAGAGATGTTCATCATTCACTTAGAACCAACAATGATGGAGGAGTTTGCTTGTAAAGAAGAAAAAAGAGATGTGTTGTTACCTGGAGAGTCAGAGCGCTGGTGTGTTTCGTGACTAAGAAATTGGTCAAGTTCACGAAATAAGCGAGCGCGGAATTGAATAGCAGATACCAAACGATTCTAAAATCGTCTCTGGCAAGTGCGATTGTAATCCCAACAACATTCTTCTCCATGATAAGGGTAGCCGGAAGAAGGAACACAACAGCTATGGGAGCCATGTAAAGGAGGAGGTTCATGGAGTTTAGCTTCTCCCTTCAAACAAATTCAGCAAAGATATTTCAGCAGCATTCTTAAAAATACATACTTCTGATTCAACTGAAAAATTTGCACAAGATACTATTATCTCTTTACCCTTCTGAAGATAGCAAAATTCCTTGAAGAACTGATTTAAGTGCTCTCGCAGCTGTTGCTGCAATGCACATAATGAATCCGAACAAGTGGAAACTTGGTTCACCCTAGAGAATCAAAGTCAATATACAAAATGAAGCTCTGAATGAAATCAAATCGACCCAAGAAGAAGTACACTCTGCACTTATATAAAAAGAACAACTTTATAACTAAATCAGATAGAAAGCCTATAACTCTGCTCTTCCAACTACACTTTTTGAGCGGCATATGAAATTCAAACTGTGAAAGTGAAAGTGATTGAGATGATATGAAGAAGTTAACAAAAGTCAGCACCTTCAAGCTCAGAGCAATCCCAAAGATATTCCTAAGCTAGTTCCAAAAATGTTACCTATCAACTTTTAGAGAGACGAATCGAATCAACCACATTCAGCTCATAATCTTCTATTCTGAAAGCACTTAAAACTGTAAAATCCCCCCTAAAGCTACAGACTTCATCAAACACTTGACATCGATTTCCAAACATTTGACCTCAACAAGCATAAACTCAAATCAAAATACAAAAAAGCAAGAGCACATTTTTGTATGATTACCCCACTGGCAATGACAACGCCGGTGACGACGGGGACAAGGGTAAAGTAAGTCAACCAAGCTTCCCTCTTAAACGTGATGATATAAGCGAACACGGCGGTGAAGAAGGGCGTCGTGGCGCCGATCGCCTGGTTAAACGAAACGGGAAGGAACCGGAGGGAGATGTTCCCGAAGACCACCGACACACAGAAAACGAGGCTTAGCGCTGCGATCTTAAGAAACTGGACTCGGGATCGGATGGTTTGCATCGGGACCATCTTCATCCAGGCGATAGCGACGTAGCTGAGAAGGGAACACGCCGTCATGTGGCACATGGTGAGGAAGATCGGATACTTGAATCCGTAGTTGCTTAGCAAGTACTTGTTGAGCAACAGAACCCCGATGTTGGACGAGTACCACGACGCGACGAGCCCGATTGTGAAAAACCGGCCATTGGCCGCCATCTTCATCCTCTGAAACCACCGATCTGATCGATTCTATTTGAGAAGAATCCGAAACGCTTTCACAAAAATTCCACCGATTCGAGGGAGTTTCGGATTACGCCCAATCGATCTGGGACCGCCTTGGGAGAAGGAGGAGATGTTCGGACAGAGATTCGACGTGGTGAAGTTATTATTCAGTGGATCGAAACGAGAGATTGGGTCACGAAACACAGAGAAGGAGAATGGTGGAATCCAGAAGGAGAGAAAACTGCGATTGGAGGAAGAAGAAGATGAAGAAGGTCAATAAGAGATTTTGGGCTAAAGCTACAACAACGCCTCTTTCTCTCTTGTCTTCTCTTTTATAAAAACGCGGAAATTAGTATATATTTCTTTTTCTTTTTTGTTCAGTTCATCAGTTTTGTTTAAATGCGTTATGTAATTTTATAAGCTCTCTTATACAGAGATTTCAGTTTTCGTAAATTTTAATTCTTCAATAAATGCATTCATAATACTTTTTTTCCTTTCTTTAATGGACTTTAATTGATTCCTCGAATAATAATCAAAGTGTCGAGATATGTGTATGAACCAAGGAAAGGAACGTCTGACTTACGAGTTTTGACTTCTTCCGCTCTTCATTAATCCGTCACTACCGTTTTTTTTCGGTTCAGCTCCATTTACAGTATTTTGGCTTTAAAATTACAATAACAAAATTAATACTATATATACTTCGGTTTGGTTTTCTAACATAATCTCAAGGATTTCGAATAATAATATGTTTTCAAACCAAAATGTCAATATAGATATGAGATGTACCATGAGTTATCAAAAAAAAAAAAAATATCATTATTGTTCGGACCAAACTTTCTGAGAGTATAATAAGTAATTCAAGGTTTTATGAGACAAGTACTGTAAACAAAACAAAAAAAAAATAGTTATAGACAAGTGCGTGCCGACGAAAAATAAACGTAGTTGTACATAAGTGGTTGACATGTCGATTTAATGATTCGATTTTCATAGATAATTGCCATTTTTCTTGCACTTAATTCAAATAGTCCATCCATTTTCAATGATAATATAATTTACTAGTTATATAGATCTCGCCAAACAATATTAGTTAGGTTAGACGACTTCATGGGTCAACATTATTCCACAATCGTGCTGTATATAAAATAACGAAAATTAAAACGATAGAGCCCGTAACACAAATAACAATTCAACCTAGAATGTTTGACGAACCATCTAGCTTCCTCGATGCCAGGCAAATACTCGAAGCTGCTCAAGTTACACGCTCGATCCTCAGGCCAGACCGGTTTGATTCTATCATCTTCTAGATTAATCTCTCTTTTGTTCCTGAATCTACCTGAACACTTATAATCACTCTCAAGGTAATTTTTTTTTTTATCTTTTTCACTGCAGACGTTTGTTGAAATTTGGAAAAGTGACGACAATGTCCGATCTTCCAGAAGATTTGGTGGCGGAGATATTCTCTAGGGTTCCATTGACATCCTTGAGCGCCGTGCGGTCCACTTGCAAAAACTGGAACGCTTTGACTAAAACCGAGGTTTTGGGGAAAGCAGCGGCAAGGAAGCAGTTTATGGGGTTTATGATGAAGGATTATAGGGTTTGCTCGATGAGACTCGACCTCCAAGGGATCCGAAACAACGAAGGAAGCTTGGTCGAACCATCCATAAAGCAGGTAGCTCTACTTGACCAAGTCCAAGTATCCGAAGTCTTTCACTGCGACGGCTTATTGCTATGCGCCACAGATGACAAGTCGAGGCTCTTGGTATGGAACCCGTATCTAGGGCAAACGAGGTGGATCCAACCCATAAACAGTTACAACAAGTTAGACAGATACGGTCTGGGATATGATGACAAAGGTAACCACAAGATCTTGAGGATTCACGGTGATTATGGAGACAACAGCAGGCACTACATGCACTACCAGCTGGTTTGTGGGTATCAAGTCTACGATATTCGCTCGAAATCATGGAAGGCTTTTCATCTCAAACCCAAGTGGCAGATAGATTTTTATCAACGTGGCGTGTCGTTGAAGGGAAACACAACACATATATTCTGGCTAGAAACAGACTAAAAAAGACTGGAATAGATACGGTTGAGGATATAGTCTGTTTTGATTTCACAAGTGAGAGATTTGGAGAGCGGCTGCATCTGCCGTTTGTCTCTCGAGATTATGCTAGCTTCGTGTCTGTGTCTGGTGTCAGAGACGAGCAGCTCGCGGTATTGCATCAAAGCAGGGAGTGTGGAGATTTGGGTCACGAATAAGATTGATCCAGGCGCAGTTTCGTGGAGCAAGTACTTGAGATGCTCCGTCTCTGTCCGCTGGGAGGCTGCGCTTTTGGCTGGGAGTTTCTTCATTGACGAGGAGAAGAAAGTTACTGTGGTTGTTGATCTAGAGGGCAGAAGTGGACGGACCAGGGCCGCCCGTTACAACCAAATGGCTTTCATAATTGGACAAGATGGATACTTCAAACCTGTGAGTCTCGGAGAGGCTCCGTGTATTGCAACTGCAACTGGATTAAGGAAGTTCAAATTCTGTCACCCACTTTTGTGCTCCTCTTCTTCTTATGTTCCAAGCTCAGTGCAACTTCAACCGCCATTATTACTCACTTCTTTCAACCGCCATGACTGTGTGTGATTTAGGAACACAAACACAATCCGTGAAAACCAACAAATGAATGGAATTTACTTTGTAGTCCAACAGATACAGCCTTGCTTCTTGAAAACATTAAAGAAGAGGTTGTCAGCTTTCACACCGGTCATTACGAACAAGATCGCTCAACTTTTGCCTCGTGAGACCACTTTTTATGCAAAAGGGTTAGGAAATTCAGCTCCATCTATCTATTGTTTTGGGCGTTTTGGAATAGGGTAGTCATTGTGAGCATTTTGATAATTTGAACTCCTCTTTCCCCTATCAAGGCGCAATTTGAATTTCATGGATTAGCATTATTCAACAATCGTATAGTATACTCAAACTTCATGGGTCAAACCTTATTCCACAATCGTATAGTATCTACTCAACCACAGATAAAGAAACCTAAAACGATAGAGACAAGAAACCACAAATAACAATCACAATTATTTTCTTAGCAAAAACAAAATACAACAGCCTAGTAATTTAGTTCCAAAATGTGATTCAAACGCAGAAATCATGACTCCAACCTAAAAAAAACAACCATTGCGATTGCTTAATGTTGATCCAAAATCATGATTTCGCTATTTCATTGGCAGAATCATGGTTGGTGTTAGCCGCTTCACAAAGCGTCCATCGTGGAAGATTACTGGCTTTGGAGGCTGCAGCTCAAGTTGTTCCTCACGGCGGTTCAAGTGAACCGGTGCATGAATTTGCTCCTAGATATATATAAGAATTAATTAACGATTAACTAGTCGATCTTGTATTTATTTATATATGTGGACTTCCTAAACACTTAGAAGATGTGAGATTCCCAAAAGAACGTTATAGTTTGTGAAAAAAAACATCAACGACGCCGTTCAAAACAGATTGATTGATATTGGTTTCACGTACCAAACCGGTGACAAAACCGAGCCCGTTCACGATCAGCTCCGTACGGATGACCTCATCGGCTCCAAGATGATCCTTAGCAAACCTTTCCACCATAACTCGAGGCATCCTCGTCAGTCGTCATCTATGTAGGACTTTGGCAGGACGGCTCTAGCCACCAGCTTCATCTCCGATTCGCGGATATCGGACGTTGCTACGAAGATCATGAGCTTGAGAGCGGCGTTTTTGTAGTCCTAGACGTTGAGGAGTGCGATGATGGGCCAGATGAACAACATGATGGTGAAACGGATAAGACCTGAGACCTCATAGGCAACGAGCATGAAGTAAGAGAACAAATCATTGTTTTTAAAAATTTACTTTTATGATAAACATTCAAATTTAACAAACCATAATTTTATTTCATTTTTTTTCAGTTGAATTCGTAAAGTAAAAAGATTAATTAAAAACTGTAAAACAAAAGAGCATATAGTTAGAATATTTTTAGAGAGAAAAATAAAGTGAATCATTCGAAGTTTCGAACATTCTTTCTTCTTTGTAAAGTAAAGTAAAAAAAAAAAAAAAAAATTAACCACGGGAGATGATTCAAGCCAAATCACATCATAGCGGCCTTTCAAGGTAAGGGTCCCGGGGAGATTTCGGGACGAGATATTCTGAAACGTCCGTGACGTAAGTCTTCAGCTTCGACGTGGTTCGAGTGAGCCACCCAATGTTTGTCTGCTCCATCTCACTCTCCATTTTCATCTTCATCTCTTCCTCTTCCAACATACGGATCCTTCTCTCCCCCATATACTTCTTCACAGCTTCAACGCCTTCTTTCACCACTTCCTTGGGTGGCACTATGAGCGGGTTCTGCTCCACATTCAGTTTGGTCAGGCTTTCTAGTGTGCCGAAAGTGTCTGGGAGGGCGTGGATCTGGTTGTTACTCAAGTCCAGTTCTTGGAGGCTTATGAGGTCGCCGAACGAGGAAGGGAGATCATTGAGATCACTGAAGTTGCTGCTTAGGTTTAGGTACTCGAGGTTTGTGAGCAGCACGAACGAATCAGGAAGGCCGTGCAGTTCATTGAAGTGGGCGTCGAGGTGCTTCAGGGATCTCATTTCGCCTACACTGGTCGGGAAGGATCGGATCTTGTTATACTGGATCATGAGCTTTTCTAGGTTCACTAGCTCGAACCCAATGTTGGTTGGTAAGTAGGTGAGACGGTTGAAGCTCACGTCCAATATAACCAACGACCTGAAGAAAGAAGCGATTAAAAAAAGTCAAAACTTGACAAAGTAGAGTTATTACATACCCACAACGGCAGATGGAATCAGGCAAGGAGGTGAGCTTGTTGGTCGAGACATTCAGGATTTTGAGATTGGACAATAGACCGATAGAATCGGGTAATGTCTCTAGAAGATTCCCCGAAACATCCAATTCAATAAGACTTTGCAATCCAGCTATTGAATCAGGAATCGCCTGATGTACATAGAGATTAGTCAGGTAAGTAACGTGAGACTTAACAATAAACGTATGCGGCTGAAGCCACAGATTCAACCTCAGAGCAATCAAGCATGGATAATATCTAATAGCAATCACTTGCAAAATGTGAATTAACACCCATAGGCCATAACACACCATATATGTAACCTGCAGCTGTTCCTTCACTAACCAACTTATTGAGAACACAATTCTCGGCTTTCAAAGTCGCAGAAACGAATAAGCAAATGTGCATAGAGACGTCAGTGATGCACAATCTCTTTGAATCACATCAGAAAATGACACTTTGTACCAAGACAAAGAAAACAAAATAGCCAGAATCAAGTGTTACCAGTGATCTTGTGATCCCAATTTATTAACTTTAGCTAAAGGGATTTCGGCTAATCAACCATTGTATAATGGCCAGTATATATACATTTACGCTACACTAAAGATTACCAAATTCTCAAACTTTGTAGGATCCTAAATCAAATTGAGAAACATTGTATCAAGTTGTGGTTTTGATTATGAAATTAAAAGAGCTGACCTGGAGCTGATTGTTGGAGAGGTTAAGAACAAGCAATCCTTGAATCCGGCCAAATGCTTCAGGGAGCAATCTCAGCTTCCTCCCAGACAGATCCACGCGATCCACAGTATTAGCCGATGCGTGCTGCAGTATACCCACAACCTCCTCATTGACCTCCACCACCGCAACGGTATCCTCATCCGCCGCCGCATTCTTCTCGGCGGTTTCATAAATCCTGACCAGCCTCTCCTCCGCTTCCTTCAGCAGCTTCTCGTACGAAGCATGGACCTCGTCCAGTTTCAAAATGGACTCACACCACGTCTTCTCCTGATCCATCTCTCGCCTCCTCTTCTCATCCTTCGCCGCCGCATCGGTGAGCGCGATGTCCTCGAACGATTCGGATAAGAGCCCCTCGATTTCCGAGAGCTTGGCACGGGCCTTGTCGACGGTCTCGTGATCGGGTCTGGGTCCTAGGGTTCGGAGGATAGATCGGGTCTCGGCGACGTCGGAGATCGCTTTGGTCATGGAGTCGAGAACACCTGGTTGAGTCAAGTGAGGCATCTGGGTGACGATCTCGATCGACGATGGTGGTTGCTCGACATCGAAGGCAGGAACGGAGGAGGAGGAGGAGGATGAAGGGGAAGAGGATTTGCCGGTGAAAGAAGGGAGACGAGCGAGGACGTAGGAGAGGACAGGGAATTTATTAGGGTTAGGCTCCGCCGCCATTGCTGTAGCTTGGCGTATGAAGAGTGTCTCTGAGAAGATTTGAATCTGAATCGGGGATTGATGATTGATGATTGATGAAGATGATGATTCGGGTTTTGTTTTAGGATCGACGCGAAGTTGTGAGTTTGTCTCTCCACGTTTTCTTGTGGTGTGCCTCTCTCTCTCTGCTGCTCTCTGTTGCCACTTGACACGTGTAAACTAATGATGCTGAATAGGTAATGATGTATAATGATGTCATTATCATATATCAGAAATAAAAACATAAGTGAAAAGAAAAAAAGGAAAAAAATATATATCAGACCGTTATTTAAGACTTTTTAAAAATAGACAGACTGTGTTTCGATATATAATTTTCAGAAAAGAATTTGAATGTTGAAAAAAGAGAGTTGAGTTTTGAATGCTCTACAAAATATTGCAATAGAGTTGATAAATTTTTGTATTTATTTTTTTAGACCGTTAGACTTGTTGGACTTTTTGATACAGCTATATGAGTATTTATGAACTTCTAATACAAAAATTGTTGGTTAGCAATGCGAGTGCTTGTCTAATTAGAAAGATAAAATAGGGTAAAACGAAATAAGAAAGATTTTTAGAGAAATGATATCGACCGTTTGCCAACTTTCAAGCTCGTGTTTTCGACTATACTCACTTTACTTTGGACACATATAACCACCAGTTCAGCACACATATATTTTATTTAAATAAGCTTCAGTTAGAGAGAGTACTGAAGATTTGAATAATAGCAAGTTGTTGTGTCCCACAAACTAAAACAAGCCAAAGTCGAAGTCAACTACTTTGGAGTTATGTTGTAAGGACAGTCATTGCCTTGTCATCGCATCTCCTAAAACATTGACTTTTTCTTGCTTTGATCAACAAAACTCATTTTGCATTGTTTTTCATTGATCAATTTGGAATCGAACTCGCATTGTATTATACTCTATAATTGAATAAATAACAAATTTTTATCTTGGAGTTGAGTTTGATTAGCCATCGTAATCAACATACAAATTTGTGAATGATTAGAAATTAAGATTTCAATGGATCTACACTTTTTTTGGAACTTTTAAAATGGATCTACACTTCCTAGCACAATATACATGAACATATTTCAATTTTAAAATGCACAAACAATTATAGCTATAATTTTATTTTAAACTGTATACAATATATGTGATTTGGGTAAATTAAACCAAATTTTTTTAAAAAATATAATTTGAAATTAGAAACAAAGTAGTTTAAACTATTAATAAAATTGACTTTGGCCAAACGGCTTCAAAATAACAGATTAGTACATCTTAATCATATCTAAAACTTCTTTAAATACCTGTTTAAGTAAGAAAAAAATTATAAGTTTTAATAATATAAAAATAGATAGGTTAAACAAACTATCTAATGATTTGTTGTATCGTATTCTTTCTGAATTTTCTACAAAAAATTGATATGTCAACAAAGTTACTTTTTAATACATAACCCCAAATAATCATTTAAAATTATTTATGGAGCATCTAAATAAATAGTAAGATAAATTATAGTTGAATATCAAAAAGCCAACCGGCCGAAGGACCAGTACAGCTTGCTATAACATAATTTGAATTTGAATGTAAATCATAACAAATGTGCAAAAGTAAAACAAATTAAATTAAAGTATTTTTAGAAATAATGTTAACAAAATAGAACGAAATTGTTGATTTCTAAATTTTTTTAAACTTTCCACCAATAATTGAAATAAAATCGAACATAAAAAAAAGATTATCTAAATTTGAAATAGTTTATTCAAAGTTAAATCGAGGAAAAAAAAACCTTAACACATGACCACTCAATTATTGAAACTTCAGAGTGTATATTGTATTTTTCTAGAAAAAAAAAAACCAAATTGAACACCAACAAATAATATGAAAGATTGGTAACCATGAATTGTTTAATAAATATGAAGAAATTTGATAATCCCACTTGGAATTGGTCATTCTTTAACAACAAAATAGACATAAAATATATTTTTTTTAGATCGAATCAGCATAATGACGTGTATCGCTGACGTAATAAGCCTCGTCGTTGATGTGCTTTGCATATAAACCTATAGGAACAAGAAGTTAAACAGAGAGAAACACAACCACACACAAAATGGAGACTAGAGAAACAAAACCAGTGATCTTTCTCTTTACTTTCCCTTTACAAGGTCACTTAAACCCAAATTTTCAGCTTGCCAACATCTTGTTCAACAGAGGCTTCTCCATCACTGTGATTCACACTGAGTTTAACTCTCCAAACTCTTCCAATTTCCCTCACTTCACTTTCGTTTCCATACCCGACGGCTTGTCTGAATCCGAAGCCACGAATCCCGACGTCATCGAGCTTCTCCATGACCTCAATTCCAAGTGTGTTGCTCCTTTTGGTGACTGCTTAAAGAAGCTTTTGTCTCAAGAACCAACTGCTGCTTGTCTGATCGTAGACGCTCTTTGGTACTTCACTGACAACATAACCGAAAAATTCGGTATCCCCAGGATCGTTCTCCGGACGGTTAACCTCTCAGCTTTCGTGGCTTTCTCAAAGTTTCATGTTTTACGAGAGAAAGGGTATCTTTCTTTGCAAGGTATGTATATAATATACAGATCGAGTTTGAGATTTATCTCTAGTTGACTTCATTTTTGTTGACTTTTCTTCTCTTTCCATGGCAGAGTCTCAGGCGGACTTACCGGTTCCCGAGCTTCCATATCTTAGAATGAAGGATCTTCCATGGTTCCAGACAGAAGATCCAAGATCAGGGGATAAGTTACAGAGAGGTGTGATGAAGTCACTAAAGTCATCCTCAGGAATCATATTCAACGCCATTGAAGATCTCGAACCAGAACAGCTTCTTCAATCCCTCAAAGAATTCCCGGTTCCGCACTTCTGTATCGGACCCTTTCACAGACGCGTTAAAGCTTCATCGAGTAGCTTACTCACACAAGACATGACCTGTCTCTCCTGGTTAGACAAGCAAGAACCGGAATCCGTAATCTACGTAAGTCTTGGAAGCATTGCCTCCATCGATGAATCTGAGTTCTTGGAGATCGCTTGGGGTCTAAGAAACAGCAACCAGCCTTTCCTATGGGTGGTTAGGCCCGGTTCAATCCGCGGTACGGAATGGATTGAGATTCTGCCTAAAGGGTTCATGGAGAATCTGGAAGGTAAGGGTAAAATCGTGAAATGGGCACCTCAGATTGAGGTTTTAGCTCACCGTGCAACAGGAGGATTCTTGACACATTGTGGATGGAACTCGACGATTGAGAGCATATGTGAAGCTGTGCCAATGATATGCAAACCTTCTTTTGGGGACCAGAGGGTGAATGCAAGATACATTAGCGATGTGTGGAGGATCGGTTTGCATTTGGAGAACAAGATTGAGAGAGTGGAGATCGAGAAAGCTGTTAGGACGCTATTGACTAGAGGCTCGCAAGGAGAAGAGATCCGCAAGAGGATCATGCCGATGAAGGAAACTGCTGAAAAATGCCTTAAGCTTGGAGGTTCATCATGTCGGAATCTCCAAAACTTGATTGCTTATATATTGTCTTTATAAAAAAATGGTTTCTTTTCTCCACATTCCAAATTTGTTTCCTTTTCATTTTTTTTTTTCTGCATTCCCAAAATAAGACATATCTAAATTGTTATATATCATTCAAAAAAAATTCAGAATAAAACTTTACTACTTATGATTTAAGAGATAATAATGAGTTTGGTTTAAGCTAGATTGTTTTTTTTTTTTAAACTAGGAATAGGATCATAGCTTCAGGTTAATTTATTGTATACTAAAAATTAAATAAAAATTTATTTAAAATAAAGATAATGGTAAATATTTTAAACAAACTTTCAAATGGAGAAAAAAATTTTCAACTATGAAATTAATGAAAAAATCATTTTTATTCATAATTATGTTAAAACTTAAAAGACCAACATTAAATCAAATGTATATGATTTAGATTGTAAAAATAAGATAGAAAAAATATCAAATTTTTTGTACAACGATAAACTATTCTTCTTCAATCAATTTTCTATCCAAAATATCTCATTATTACATTATTTTAAAATTATCAACGTCAATTTTTACAATTCAAAATATTTTGATAAAATGTTTGAATATTTACATTTTAAAGTTATTATAGGCTGAAAAAAGAGGAATTCACACAAAATTTATAGTTGAGGACTTTATTTTCTATTTATCTTTTGATATATTAACTTCTAGTATAGTGACATGAAATTTGATTAGAAACAAAAAAAAAAATTGGCTTATTTTGTCTTAATTTTTTTGAGATTATATTAAATATCACAATTAGGTAGCCTATATAAATCGATAGAATTGAAAAAGTTAACACCAAACCCTAAGTTTTCTCTTCTGTGTATCATCATCATCGAGCATGATGAGGCATAATAATCTTCAGCAGCACGCGAGGCGTATTCTCGCTAACAGCAGCAGAACTCGATTCTTCCATACTCTGGAGAGTCGGATCGAGTCGGCGGTATCTCAGAAAGCAGATATCAGTACGGTGCTTGAGCAATGGCGACAAAAACAAGGGAATCACCTGAACCCTTCATTGGTGAGAGTAACCGTCGAGAAGCTTCGCGAATCCCAGCGTTTTCGCCATGCCTTGGAGGTATCAGACTGGATGGTTGAGCAAAAGATCTGCCATCTCGTCCCGGAAGATTTCGCAGCTCGATTTCATCTGATCGAGAACGTTTTAGGTTTAGAAGAAGCAGAGAAGTTCTTCGAGAGCGTCCCGGAGAACCTGAGAGGCTAATCCATCTACACCGATCTATTAAACAGTTACGCAAGACGGTCGGGAAGAAGAGCTTTGGATAAAGCCGAAGCTACTTTCAAGAAGATGAGGGAGCTAGGTTTGCTGCTAAAGCCTTCGCCGTACAGCTCGATGGCCTCGCTCTACGGCTCTCTCGGAAACAGAGATAAGGTCGATGAGATTCTCCGAGAGATGAAGGAGAGCAACGTTAGGCTCGATAGCCTCACCGTGAACAGCGCCTTGCGAGCGTACGCTGCTGTATCTGACATCGCAGCAATGGAGAAGTTTCTGGCTGATTCGAAAGCGACTCCAACGATTGCGTGGGTCACAAGAATCGACATGGCAAGGGCTTATCTGAGAGATGGTTCAAAGGAAAAGGCGAGAGAGATGCTTCGTAGAACAGAGAAGTTGAAGGATCCGGACTCCTGTGAGGACATCATGAAGCTGTATGGTGAAGCAGGAAAGAGTGAAGATGTTTACCGTATATGGAAACTCTACAAGAAATCAAGAGAGCAGAGCAACGAAGGGTTTCTTGCTTTGATTGAATCTCTCTTGAAGCTTGATGATGTCAAAGGAGCAGAGGAGATATACCACAATGAGTGGGAGTGCTCGGGTCTTGAGTTGGACCTCCGAATCCCAACATTGTTGGCGTCTGCTTATCGCAAAAAGGGAATGGCCAATAATGCATATGGATTGATGAGCAAGACTATGAGGAACAGAGCATTTGCTGGACCAATCACTCCGTTGCTGGAAGAATGGGGAAAAGGAGGGAATCAGTCGGATTTGAGAGACCTCATCAGGAGTCTCCGTGATTCAAACCAGTTCTCCAAAGCACTCGAGGCATCAACATGGATGGGTGAGAAGAAGTTGATCAATCTCTTTCCAGAAGAGTACGCATCTAGGCTTCATCTGATTGAGAAGGTGTTGGGCTTGGAGGAAGCAGAGAGATTCTTCGAAAAAAGCATCCCGGAAGAGATGAAGGATCAATCTGTCTACGCCGCTCTCTTGATCTCTTACACGAGATGTGGAAAAACTCTAGACAAAGCAGAAGCCACTTTCGAGAAGATGAGAGATCTCGGGTTCCTCTCAAGGCCTTCCCCGTTCAACTCGATGATATCTCTCTACGGCCAGCTAGGATGGCCAAGTAAGGTCAAGAAGCTTGTAAAGAGGATGGAGGAGGAGAAGATAGAGCCCGATAGTGTCACGATGAACAACATTCTGAGGGTGTACGCAGATGAAACAGACATAGAGACGATGGAAGAGTACAAGGTTGATGCTGAGAAGAAGAAAACCAAGCTGGAAGCGAGGACGATGGCTGCGATGGGAAAGGCCTACGAGAGAGAAGGGCTAATGCAAAATGCAATAGAGACAGTTCCCGGTAAAGAAGAAGTTCACCGTCTATGGGATGAGTACAAGAAGGAGGGAGAAATTTGGGACGAAGGATATCAAAGTGTGATTAGCTCTTTGCTGAAGCTGGACGATGTAGATGGAGCAGAGCGGATCTATGGAGAATGGCAATCAAAAGGTCGCGAGCTCGATGCTCGAATACCCGGTTTGCTAATCTCTCGTTATTGCCAGGACAATGATTACATGAAGGTAAGAAAGGTACTGGATTCAGCTAGAAAGAGTTGTAAGCGGATGCGTATTGAGGAACCAACTATCCTTTCCCTTGAGAGTGTAGCGACCTTGAGTGTGATTCCTCTGGCCCTGTTATGGTGCTACGGTGTATTTCCTTAACTTTTATCGCGGGAAGCTCTCTTTGTGTTTTCTTTTTCTTTCTACTAATTGTTATGATTAAAAAAAAAAAAACTGGTTTCCAAGACTAGAAACGTTATCAAAGTTTACATACTTGATTGGTCCTGCATCAGCAATAAAGAATGGTCTGAATTAATCAAACAACATTGTGTTTACCCATAAACAAAGATTCAAGGACAATAGAAATGAAAAACCAAGCAATCCCGGTTTAACCCGTACCGGACTTGGCCTATGGGAATTGGGAAAATCGCGAATGAAACCGAGATCACTCATTAACCTCGTATTTCTTTCAAGATTTATTTAATTAATTAATACCATAATCTGTAAAAAAATGTGAAAGAAAGTTTCATCGAAAAAAGGACAGTTTCATTAATGTTTTAGATTCGGTATTCCTTCCAAATTTATTTAAAAATATAGTGTAATGAGGGAATCAGAGAATAAAAGCCACTAAACTAAATTGAAAAAATTAGCAATCAATATCGAAGAGGAACATGATGACGCATAGGGTCTGACTGGTACATCAGATGAATAACAGAATAGCAGAATAACTAAAAAAATTATTAGCGGAATGAACTGAACTGAATAATATTTTAGCTGAATAATTGTGAAACGCTGAAAATCTACTTTTAGTAGATTAATCACGTTTTGCTTTTTTTTAGTTATATTTTTAACATGCTAGCGGAATCATGTTTCAAAAACATAAAAAATATAAAAAAGTGATGAATATCATTAATGATAAAAAATAACTAAATCAGTTTTCAAAACTTAGAAAGAAAACTTTGAAAAAGCTGCATACTATTCAAACCCATAATCTACAGCAGCAGGCGAGCGTAGACTAGCTCACAGCAGCAGCAGCAGGAATCGATTCTTCTGCTCCTACACAAACGGAGCCCTGTCGTCTCCGGCAACGAACCACACTCTGCAGAGTCGGATCGAAGCTGCTTCAGATCGGAAAACCGCAATCACTACGGTGCTTGAACAATGGCGACGACAGCAGAAAGGGAAACAGATAAACCCTTCGTTGGTCAGAGTAATCGTCGAGGAGCTCCGCGATTGCCAGCGGTTTCGTCAAGCCCTAGAGGTATCAGACTGGATGATTGAGCAAAAGCTCTGCAATCTCATCCCGGAGGATTTCAAAGTTCGATTTCATCTGATTGAGAACGTACTGGGGTTGAAAAAAGCGGAGAAGTTCTTCGAGAGCATCCCGGGGAAGGAGCGAATCCGTCTACACCGCTCTATTGAGCAGCTACACGAAATCGGGGAAGAAGTATCTATACAAAGCCGAAGCTACTTTCCAGAAGATGAGGGAGCTAGGTTTGCTGTTGAAGCCTCTGCCGTACAACTCGATGACGTCTCTCTACAGCTCAATCGGAAACCGAGATAAGGTCGATGAGTTTCTGCGAGAGATGAGTGAGAACAATGTTCGTTTCGATAGTCTCACCGTGAACAACGCCCTGCGAGTGTACGCTGCTGTATCTGACATTGCGACAATGGAGGAGTTTCTGGGTGATTGGGAAGCGATTGTGAAGCTCGAGTGGCTCACGACACTTGAAATGGCAAAGGCTTATCTGAGAGATGATTCAGAGGAAAAAGCGAGGGAATTGCTTCGTAGAACAGAGGAAATGATGGATCCGGAGTCTTATGAGGAGCTCATGAAGCTATATGGTGAAGTAGGGGAGAGAGAAGATGTTTACCGTATATGGGGTATGTACAAGATTTCAGAAAAGCAGGATAATGAAGGATTTAGAGCTTTGATTGGATCTCTCTTGAAGCTTGGTGATATCAATGGAGCAGAGGAGATATACTACAATGAGTGGGAGTACTCGGGTCTTGAGTTTGATGTCCGAATCCCAACTATGTTGGCGTCTGGTTATCGAGAAGAGGGAATGGTGAAGAAGGCAGATAAACTTATGAGCAAGACTATAAACAACAGGAGCTTGGTTAGACCAATTAGTCCGTTGCTTGATGAATGGAGTAGAAGAGTGAATCGAGTGAAGCCTTCGGACATGAGAGGCCTCATCAATGATCTTTGTGATTCAAAACAATACCCTAAAGCTCTCGAGGCATCGACATGGATGGGAGAGAAGATCCTGTTTGATCTTTTTCCAGAGGATTATGCAGCTAGGCTTCATCTGATTGATAACGTGTTGGGTTTGGAGGAAGCAGAGAGGTTCTTTGAAAGCAGTATCCCAGAGAAGATGAAGAATTACTCTGTCTACTCCACACTCTTAGCCTCGTACACAAGATCCGCCAAGACTCTAGGTAAAGCAGAAGCCACTTTCGAGAAGATGAGCGAGCTCGGGTTCCTCTCAAAACTCTCCCCATTCAAATCCATGATATCACTCTACAGTGAGCTAAGGAAACGAAGCAGGGTCATGAAGCTTGTAGAGAAGATGAAGGAGAAGAACATAGAGCCAGATAGTGTCACGATGAACAACGTTTTGAGAGTAAACGCGGATGTATCAGCGATAGAGTCGATGGAGAGGTGTAAAAGAGAATGTGAAGATGGTAGAAACAAACTCAGACTCGAAGTGAGGACGATGGATGCAATGGCAAAGGCTTACGAAACAGCCGGGCTAACACTAAAGGTGATACAGTCAACAGGGAGCAAAAATGAAGTGTACCGTCTATGGAATGAGTACAAGAAAGACAACATAGGAAACATGGGAAATGAAGAGTATTTAAGTGTGATTAGATCTTTGTTGAAGCTAGTCGATGTAAAAGGAGCACAAGAGATTTATGATGAGTGGGAACCAAAAGGTTACGAGTTCGATAGTAGAATACCGAGTTTGCTACTCTCTCGTTACTGCGAGGAGGAGTATAATGAAGTGAAGGCAAGGGAAGTAGTGAAGTCGATGAGGAAGAAGAGGAGGCTGTTACAGTTTGAGGTGTTTAAGGATGTGAGCATTGTGGTAATGGGCACGTCGCTAGGGGCTGGGTTTGTTCCAGGCACGCTATGGATTTGTGGAGGAGAACCCTCTACTCTTTGGGTTTCCCTAGGACTTGTAATCGTTGCTATTGCTTATGCATTTACAAATGGAGGTCGTTCTATTTAATTTAAGTCGGTTCAGAAAGTTTTGTTACTGGATTGAAACTTTTTGTGTTCGATCGGATTAATTTGGTTTTCAGTTAACATTATACTACATTACTAGGTAATAACTTGGAGGCTAAAATAATTGTTACTTATTTATATTTAATATAATTTTAAAATTATATAATATAATATAATTAAATTAATATAAATTTAATATAATATTATACAAAGATAATATAATAGTAATGTATATTAGTTTAAAAATTAAGTAGCATGCATAACACATGATATAGATGGATAAAAAATATGAAGTTACCAAACAGATTTTCAATATCTTGTAATTGATGATATTATTCATTATTTTCACTAATGTCCAAGATTTGGATATACAATTTATGTTCATATTTAATTAATTTTGACTCTTATTATTAGTTAAATAGTTTGTTATTTATCTATTAAATATTATTAGTTAAATAAATTAAAACATTTTCTTAGTCTCAAATTGGACTTATTCAAAATATGATACAAATCGATAAGATAATATTTTTTAAAAAAAATCTATATAAATATATGGTCCATTAATATCATAAATTAATAATTACCATAAAATAATCTTATATAAAAATATAACTATGATCATTTACTAAAATATGAATATATAATGATTTGTTTTTTTTTAAATTGAAATAATGTTATGGTTTATCTACAATTTAAAAGTGAAGTATTTAAAGATATTACTAACTTTTAAAACAAATATAATTTTTAATTAATTATTAATAAATAATCTATTTAGTTCCAAACCGATAATTTTATAAATTAAGAAAATATTGAAATCACAATATTATCAATTTATAGAATTTTTACAGTAATTAAATTGATTGATTTAAAACAGACAAACTAAGGAAAAAAAACATGAACAAATCTTGCTGAAAATTTGATACTATATATGTTAAATCAAACAGTAATTAAAAAAATAAACAATTAATATTGATATTATCATATTATGATCTCTTGCCAAAAAAGTAAGCAATAATGCTATATACCATATTTGTCATCTAAGAATCATATATAAATTAAATCATAATGCAATATATCATATTTTCTTATATAGTAAATCTGAATATTAAATAATATATATCATAATAATTTTGAAAATTCATCATTTTCTTTTTAATTGATGTTTGTGATAAAAATAACATATATTTTTAATTTATATTTTGTATATATTATTATGAATTGTTAAAAGATATTATATATATTTTTACAGTTATTTTCATGCATGCTATAATTATAAAAATATGTGAATAAAATCATTATGATTTTCTTTTATTTGTTCTGATTGATTTTTAAGAAAATAAAATATCATCTTTAATTATTTTGTTGTATTTATAAAAATATTTTTAGTAAACAATTAATAAACATATTTTTGAGAAAAATAAAATATTATTTTTAATTATTATGTCGTATTTATAAAAATATTTTTAATAAATAATTAGTAAACACATTTTCTAATAAAAGTAGTAAACATTAGTAAAGTGTTATATATTTGTTATGAATTTGAGAAAAATAAAATATTATTTTTTAATTTTTCAGATGTTTTTATAAGAATTTTGTTTTATAAATAATCAATAAAAAAAAAAAATTTAAAGTAGCAAGCATAAATAAGTATTATATATTTTACTATGAATGATAAAAATAGTAAATATTAAAAAAATATTATATATTTTATTATAAATTTATAATAAAAAATATATGGATAGTATTTTAAAAATATTATATAATAAATTTCGTGTATATTATATCTAGTATTAAATAAATTTCATTTTATTAAATTATTAATTCTAATATTATTCCCTTTAAATTCATTTTAAAAAAAAATAAAATATAACATATTTATGGACCTAAAATATACAATGGCATATCATGTAATTAGTTTAGTAATCTAAGTCTTTTTTAAAAAAATAGCTGAGAATAAATATGGGGTTGACACATCAGCAAAATGGCATCATTGTAATATTTTACAAATTTAAGGTTTTTCTTTAAAAATACTTCTCTTTTAATATATAGGATATATTACATGTTGAATCACATTTTAGATTATGATTAAATTAATGACTCGAACAAAATTTTGAAGTCACTATCTACTTCTTTTTAACAGTAAAATATTTCAATTACGTCGATATTGATCTATCAACATGAAACATATTTTTAGTTAATTTATCAGGCTAGTTTTGGTGTCTCTTTAACATATTTTGTAAGGAGTTCTCTTAGATTTTTTTTTAAAGATATGATGAAACACAATCGAACACAAGAAAAGAAGAGAGTGAGTATTCCTCTTTAGATATTGTTCATAGTAACCAATATGATGATTAGTTTCACGTTCCAATACACTTGAACTGACACAATGAGACGATAACTTGCAGATGAATAAGAAGTGGTCATACTCCATACAAAAAGACGGAAAAAACAAACATTATATAATAAATTTTATAAGATTGCCCAGTAAGTCGTTGTAGTATAGTGGTAAGTATTCCCGCCTGTCTCGCGGGTGACCCGTGTTCGATCCCCGGCAACGGCGAATTTTTTTTTGTCGTTTTGTTGCCGTAATTTCTCTCTTTTCTCTTTCTCTGTTAGTAGTATCACTAATTATCAGGAAGAAAAGGGAGAAGGAGAGTTCCCGCATTGCTCGGATTTGATTCCGTTGATTTTTTTTTTCCTCCCCGAGAAAATCTGTGATCGAGAAGTCAAAGAAAATCAATGACTACGAAGAACTTGGTGGATCCTTCGTGGCGTCTTCTGGCTGCGTGCGGCGGGGACACGGTCAAGCTCTTCGACGTTTCCGCCGGCGCCGAGTCTAGTGATGATCCCTGCGTTTTGAGCTATACTCCGACGCGTGGCTCTGTCGTCAATTCCGTGAAGTGGAACCATACGAGTAAGTGACCCTAGATTCTCGCTTTTTTTTTTCTTTCTTCTTCTAAGAGTGCCACTCCACTTTCCCTGGTTTGCTTTGATTGGTGAGAGATTTAGACAGTTAGCTAGGCAGTAAGGAACTTCTTCATGATTGATCTTTGGTCTTATAATAATTTAACAAGTTGTGAAGAAGCAGGATCCAGATTCAATTGAGCCTCGGTGTTGAATTGGTGTTCACTTAGAGATTGTGCAGGAGGAATATTAACTCGTGCTATCTGTTTACACTGCCTTGAGTTTGAATTCCGGATTCTAATTGATTTAGTGTGCATTTGGTGGAGGAGAATTCTTCATTTGTGTTCAAGTTATTGCTTGTTTGTGATGCAGATATGGTTGTAGCGAGTGTTGGAGAAGATAAGAAAATATCTCTGTGGCATAAAAATGGCAAGAGCTTGATAACAGTGCCGGTTACTTTGACGAACAGCAGTGACACCAATGAGGTTACTGCTTTTTTTGAATCCCTAACTCTTGTGCTTATGAGATCCTGATTCCGATTTCGATATCAACATTAGCAAACCCCAATAAAGTTTATTCAGTATAGACTAATTAGTCCTATGGTCGTCTTCACAATGCTTTGCATTTTCTCTTCTCTGAATTCAGGAATGTTTATCGGCCATTAACTTCAGCAACAAAGGGTCGAGGTATATGTGTTCTGGAGGAACTGGTCAAACTGTAAGGATATGGGATTTGCAGAGAAAGCTCTGTATCAAAAATCTCAAGGGGCATACAAGTACAATAACGGGTGTGATGTACAACTGCAAAGACGATAATTTGGCTTCTATCAGTGTTGATGGGGATCTGATTGTCCACAACCTTAGATCTGGAGAAGGAGCTACTGAACTCAAAGATCCAAACGGCCAGGTTGTTTGGTTAGTACGTTGCATACTTTCGTTTATATTTGAGAGCTTTCGGTCACCAATCTAATTGGCTTTCTGGTCGATTCAAGACCAGGTGTTGAAGGTTCTCGATTATTCAAGGTTCAGTCGACACCTTCTACTTACTGCAGGTGATGATGGGACTGTGCATCTCTGGGACACGACTGGTCGTAACCCAAAGGTTTGCTCTTTTACCGTGTTGCTCCACGTGGGACAGAATGTGTATTACAGTATTGTCAAATGTCTTCTTTGTTCTTCATGATTGGGCACATTTGTTGTCTTATCTTAGATCTTTGAAAACTATACGACATTTACATCTTCGGAATACTTTGGCTAGCACTATATATACCAGGAGATAATACTATTCAATTCAACATAAAACGAAAGCTAGATGATAGATGATATCATTACTCAATAACGTGTTAAATTATGTATCTCTGACAATGTAATTTCATTTCCACAGATGTCCTGGTTGAAGCAGCATTCTGCACCAACTGCTGGTGTTTGTTTCTCTCCGTCAAATGACAAGGTTACTGATCCCTTATATATGATCTAGTTACTCATACATGGATCAATTTAGTTGCGTATTATACTCTGTATGTTCTTGTACATGTGCATGTTATACCCACAAAGCCACGACTTACATAAGCTTCTCCAATGCTTTTTCTTATGGAGTTTATCTACGGTTTGACAGATAATTGCCAGTGTGGGGCTAGACAAAAAGCTTTACACTTACGACTCAGGTTCCAAAAGACCTTCTTCCTGCATTCCGTATGAAACACCTTTCTCTTCTTTAGCGTTTGGGGATAATGGGCACATACTAGCAGCTGGAACCGGTAATGGTAGAATAGTATTCTACGACGTACGTGGAAAACCACAACCTTTCACTGTCCTGCATGCGTACAGCAGCTCAGAGGTCAATACTTTTTCCCTTAGCGCAACCTCTAAGCATTACGGTTTTGCTATGGTTACATGGATGCCACAATTTTGTAAGATGATATATTTTTAAGCTTTCTACTTTGGATTGTAAAGCGAACTAAGCCTCTGATTTTATTGATCAGGCTGTTACAAGTTTATCCTGGCAAACATCAAAACCGGTTATTGTGAATGAAAGAAACTGCACGCCTGAGATGGCTCTTTTTGGTGGTACTGTGGAAGATTCAGGTGTCATTCCAGACCCTTCTCCCTCAACGTCATCATTAGCTTCACATTCCACTGTGGTGCCAGGTTCTCATGGAGTTTCCACTAGTACGGTGAATCTATCATCAGCAGAAGAAACACCGAATAGAAATCATCTATGGCCTGGTGGACCGCTGAGCAGGCTACAGGCACACCGTGCCAGTGATAGTCTTAAAGATGACATGGACATATTTTCCCCTATCGTTGGCATACATTCTGTCGAGAATTGGTCTGATGTCGAAGGATTGAAAAGGGATCATTTAGTTCTTGATAAGAAGACTTCCTCCTTGACATTTCCTTCATCGAGCAAAGGAGGATTTCCGTTTGGGGATGACGGTAACAAGGAACATCCAATAAATGACTGGAAAGTGAGTTCTACTTCTAAACAGTTTTGTTTGTAGAAACTTCAAAAACAGTGTTTAATCTCCGCTCGTCGTATATATATATATACAGGATGACACAGGAGCTGCCCTTTCGCCATTTGTATCCACTCCCACAGTACCATCAAAAGGCGAATACTCTGCTCTGACACCTCCAAAAGCCTGGGGTGGGGAGAGGTTCAACCACTTGGCTGCTAATGAGAAGTATTCTGATAAATTCAGTCACCTGAATCCGCCGCTGCGTCTCGGAGTTTCAAGCTCAAGCGCTAGTACATCTGGATCAACAATGTTTTCTGGTTCTAGAGATTTCCCTTTGTCTCTTGGTCAGAATCAGACGAGCCTTGCGAACGTTAGCATTAGCTCAGATTTCCCAGGCATAAGAGACTTCTCTTCGAAATTTGAGAAATCCTCAGCACCTGCAGACAGTTTCCCATCCAGCCCGTTGTTAACAAAAGGCGTCGCAGCTCCAGGCAACATTGATTCACTGAGGCTATCACCAAGTTTTACTCGTAGGTTCTCAACTTATGCTGAGAGAATCAGCACCACCTCTTCCTTCAGCGATGGAGCTTTTCTCTCTTTTGGTTCGCCTAAGATAAAGAAAACAGGAGGCGAAACCAGAGAAGATGTTCTGAATAATCTGTTGCAGAGACCTGAGAAAGCGGCTTCAACAGATGCAGGATCTCTTCCGATTATGAATGTAGAGAAGTTCACAAGCCTTATTATTCTTGATTGATCTCGATTCAATTATTTACTAACTTTATAGGGAACTATGTACCAGGGAGGAGGAAGCTTGCAGCAGTCGAATCAATCCGAAACGGATCCACAGCGAGGTAACAATTTCACGCTTCAGCTATTTCAAAGAACACTCGAAGGAACACTGGATACTTTCAAGAACTCAATCCACGACGATATGAGGAACCTGCACATTGAGATCTTGAGACAATTTCATATGCATGAGGTAACGTTTTGTGTTTTAGCAGCAGAACTGAATTAGTATCTTTTTAAATGCTTTATTTCTTTAACCGAGTGTTGGTGGAACAGATGGAGATGTCAAATACGTTAAACTCGGTTCTGGAGAACCAAACAGAGCTCATGAAAGAAATTAAGATGTTACGGAAAGAGAACCAACAACTCCGGCAAATGCTTTAGAGAGGGAAAGACAGAGGGATGTCTATAAGTCCGACCACTTTTTCAATAGAAAAGCGTTCCATCGTAGTTTGTAACAAACATATTATTGCTCAGTGGTAACGATGGATCACTCTATCCATATATTTGTAACTAACAAAACTAAAAAATATTGACTCATCTTGTTAAGGCTTTTGTCAACATCTGATTGATTTTCCAAATACAAAAGCTTAAATCGACAACTGGAGTCTAAATGATTTCGCATTTAAACAAGAGATGGTGAAAATGAATATAGATCGTTATTTATTCGTTATCCTTTTTATGGGCTGAGAATGCTTTAACATTTGGTTTGATTTGTTATCTGCTTAATTTGGTTTGGAAAGTAAGTTACTGCAAAGAAGTTTTATTACTTTCGTTAGTTTTATATTGAGGTTAAAATATTTTGTGATTCTTTCTGTTGAGATGACTGTTGTTTAATTCTAATTCATATCGTATATTTTCTAGTTTACTGACATTTTTTCTTTGTTCCTTAATATGATAATTGCTTCATGAATATTGGATTTAAACTGTATAAGGTAAAGTCTAACCTAATATATAAGAAACATGGAATTAGTATAATTGTTTATTTTGTTATGTCAAATAAATTTGGGCCATATAATATTTTGAGAAATCTTATATTGTATGTAACTTAGGAAACGAGTTTTTCTAGTACAAATGTAATTTTTAACTATATTTATTGAATAAAAATTTACAAACCAACTTTTCAAATACTACTATTATACAAAAGTTTATAATCTTCTACATATAAATATTATTAAAATGTTTAATAAAACAAATTAAACTATAAATTTTTCTCAAATTGATTTAGCTTGTAAGAACAAAGAACAAGCTCATTTACGATACCAAACTGCGTGAGTTGATATCACTTATGCAGTTAAAACTGAAGTAGAGATTTTCTGTGGAGCTTCCTATGGTGTATTCATCATAACCTATCATAACCTGATGGAGATTAAAAAGTTTGCGAACAAAAACAATAATATATTATATATTAAGAGAATGTCACTTATTACACGTTTTGACTTTAAATTTTATAATAAAAGATTTAGATTTTGTAATCAAATTTTCTTGTTGTGTCTGTAATCAGAATTTGCAAACCTTTATTTTAGTCTTTTGGTTCACAAAACTACAAATATAATAATCGAGTCATCCTATGATCATCTGTAACAATTTAGAAAAAGACTTTATTTGCCGGCATGACCCATAGAGTGATGTAGTGTCGTTTATGAATTCCGAAGGATTGGTTCAAAGATATCTTGTACGACCCAACAAGATTGATATTGAAACCTAACGAGATTTCCAAATACAAGAAGCTTTGGTTTGGAATTATCACCTTTCTGATACTCCTTGTATCTGCAGTACAGAGAATTGTGACAGATGGTTTTCAATATCAATCATTTTCTCCTTAAAATAATGTAAACAAATCTCAACAACCAGATCATAAACTATAACAGTTGATATATTTCCTGTCATGTGTATACATTATTGCGCATACTTCTAAATCCTTCTTAGAGAAAACACAAACAATTATTTTTTTCAACTGAAAGAAGACAAGTACAGAACATAATTAAGCTTGGCATAACCAAACATCAAACATTTCGTATGTTAATTATACTGTGATAAGTTTGATAAATTAGATAACTAAACACGTATCGTCTGGGTGGTGTAGTCGGTTATCACGCTAGTCTCACACACTAGAGGTCCCCGGTTCGAACCCGGGCTCAGACACTTTTTTGCTACTTTTCTCCGTAACTTTTTCGCACGCGTGGGCACACGTGTGTCTGTGTGTAGTGATTTCACTTTTCCGATTTCACTTTTCCTTCGCCTTGCTTGAACGACAGGGAAAAAAAAACAAACACAAAACCTGAGAACCAAAACATCCGCGAATCGAAATCCCCAGAATCACTCAAGAAGTTCGAATCAATTGCAAAAATCCATCAAACCTTATACCTTCTTCTTCTTCGGAGCAGATTTTTGCTTCCCCATAGCTTCTGAAAGAGAGATGGATTGGGATAGCGTTGCTGCCGAGGATGTGATTGAGGCGCTGAGAGAGGTTGAGTGGTCGACGCGTCCTCGTTCCCTCGCCGAGTTCTTCTCCAGATTCGCCTTCCCTCGCTCTTTCTCTAAATGGATGAGCCGTCTCAAGTGCAATCTCTACTAGTATTTACCCTTTCTCTCTCTCTCTTTCTAAATCCGTAAATCGTGTTTGCAATTCGGGGGTGCTGATTTTGATTCTCTCTTCTCGTTTTTCTTTACTGATTTTCTGTTGCAGCTACAGGACTAATTACTTCATCCTGTTGATTCTCGTTCTGGGTATGTCAAATCAAAGGCTTGGTGGAATATCTCGTTATTCGCTGTAAATGAGTTCTCTGATTTAAGATCCTCTTGAGCTGTGTTAACTTTTTGTATTGCCCCTTTTGTTGACTCAGGTCTTGCACTTATCACCCGACCTCTGGCCATTCTTGGTGCTGCTTTGTTAGCCTTGAGCTTAGCTTTCCTAAACGACAGGTACTTCCTGTGATTTCTCGTTAGTTTCTACTTCCTGAGATCTGTTGCTCTTCGCATATACTGAATGTTTTCCGAGGAGGTTCGCTATATCTAGTGATTATCCCTTCAAATGGCCGTGCTTAGTATTAGATTCAGTAAGTTATGTCGCTGGTTAGGTTCTCTATGTTCAGTGATTTGGTTTGTCTTTTCGTTTGTTTGGCCAATGGATTTGTAGGATCTGTCTGTATGTATGTGTAGTCATGTGTGTGTTCCTTGGAACTTATGGAAGGCTCATGCTTTATGCAACTTTTGTTGTCTTTTTGTTGTTGTGCAGTTTTGCAGCTACGTTTAATGAGAAGATGATCCGGACCATTAGGCATTTCTCGCCACATTTAGCTGCAAAGATGAGGCCTCCTCACATGTGAGTTCTTTTGATTTGATTTCCATGGAAGATTCACAGACGGGTTTCTTTTTAGATTTATTTACTTGTCAACACCTGTCAGGCCCGTCATTCGTGGGAGATCTGCAGCTAGAAAGACGGTTTACGTTTGCGGCCAACCACGTTTGGTATTCGTCTTGCTTGGCTTGACCGGTACTTTAAATACTCGACACCTCTCTCTTAAGTCATATAAACTCTCCAACCTCTTGATATGCAACTGATGCAAAGTATTGATTTTTTCCTTATGTAGCCAGCTTTGTCCTGTGGTTTACTTCCTGCGGTTTGTTATGGGTCCTCTACGCACTTGCCACTGCTCTTCTCAGTAAGTTATTACACTTGCAATGATTTTTTCTCTTATATGTTTTTGGTCCGGTTTTAAGCCTCTGACTTTGAGATTTTGTCTCTACGCAATCTCCGTAGTGATCATTCTTCACGCAAGCCTGAGAACTCCAAACCTCAAGGCACGCTTGAACACATTCCGTGAAGAGTTCCGGGCTGTCTGGCGTAACTATAGTGAACTTTAAAGTCAACAAGAAGCTTGAAACTTGCAGCAAAAACCAAGCGGGACATCACAGGTTTCAAGTAAGGGCGTAAATTCCAATTCCTTCCATCATGTGCGCAAACAACAATTCGCAGTTATTCCTCCTGTCTTGTAGTTAGCTAGTAATTGTAAGGCCACTTGTCTGACGACAGATGCGACCTCCTTATTTCGGTTAGTTGACCAGAACTTCAAGGTTAAATCGCAGACAGAATATAGTGTTTGTGCTCTTAAGGTTGTTCCTTGTTATGCCGCTCAACAACACCAGTGTCTGTTGTAGTGATATTCATACTCTTTAGTGTTTACAGTGTGTTAGTGATTCAGCTTTACAATATCGTCCTTTGCTTCTTCTACGAAGAGTTTCTGGTTTTGAAGTAGAATAGTGCTGTGCAATATACAAGAATTGTGTTTTAACTATATTTGAGAGAAGAAAAACATGTTGCCTTGCTTGAGAAATCGACTCTGGAAGAAGAAAATGATTTTTCTATGTCTTGAGAGTTTTCTTCAAGTAAGGTCACTTGGGCCCGGAAGAAAAAGCCTAAAAGACGGTAAACAAATAAAAAACCCAGAAAAATCGTCAAACAGTGTTGTTAGGTTCGAACACGTGACCTCGATGTTAATCTCCCAAATAAATATTTTGACCATTATAAATAGGAAACGGTGCGTTTCAAGACATAGACGGTTACCGGAAGCACAGATAAGATACGAAACCCTAAGAGAGCTTTCCTTCTTCTTCAGTTTTTTAGATTACATCGAGGCAATAAGCGGCGCATCTGAATCCAAAACGAGAAGATGACGATCGATTCGCAGCAGCAAACGAGCAAGTTCCGATGGGGGGAGATGGAAGAAGACGACGATCTGGATTTCCTTCTCCCTCCGAGGCAGGTGATTGGCCCAGACGAGAACGGTCTGAAGACAGTGATCGAGTACAAGTTCAACGATGAGGGAAACAAGGTCAAGATCACGACCAGGTCACGTGTCCGTAAGCTAGCTTCCGCTCGGCTCAACAAACGTGCCATGGAGCGTAGGAGCTGGACCAAGTTCGGAGACGCCGCCAACGAGGACGCTGGGAGCCGCCTCACCATGGTCTCAACCGAAGAGATTCTTATGGAACGACCCAGAGCACCCGGTATGTTCTCCTTTCTCTTATAATTATGTTTCTGGTGGCTTTTGTTTCGTGAGATTCGTGCGTTTATTGATTGCCATTGTTGTGAGACTCTAATATCATGGGTATTGGTTTTGGATTCAAAAATTACTCAGGTGTATATGATTATAGATTTCTGAAATCTGTTTTGATCTGTGTTGGGTTATATCCCTTACAGAAGTTTGTGAAACTGCTTTGGTAGCATTTGTTCTTGTTCTGACTTTTTGGCTGCTGATTGAAGATGTTGTCTGTGATCTCTTCTAATTCGTTTTGTCTGATTTTATGAATCATGAACACTAAAACAGTAAGTCTTATGACGTAATCTAGGAGTGTTTGTCTGGGGTGACCAATTAGCCGATCACATGTTAGCCATGCGGCTACATCTTTGTGTGATTGGTCAGTATGTCACCGATATCAGTTTTACTGTTTTTGTAGTCCCATTACGAGTAGGAGTAGAATAGCGCTCTAACTTTTGTGGCTACGAACTGTACACACAGATCTTGCATCTTTCCATAATTTTCTTATGTGGTAATAGGAAGCTTTTATTTATAGTTTTAGTTTTATGAAATCTTCAAGCTTTCGTTTTGTGGCTTCTACTGCAGAAAGAGGTTGCTATGTGTGATTCTGTGACTACATCTTGCATGTTATGTGTTGCTTTGGCTGTGTATTATTACTCTTTAGCAAAAAAACTCTCTGTTTGTATCATAAACCTGTATCTTGAACTGTTTTAGACTTTCTTCTCTTCCATGCTCCACGGATCTAAAGGGTTTGTGATATTGTAGGTACCAAAGCGGATGATACAAAAGCAGCAGGAGACAGCTTGTCTCAGCTGGGTAAAGGTGGTGCAGTTCTCATGGTGTGCAGGATATGCCACAAGAAAGGTGATCACTGGACATCAAAATGCCCTTACAAGGATCTAGCTCCACCAACCGATGTCTTCGTCGACAAGCCAACCACCGGTGGGGAAACAGCTACCACATCCGCTGCATCTGGAATTGGCAAGGCCGCTTATGTCCCACCTAGCAGGAGAGATGGTGCAGACAGAACAAACACTGGAACAGACATGAGGAGAAGGAACGATGAGAACTCTGTTCGTGTGACCAACTTGTCTGAAGATACCCGTGAACCGGACTTGATGGAGCTGTTCCATCCGTTTGGAGCTGTCACGCGTGTCTACGTGGCCATTGATCAGAAAACTGGAGTCAGCAGAGGATTTGGTTTCGTCAATTTCGTGACCAGAGAAGACGCTCAGCGAGCAATCAACAAATTGAATGGTTATGGTTATGATAACCTCATCCTCAGGGTTGAGTGGGCCACTCCAAGACCTACCTAGAATATGTCTGAGACCTTTAAACCTCTAATCATTTTCGTCGTTCCTGTAATGGTTTCTTGTTTATCGACCAGTTTGTTGGTTTTATTTTGTACGACTTTTTGAGAAGATTATCAATTTATATTTAATACGCAATGTGCTTGATGGCATGATTTTTGTGTTTGCAACAATGCAATGTTATGTTCACTAATAAAAGTTTGAAAGTTTTCAAATCAAATTCTATAGATATGGCTGGCCTGGAAATACTTGTGAAGTCTCATCCGTTCAAGAGCACTGTTCATGTTTTTACGATCAGGTTTGAGACAACAGCACAGGGGATGCGAGCAGTTGTCACTTGTCACAGCGTCGAGCCAATCTCTAATTCCTTCTTATGGTTCTATGACATTTCGATAGTGAAACAACTCAGGGAACCCAAAAAGAAAACTATGCATTTTAGTAAATACAAAGACTGATAAAGAAAGACGTTACTCAGAGAAGATTATCGTAATATATTTCCGATAGCCTGAGTTTCAATTTGTCGATTTTGCTTTGCCTCTTTTCCCAAAACAACACCTGATATATTTGGAAAAAACATTGATATAACGAGCTCTATATTATGCCTAAATTGTAAAAAGAAAAGAATACCATATGAGAAAAGGGCTTGATTTCACAAGAAAACATTGATATCATTGCTTGCTTAAAATTACTAGCGAGATCATTGTCATTAAGGAAGATACCTGAAAATTTCCTTTTTCCTTTTGATACTATTAAAATTATAATCTATTGTTATTTTTAATGATGTAATTCAAAAGTTATGCATAACTAAAATATATTTTCAAAGGTTTGATCTGTAGAACTAACTATCTTATTAATAACTGGATAAAATTTGCACAAACACTGTATAAATATATTTGTTTTCGCAGATCCATCTTCTCTCTTATCTCAATCTAATTCTTTTTTTTCCATTGCAACTGTTAACCATGAAAAAATAAGGAGTCAAACTTTATTTGGATGAAGTGTGAGATGGAAGAAGAAGATTACAATCTATACTATTAAACTGTTATGCCAAAGAAAGCTCATTCCGATAATGCAGCATTCTGGCTGGTTGAGGCCAGGTGGACTTGACTACATCTTTATTTCTAAGGCAGGATTACATATAAATTATTTTTTACAGTATATTCTATTTTCTCTTGTCAGGAGTTTTTTTGAAATACTCCTAGTTTCTATAACGAGATTGGAATAGAAGATAGAAAAATAATTTAGTCTTATCTTATACCTGTAATATTGAAATCGTTTAAATCTTATAATCATTTTTGTGTGTATAAAACTACTTTTTCGGATCTGTTCATCCACAATAGTTTCAATGTATGGAAGTGCTCTTTTTCGGCTGTTTTATCACGTAAGGCGGATGACCTGCTGGCATTTGAAGCTACTCAGCTGTGGAAATACCAAAGTCTCAGCAGCAGTGTGACCATATCATGTGATTCCAATGTGAGCATTTTTTGCTTATTGTCCTCTGTTGATAATTGTCTTTAATGTACTGATTATTGTGGCTTGTTCTTATTATCAGCTTGTATTTAGCTTCAACGTTAAGCCAATAGCTTATTTACTTGCTAAGTATATGAACTCTCATCTAAGTTTCAACACAACTGCTGCATACTCGGGCAAGGCAAGTCACACTATCTTTGTCATGTTTCACTGTTAACAACTTTTTTAACCGTTTCTTTACGTTTTAATAAGTTGAGCTTCGATCCATTCACCGTTATAGATCCTTATGTACCTCTATCTCATACCGGAGTTTGACTTTTCTGAAACTTTGGGTAGCAAAAAGTTTGCTCTTGGACTTGGTGGTTCTATGGACGCGCTAACCAACGCTTTGACCTTTCCATTACTTTTTTATTCTATGATATGATGAAGCTTGTCTTTTAGTATAGTTTATCAAATTTTCAAGCTTGGTGTTGTGGTTTGTACTTGCTACTTCTTGATTTCATAGTTAACAACTATTCGATGGCCGTTGGTTCACAAAATCTTCCATGTCATGTGTTTGCTTTGGTTGTGTATTACTCTTTAGCACAAATTTTTGTGTTTGTACCATAACCTTTTTTTTCTTTTGGCCAAAGTTTGCACCGTAACCTTTTTGTCTTGAAATGTTTTAGATTTTCGTTGCGTAGTTTAGTTTAACGGGTTTTGCCTTTGATAAATCATTCATCTTGTTTCATACTTCAATTTGGGATAATCATGTATGTCTGTTTGTCTCTGGTCTCTAGTGTAAGTATCATGTAGTCGTTGTTATATCTAGTATTTCTACTGTTTATAATTGTTTTCGAAAACCAATTCTCTGATATTCTTAACTTCATGTGTATGACTGAGCTTGGTAACTGTTTGAGTGCCTCATTGTTGTGGCCTACTCATTACCACTTCTCGGAGTTGGAATTCGACATGTTCGTCAAGATGCGCTCACATCTTGACTCTCGGTTTTGAAACGAAGTTGGATGAGTCAACTTCTGTCAAACTTTGTGTGGACATGTAAGGTAATTTTTCAGCTGTTTTCTGCGCTTTCTACCTCAAGGTTGTTGCAGACGGTCACCTGATAGCCGCTTGTCCGCTAAGGGTCGACATAGCGGCTATTTATTGCCTTTGATTATTTCTTTTGTTTCCGCTAAGGTTATTTTGTATTTGCCACTTGATTCATTTTCACGTTTTTTGTAACTTAAATGTCTTTTGAACTCTACTTTTATGAAATGTTTGATTGAACTCTAAAATATTGAAAAGATGCAAGTTCCAGCGTTGCGTTTATAAAGCAATTGTTCAACTTCTTTAGTTGATCTTGTCGGTATTTTATAATTAATAAGCTTTTATGTAAATTACATCGATTTAAACTTATTTATAACCTTATTTATAAGAATGTAGTTAACTAGTAGAGGCAATACGATGATAAAAAGAGAATTGTTGAAGAAATAAGGTTTTAAATTACATCCATTTCAATTCTTCATATTTATTTTAATTACAGAATCTCCACAAAGACCATATGAATCGTTGTCGAACAACAAAATAAATTATCAATCGAAATGCCTCTTCAGTATCCAAACTACACAAAAGAAGAGTACGAGATCATGTGGGAGATAGAACTCGATCGGCTTCTCATACACAAGATCATGTGTACTCTAAGCTTCTATGCGATATTGCGATATAATATACTATTAGAAGAATTATAATTCCCAACCATGTTTAGTCTGTGACACAAACCATCTAAATCAAAAGGGTTTATTAGAGACGCCATAATAAAGTGCATTCTCTTAAATATTTTTCATATCGTAAATTCGTAATGAGCTAGATCTAGCCAAGACAACTAAACGAAAAAAAAATCACTTATCTATTGCGTGTAATGTAGTTGCATTCTTTAGCTAAAACAGGTTATTCAACCATTTAACCGAACAAAATATCACTTTGTGCTCTGTGGTATTTTACTTGCACCGTTCAGCTAATAACGTCAAAAGTTTAACGAGTTCCTCCACTATGCCTCCAGACAAGTGTACCACAAGCAATTAGGTTACTAGCAGTGACCAAATGTATAACATAAATTATTTTAAAAATTAAATCTAAATTTCGTTATTAGCTGCTTAAGGAAGATTTATATGTTACACCAAACTCTAAGTTAATTTTTTGATTGGAATAGAAGGAACTCCCGATGTGTCATGTAGCCTTCTTCGATACTATAAAACTATAAACCCAATATGAACATGAGCATAAGATTTAATAAGAGTATAATTAGACACAAGATGGGACAACATCATGATATGTAGAAAAAAGGGAAAGAATAATTGAGAAAGAGAGGTCAACATCAAATCTTCGAAACCAAATCTCACATAGACCAAATAGACACGCGTCATGGTTTGATTGTCACAAGTAGGCATAATCTTATCTTAGATCCCACTTGTGTTGTGTCCCTCTCAATTCCCAACTCTTAATTGTTTTTGCCCTCTTGCTCTTTCCACGAACCCAACAGGCAACAGCTAAAAAAATCCATCATTGTGCAATATACAACATTATGCAACTGCAATCTGATAAATTTGGCTGCGCCTTATCTTTGATGGCGAAGTTTCCAAATTTCGACCAATTGTGCCGTTTTAGATTATAGTGCTGATCTATTCAGACGTAGGAGTAAGATGAATTCATCCATGTTTGGTTTTAGTCCAAGAGCTTCGCGTTTCATTTTCATTTTCACTCATGATTATAATCTTTTTTATTGATATTAAAATGATGTAATCTGTGAATGTGTCGCTTTACTTTATTGTTTTTCTTGCTGTGCCATAATGTGTTCAGTAAAATATCGTAATTGTTGCTTTAGAAAATAATAGCATTATGTTGTGTTGTAAGTTTCGGTAAAAATAAAAACGTGAAAACCACCAGACGATGGTGATTTTGTAAAAAATGAAAGAAAACTTTTTGTTGGTCGATATCAGCATTTAGATGGTAGATTAGTATATTTTAAATTTAATTTTAAGGATAACAAAAATAGAGATCTCTCGTTGTCTAAACATTCATCCATCTTCCTGTAACACAAAACAGGCTCAAACGTATGATTAAAATATCTAACAAAATTTCAAAACATTACTGTCAAGGGTTTGTACAGCATGATTGAATAGAAGAAGATTTTATTATTTGATCATTGTGGCAACTGGCAAGTGGCAAATAATCGACGGTTGAAGGTTTATATACTATTTCTGGTCAAGCTGATATAATTAAAATCCAATCAAGAATTTGAAGATCCCTTCTTCCTTGCCTTTCCTTCATAGTTGATAATTAATTAGTCAATTACTTACGTTTAATTAATGATTGATTCCGACATTAACTGACATTAAGCATTCGACAATGTTTGGCCAGACAATTCTCTTAATTATTTTACATTTAACTTGTAAAGTATATATGAAATCAATATTGTTTTTATATTCCCGCTGAGTCTCCTCCAAAAAAACAATTTTAAAACGTTATCGTCAAGAATAGTAAAAACTCGAGCATTCACATAACTACAATATTCCTGAAAACTTCCAATTGAATACCTTGTGTTATTGGGAATGTATCGCCCTTTAAATAAACCAAATATGCCAAAACCACACACACTACGCCACGCCATGGCCAGTGCGTCGTGCCAATACGAACTTCCATGCGTGTAGATTCGTACCAAACCGGTTTGGATTCAAATTAACAGCTTCAATCTGTAACACTCGTACTAAACCAGTTCGAACCAGCTTTTTAACTTTAACTATGCAGTAAAAGGACGTTGCAAGTGGATTCATCTTTGTCCTACTCATAATCTATTTTTCTTTTGTTGGTCCACAATCAAAGCATTTTTGGCCTAAACGGAGATATAAGTTCTCTCTTCCTCAACATAATACAGTTTACATTTGAAAAAAAAACATTTCTCGTATATATAATATAGCCTACAAAATTAAAATGGAAAAAATAAGAGAAACTACGCAACTTTTTAATCAGCTCCTTTTCATCCCCAGCCTGAATTAAGAGCTGCTTAAAAAAAGAACCTTAAAACAAGAGAACACTAATAGACAAAGAAAAAACAAAGAATGTAATATCAAGAAATATTACAATTAGCTATATATGTAACAATTTCTCTAAAACTTCTACTAATCAAAAGCACTACTAATTAAGAAACTCGATTATTCCTCCTTTTCCGTAAGTCAACCACGACGACGCTCACGTTATCGGAGCTCTGTCTCGCCAGAGCCAACTTCGTTAAGAGTAACGCCGCATCGGAACACGCGTTGTGCGCCGTATCAGAGTCTCCTCCGTCGGCCACAGCACCTCGAAGGCACATGCGAGCAACGCCACACGCCGTCTCGTTCGGAACAACGTCCCAGAGTCCATCACTCGCCAGGATCAAGCACTCGTCATCGTCTGTTCGATCCGTGACAGTTACCTCCGGATCCGGGATCACATATGGTTTTAAGTAATTATCGCCTGCAGAACAAAACAAAATTACTTTGATATCAGATTAAATTCCAGAGATGTAATTAAGCTAAGCTTATAAACTCAAAACACAAAAAGATTTACTCACCGATTGCTCTGGACATGGCGAGAACTCCAAGAACCCTAGCTCCGTCCCAGTAGATTACTCGCCCGCCCGCTTGCTGAATCCGAATCAATTCATCGGGTCGATCCGGCTGTTAATCGAAGTAACAACAAACTCTTAGCAAAGCTGAAATCATGCGATCTAGATTAATGCTTTAATGGATCCTATACACAGTTTATCTACCTTGTGATCCGAAGAGAGAGGGATGGCTACGCCGTTACGGCAGAGCACGGCGCGAGAGTCGCCACAGTTGGAGACGATGATCTTCTCCGGCGTGACGACGGAAACTACGGCGGTGGATCCGACGGCGTCGCATTGAGGAGACTGCAATTCACATCTGCAGGAGCTCTTCCCGCTTCGACTTGCGCCATTGGTAACTACGTTGCAGTCTCGCTGGCTAACTTCTTTGTCCATTTTCTGGAAGCTCTTCGCCATCATTTCCTTCCATTCATCGGCGGCCATAGCTTCAGCCTCCTGCTTCACTATCTCATGCAACCGCTCTCTGCACTTCCCCGCAACCTAAACAATTATCCAGAAAACTTCGGTAAATAGATTATCCTGTAAATATAATGAACACTGGGGGAAACTAAAGAGATGCGACATACGTGAGAGCAGCCATGGCCGTCAAACACGCCGTAGAAATGAAGATTCTCAGAGTTTTTTTGAAGTAGTGAAGGATGAATCGAGACGGCGTCCTCCATGTCTCTTCTCCTACCACAAACCGACGTCGTTCCGATCTTAGGCACATCGGAAAAGAAACAGCTCTCTGCTTCCGTCGCGGGACTGGAAACCAGATTTGAATTCGTAACAGCTGATCCCGCCTTCTCGACCTTCTTATCACTACTCACATTCCATGCCAGATCTAGATTTCCCGGAGCAGGTACTGCCTCACGCTTCTGCCGCTTCCGGCAGCTCTCAAGCGGAGGAGCAACGGCGGAGTTGGCAACGATCTTGATCGACGGAAGTAGATCCAGCCTCCGTCTCAGAGAAGCTCGAGTAGTGGAATCCACCGGTGCCGCCGGTTCAGTCTCCCCAACAACACCGCAGCAAATCCCAGCCATTTGATCTCAAACACTAACCACAACAGAAGCTTCCCTCCAATTATACAGATCAAACCAAACAAACAATTCTTAGAAGATCTCGAGCTCTAGGCTGCAGCAAGATACAATCAGCGAAATGAAGAGAGAGAGAGAGATGTTTGAAGAGTAGAGAGATATTGAGCGTTAAGGAATGCAATGGATTTTAAAATGAAAAGGCTTGATTTAAAAAGGAAAGGTGAAGAACAAAAAGGGAAGGAAAAAAAAACAAAGGTTTTCGCATGGAAGGGTTACACGTAATTTACGGGCAGGGGGGCATGAATGGAAGCTAAAGAGTTACTGACCGTCACCATCAACGGGCAGCATCCGACACGTACCGTTTGGTGTGACGTTCCATTTCCTGGTACCTAGATACAATCTCTGCCGTCCGTTTCTTTTTTCTCTCTCTTCCCGATCTTCACACGTGTTTCGTTTTCTTTTGGATACGCCGTTAACGTGGCCCAATCAGAGCTCGACACGGCTTAACGGTAACGACCGGCCTTTCTTGACACGCATGTGGTCCACCCCTTCGTTTTGTTCTTTTCTTTTCGTTTGTTTTAATTTTTTAATTATTAATTACAGAAAATATGCTGTTAATTAATTAAATAATTGGAGTCAGAGGTCAAAAATAATGGAAGAGTGACAATTTGACAATCTTCTTCTATTGGTAACCCAATAAAAATTGTGGAATGGTAAAAAAAATTATGTTACGAAAGAGTGGAATGCTGAATAATAGAATAACTAAAATATTTATAATTGAATAAATTATGTAGAATAGTAGAATAATAGAATGGCAGAAAATATATATAATTAATTTTTCATGATAATATTTGTATATATAATTTAATATAATAAAAATTAAAATATTAATTATTATAAAAACATAATTTTAATATAATTAAAAAAACTAAAATTTTTATTGTAATTATTTTTTTTTACGATAAAATATATAACTATATTGCAATATTTAATGATTATTATATAAATATATTTATTTATATTTATTTAAATAATAAAATATAATTAATTATATAATTAAATGATATAAAATATTAATTTTGCAAATAAGCTATCTGAAACACACTTTTCCACTTATTAAATTTTCTTTGTATTTTCTATAAATTTTTCCGCAATTTCACAGAACTCGAATTTTAATGTTTTTTCATAAATTTTTCTAATTAAAAAAATTCATACGGAATTGAATTTTTTACCATTTCACCAAATTTACTAATTGAGTTAATACTGGTTTTTATTTCAACCTTTTTGTGGACGTCTTCATAAAAATAACTATGAACCAATAATTACTGCGACGTGAATGTAAAAAAAATCTTTAGTAGTATAGAAGATGATACGCTATGGGCTAAACTTATATGATTATATCGAAACATGGTTTTTAACATTATCTTATGAATATCAGTATATTTTAATGATAGCTTATTTGTCGTAAATATAGGTTTATGTGCTAAAAATATAGGTTTAATTACAGAAAATGATATGATTTGAAAAGAAAAATGATCGGGAAGACACTAATTCTAAAAATATACGCTAGTTTAAAAGTTGAAATGTAATGTTTTGAAAATCAAAATATCAACATCTCAATAAATTATGGAAGAAATATCCGAAATGTTACTAAAAGCTTCGCCTTCGATCTTCCCACATCACACGTACAATGTATGAAAATCTTTTAAATAATTATGACCTCAAACGTAAGTAATCTGACTTTTCTATTTTTTTGTTAAAGTTACTGACTATTTTAATCAGCATATATACCATAAGAACAAAATTAACATTTTGTAAATATGTGAATCAGATTCTTCCTTATTGTAAGATAAATTCCAAATCACTGATAACACCGTAAGAGAATCTGAAATACTTAGTTATTAAGTGATGACAAACATAATGATATAGGACAAACATTTTAAACATAAGGATACAGGTCAGCTAGCCATTTTAATCGATATGGCAGTATGGTGTTTTACATTGTATCTATACAACAACATTAAAAGCATCATGTTTTTATTTTATTTTTTAGAAGAAAATTTATTAACAAGGAATTGATATACAAAATTTTACGACAATGAATTGATATCCCCAGTTCACACATGCGTGCAATCTAAAATGCTTAAAGAAGCAAACTATTAGTATTATTTATCAAAAAGAAAACTCAAAAGTATAAGTTAAGAGCCAAAGTAAACTGAAAAATAATTATGTAAATCTGATGCGTTAAATTTGAAGAAAACGAGTTACCTCTTCGCCATATAATAATACTGCATGGCATTTACGAATTCACAATTGTTGGTTTTTAACTCGAAATAAATATAACTAAATGGTAAGTTATATACATAAATTACATATAGAAGATTCAGAATAGTCTGACTACATATATCTCATCTCATTCTCACGCATTGTCCATGCAAATCTGATTATTTCAGAATATATGCTTATATATATATGTTATTATTTTTGTTGACAAAGAAAATGCTTGAGATATTTTGGTTTCGCATTGATTACTGATTCGAAGTTTTTTTATTTGTTTATGATTTCTCCTATGCTTAGTCGATGTAAGTGTTGGATCATCGACACGTAGTAATGTTCGTCTCCCACTTGTGCTTAGTTCCTTACTCGCATCATCGATTCACCGTTCACGAAGAGGTGTGTAGGAGACTTCTAGTATTATTGAACGTCGTATTGCGTTGTTTACTGTTTATTGTAATGAAAAAAACAAAATGATCTTCAACCTGAAAAGATATATATATATAATAAACTACAAAATATCTATTTTATGTCAGAAATATGCTACAAAGCATAGTGATCGGTGAACATACGTCAATAAAATCAACAAATCGTAATGTTCTTTCGGCGTGAAATTATTTTTAAATTTAGTGATTACAAGATTCAAATACGTTTAATCTTTTCAATCAATCTTCTGTTCTTGATCAGAAAGAGGTAAGTCATCATAATCACACACACGTTACAAAAAAAAAATCTAAAACAAGCGAAAACAGAACGTGACGCACGCTCTGATTTCGCGCGTGGAATAGAATATGTCACTGTTTTTTCTATTTTCGTATTTTTTTTCTGTTTGGGTACAACTTGTAGGGCCCATATATGCTGCATCTGCACCACACTAACTCCCTCGCATCCAGCTGTGATCAAAATTGAATGCGTCTGCGTAAGCCCGTGAGAGAGTGTGACACACGCGCATTTTATGTGGGACCCAATCAGTCTCATGAGTCTGAAACTGACTCCTGCCAAAGTATCTTGATTTTTTTTTTATTTTGTAGCCTCCGAGACAAGGCCTGAACGACACGTGTTTGGTCTGACGTGGATGCTGTGAGATGCTTCCTCGGTGACTTCTCCATGACTCGAATTCGGCGCTTATCCACGTTTCCATCAATTACACGCACATACTTTTCTCTGTTGTTTTCCTTATTTTTATCCTTCAAGTCCTCAACAATTTTTTAAATTGTCACTTACAGCTCTAAAGTTTTGAATCGTAAGATTATACTCTCAATTGCTGAAATTACTCCAATTCGAGTCCCTTTGAGGGTCACAATTTGTTCTTAAACCCTGTATCCTCGTATCATTACTTTACAAAAAAGGCACACCATGAAACATTTGTTTTACAGAAATCTTCTTATTTTGATTTGTACATGAACATTATATCAATAATGTTCAAAATCATAAGTTGTTTATAATTTATATCAAGATCATAACTAAAGTAGAAATGATTTCCAATTCTGATTCAAGAAAAGAACGGTTTTGTTGACCAGAAAAATAAAAAATTCTCATATTTTTAGGAGATTATAAAAATAAAATCTGAAACAAATAGTAGAAGTTCTTGAAGAACATCAATTACATAGAGTATGAGGAATTTATTCAATAAGAAATCTGGAACAATTAATAACTTCCAATAAATATGGAAGCAATATGCAAATACTGAAAACAAATCTTTTTCTTTTTATAGATTCCATCAGAGCACATAATAATAATATAGATGGTAGAATATTAAATTTTCCTCTTGATATTATTTTGACAAAGCCACAGGATTGTTACACACGTCCTCTTTGGTATAAAGGTGCCAGTTCTAATTTCACCAAGCTTGGGACAGCAAGAAAGCATGACAAACCATTTATGCTACGACACGTTGAATAATTTAGCTGTAACGAAACAGACCTACCACTACCGCCACGTGGCGGTCAAAAGAAAGGCGTGTGGCCAAACCTGTAAGAAGAGATCACCGGGAGGACCCTAACACATTGCGAAATTCGACCGGTCTCGCTCGACACGTTTGCATGTTTTTTGTTCGTTCAATAACTCTTCTTCGCTTTTAGTTTTTTTTTTTTTTTTTTTTTTTTAATTAATAACTACAAGAGCTGGCCAGTTAGGTTGATTACATTAAATATTGAAATTAGGAGACTAAACTATTTGTAATTATCTTGGAAACTTCTTTCCATATGGTGATGTTTTATTTGAAGGAAGACGGCACTTTTTTTCTTTATATTTATATATGACTTAACTAAATTTTGAATGTCAAAGCTCAAGATAAATTAATTAGTCTAATGCCAAACATCTAAATAACAAGCGATCGTCTCTGTCCAGATCTTTTATATTTGCATACTTTAATCGTTGTTAAACTTCAGTAGTTTTGTATTCTGAGGTTTAATTACCCAAATTAAACATATGTTAAGAGACTACAAAATGAAAACCTAAAATTCCTCGGCATAAAATCAACCGAAACTATTCAAACCATTATTGTGCCTTATTTTCTATTTTGATTCTTCGAAGATATACTAAATAAATTAAAAATTTGTTAACTAGTAGTATCTAATTGCGTCTACTTTTTGACATCTGTGTACAAATAATATTATACATCGCCGTGGAATTGGCATGCACCGTGACATTTTCCCAACATGCAAGATATATTTTTCTAGTATTATTCTCTTTTTCGCAATTAAAATTCAGAACCTGGGACGGTGGGACCTACAACATTCACTGTAAAAAAACTAACTCTAGATTAAGATAGTTATGAAAAAATTCTTACTTATTGTTCTGCAAAATATATTTACAAATATGCATGAACCGCAAATTTTATAGATATTCCTAAACTTCGTACGTTTAGCTTCGATACCGACTGAAACTGATATAGCATATAGGAGGATGAAATCGGAGTCATGTTATCATGTTTACGATGTATATGCCAAATGGCAATAACATTTGTTCACATATCTTAATCAAGCAAAGTGAAAAAACGATGTAGTATTGAATATGTACGGATATCTGATAAGCAATAGAGGTTAAGGTAACCGGTTCCACAAGCGATATCTTGAAGTAGCAGACCAAGTTTCTACTTCTTGGAGTTTGATCAATGGAATAACAAGAAAAAAACTGATGAATCAAACTAAAGGTTTAGATAATAGATATTGCAGCTACGCAAATTCTTTCTTGATGTTTTCGTTTTTGCCCACTCGGGCCACTCGTATGTCAGATTCTAGTTTTTTTTGTGTGAATATTGCATGGAGAAGAAAATAATAAATTTAAATATTTTTTGTGCGGTAAATAGAGGCATTACCAATATGCACCAAAGTAAGCGACATAAGGGATATGAACATGATTTTTATCTATACTTTTAGAAGGAGCCGTGTGCTCTATCGGAGAATGTAAAACTTCAAAAGAGCGAATGAGTCGATGGGCTGAAAGTAGTGCATTAGCGGGAAATCTAGAGAAAATAGAAGTGAAGAAAAACATTATTGAGAAGACTGAGAAACCTAATTCGCAGAGAGTCCCTTATTAAAGGCCCAATGTTCCAAAAAGGCCTAAAAATGGTTCATAAAGCCTATGATTTTTGGTATGTGTTTTAACAAAAAAACATTTTCTTTAATATATGTTTCATGCTTGTAACTAATAATATCTAAGTAAAGAGTTTGTACGTAAAGGAAGAAAAACTAGTTCTTGATCCGTTTAGGAGTTCAATTAGGACGTGACAATTCACAACGTGATATCGCCATGTGCATCATAATTTGATCCTAAAATTCATCAAGATTGTGATGCTTCATGTATCACAAAGCATATCTTAGCAGTTAACATCTTTGTTTCAGTTATAAATACCTAAAGGGAAAAACAAATTGTGAGTTGCGTTATATTGTAGTTTATCACGATAAAGCTCTACAAATACGTGTTTCCATGCCTATAAAAATTCCAAACATCGATCTTTCTATAATATTTACATACTCTTTAACATCTCCTACTTTTTCTCTTACTTGGCCTTCTCTCTTCTTCTGTTTATTTACTCTAATTTTTTGTTTTTTAGTTAATTTCAATTCTTTGTCAAATGATGGACCGAAAACATTTACTAGTGGGCTTGATATTGGGCTTAGGCTTGGGCTTAGGCTTGGGCTTAGGCTTGGGCTTAGGCTTGGGCTTGGGCTTAGGCTTGGGCTAAGGTTATTCTAACTTGTATTGTCGGCTAGAACATATAATTATCCATCCACCCCATGAATAAAGAAGAATTTCCTCAACTTTCTGAAATTGTATATGCTTACTTTAACATTTTCTTTTTGGGTTCTATTTACAGTGTGAAACTTGATGATATACAATTTATTAAGCATTAACACATATATCCCAAAGTCATGTCATCGTTGACTGAGGTTATCTCCGTCATTTGTGTATTTCAATCACGTGTCTACGTCTTCTTCTTCTTCGTCTTCCATCTATGTGCTTATTCCAGAGTTGCACTCCAAAAAGGGAAAAACAAAAATAGCTGCTAAAAATAAATAATCCCAGCCACCGTCGGGGGTAATTCCGTAATTTTTCTTTTTATCAGAACTTCATTCCCGCGGCGTAGGCAGAAGGGTAATTCAGTAAATTAAGTGATCGCCGGTGGATGAATAAGGTCCACTCCCTCACACCGGAGTGAATTTCGCGGTGTTCTCTCCTTCCCAGCCAAAAAAAAAAGAAAAAAAAAATCATGAAAACTAGTCGCTGCGGTGGAGAACACGGCCACCACCACGAGGCCCTAAAGTTTTCCCGTTTCTTTTTCATGCCGGAGCGGCCACGTGATTACCTCGTGCTATTCACTCGCTTCTTCGTCATAACCTGTCTCATCGTCTCCATCTCTCTGGTTCTTCGCGCCACTTTTTTATCCTCATCCGCCTCGGACTATTCGTCCTACGGTCTCCGTTTCCCCGCCGTGCCTCAGAAAGCCCTAGCTCTCCCACCGGCCAGATCCGTCGGGCCGATCAATATCTCCCACATCCAGTTCTGTATCGCCGGAGCAGCCGAGACCTGGCTCGATCGGAGCCTGTACACCTCCTTGTGGTGGCGCAATTCCACCCGTGGATTCGTCTGGCTCGATAAACCGGTGAAGATCCCCAGAAACCACTCCGATACCCGTTTCTCGATCCCGATTCGAGTTTCCGATCCAGGATGGACTCGATTCAGATACTCCAGCTCGAGAGCTGCGGTTCGGATTGCTCGGATAATCTGGGATAGTTACCGGCTAAATCTCCCGGATGTGCGGTGGTTGGTGATGGGAGATGACGACACTGTCTTCTTCACCGATAATCTCGTTAAGGTCCTCTCCAAGTACGACCATGAGCAGATGTGGTACATCGGCGGAAACTCGGAGAGCGTCGAGCAGGACGTGATGCACGCCTATGACATGGCGTTCGGCGGCGGTGGTTTCGCCGTTAGCCGTCCACTGGCGGCGCGTTTGGCCGCCGCGATGGACAGTTGCCTCCAACAGTATTTCTACTTCTACGGGTCGGATCAGAGAATCGCGGCCTGCGTTAGCGAGATCGGCGTTCCGTTCACCGAAGAACGCGGTTTTCACCAGGTACGCTCTGTTACACACGCGTCAGCTTTTCGATTGGTTGTTTTTAGACACGTGTCAAACAGTTTTTCGGTTTCTCTGTGTTCTTGCCACGTGGATTATCTAAATAGCTTATAATTAAAGGAGTCAAACGTAATAATCACGAATATAGTGCTACAAAAAAAGCATTTAGGATTTGTGTTGTTGAATTAGTCACACAAATGTTGACCAAAAAGGAGAAGATTATTGTCACTCAATTATACTAGACAACAGTAGGTTATTCCTCAAAAATTTGATATAATATCATACGTTAATTGATTAGTTAAATTGAAGCGGCAGTTTAGAGCTTAATGTGGTAGATATTTTATTTTTCTTGGGTTTAATTTATTGCTGGAGCACATGATTCTGATCAGTTTTACTTATTCTAATCTTATCATATCTTTGTTTCTAATTTATCTTTGTTCTCCAAGACTTTAATTGTATGTATGTGCATGTCATTATCACTCATCACATGTAGTGTCTCAACTCTCCTCAAGGAAAAATTCATCTGACCCGGTCTATTATTAAAACAATCATAATATCTGTTGTTTTTTTGGATTGTTCATTTGGATATTTAAGATCAGTGCATTGGTTAGTTAGATCGGATATTTAACTGTTTTTGAGTACTTAGTCTCGGATAATTGGATCGTGTATTTAATAAGTTTTTGGACTGACAACATTCTTTTGTTGTTGTTGTTTTGTGATGAAAACAATATGCAGCTTGACATAAGAGGAGATCCATACGGGTTTCTAGCGGCGCATCCATTGGCACCGCTTGTATCGCTGCACCACCTCGATTACTTAGACCCAATGTTCCCTAACAAAAACCCCATCGAGTCTTTACAAACCCTTATGAAACCTTATACCTTAGACCCGCATCGAATACTCCAACAGGTTAATTGCCATGACCGCAAGCGTCAATGGTCCATATCCATCTCTTGGGGATACTCCGTTCAGATCTACACTTACTTCTTGACCGCTAAGGAGCTAGATACGCCGTTGCAGACTTTCAAAACCTGGCGGTCTTCGAGCGATGGACCTTTCACCTTTAACACCCGGCCCTTGAAACCTGACCCGTGTGAGCGTCCCCTCACTTATTTCATGGACGGTGCAGAGGATGTGCGGGATAGTGGGACGAAAACTTGGTATAGCGTAGCGGATAAGAAGTATGGTCATTGCGGAAAGAGTGAGCATTCTCGGGTTACCAAAGTGAAGAGGATATTGGTGACTTCAATGAAGACGGATCCTGAGTATTGGAACAAGGTTAATTACTGTTCTTTGTTCCGCATTAAAAATTTTACATTTTTGAATGAGTTTTTAATGTTTTTCTGACATTTGAAGCTTTCTTTACATTTTGACAGGCACCACGGAGACAGTGTTGCGAGGTGTTGGAAGGAATAAAGGAGAAAGAAATGTCTATAAGGATACGGAAGTGCAGATCTACGGAGAAGATATAAAAACAATGTTTACGATATATATCTTTGCACATATATACGACTTTAGATTCGATTATAGTTGGTCTCTAAATACAAGAAATTACGATTTATATCTATTATTAATTACCGGGACTCTTGTGTATTTTCAGACTTTTCAGTATGCAAACAACTTTTTTGTGTATTAATATTCAAAATAATATTGACTTCAAACCCGATAGTTCAGTAAGTTTTGTATTTCATGATTTCTCCCTGTATTGTCAATATTCGAATTCTTATGTGTAACCATGCAAGATGTTCCTGCAGCAGAAGATGTTCATCATAGCATTACATAATAATAAGAACATTTATATGAATTATTATAGACCAAGAATCAAAATCATAAATTGAATATTGAATGAGAATGCATGCCTGACTGCTGTCTCATCTTAGTTGGAGAAAGGTAGAAATGGTTGACATTGTACAGACTGATCAATAACAATCAATGAAGAACGAGTCGCCGAATTTCATAAAATCAAAAGGAACAATATAACGACGCATAAACGCCAGTCAGGAACTATTGGACTTCATCAAGCCTTTAAAGGCTACTTTCAAAGCATTTGGAATTTGCTAAATTAGAAACTTTCTGTTTTAGAAGTGAAACTAAAACCAGTTACAGCAATAATCCAAATTTTTATAGAATTTAGTAGAAATAACAATCATAATTACGTTAGTCTTTTTTTTTAAAAAAAAAAATAGGAGAAACAACAATCATAACATTTGATTATTTTATTGATGTTTGCCGTCGACAGAGGAATTTTCACAGACTTAATTATGTGGAAATTTATATGACATATTTTATCTTATAATACAACTAACATTTAATTTCATCTTAAATAAAAGGAAAGAGAGGTTAATGAATGATGACATGGTACGGGCGGTAGGCCAACTGTAGCGGAAAGTAAGCAGTAAAGGTCTTCTGGTTAACGAGTTTATCCAACCAAATTCGAAAATGCTTGGCGACTAATCCAACATTTTTCTCACCAATATATAGAAAAATTGTAACATATACAACATGATATCGGTCTTGTTAATTTATTTTTCCGTGGTTTCAAACTTAATGGCAATTGTCCCTAAAAATTTTAAAGTCATATTGCCAATAAAAGTTATAAGAAAACTTACGTTGATTAAACAGTTCATTTCATATATGATGGGTCTTACAACAAATTATAATGTTTGGAAAAGAAATCAACAATTCACAATGAGTAACAGAACGTATTCATCCCCAGATATTTATTCGACAATAGTTATGGGGAGTTAGTTTCATATCTGAAAAAACGATAACATTTATAAACAAAAATACAAGCACAAACATCTATTAAAACAAAATTCAATCCAGACATTAATCACAAGAAAAAATAAATCAACAGGAAGAAATTGAAAAAGGGGTTAACGAGGAAACTATCAAGCATATAGTATTTTACTAGTTTGATTTCAATGGAGAAAAGGCTCGAAAGTGGTCACCACCTTCTTCAGTTGGTCAAGAAACGATAAATACGACACCGTTCCATCGTTTCCGGCAAGAACCCTATACTTATCCTTCCTCGTGAAGTTAGTGCACTCGAACCCTAACGTAGCCGCCAAGATTCTCTGAACATAGTTGGCCACGTCATGTGGACTCTTCCCTGACGAACACGTTGCCTCCATCGGAAGCTGGTTCAAGAACGTAACCTCATAAACCGGTCTCGGGTTCATAAAGAAGAAAATCGGGTCTAAACCTTTCCAACCTCTCGCCGTGGTCGCATGGAAGAATCCGACTCTATAATTCATCGCAACCGGAACAATCCTATCCGTTAACTCAGCGAAAAGCGCGCTAAATCTTAGCAAAAACGGCTCACGACAAGTGGTACCCTCGGGACAAACCACTAGATCTCCTTTAGACAGTTGTTGTTTGATCTTTGCGGCGTCTACATCTCGAATTCTTGTCAATCGGACGGTTGGAATAGGAGATAAGATCTCGGATAACCGTGAGATCGAGTAAGTAACGGCCGGGATGCTGCGTCCGAGCACATAGGATAACACCACCGGGTCCATTAAGGTTCTATGAGTGCAAACGAAGAGAACTCCGGAGTTTCCGGCCGCCGGTGGCTGAGGAGGCTTGCCTCTGACGATGATTTGGCCGCCGAATACCTGAGAAACGTAAGGCGTGGCCCACAATGGAAGGACGGATCCGAGAAAGATTCGGATCGCGGCGAGAATGATTCCGAATGGGATCCATATGAGGATGAGGAGAGCGGTGGCCGGAGTTGGCCGCTTCACGAGGCGTCCGTCGTGAAAGATCACAGGAAGTGGCCGTAGCTCAAGTTGTTGGTTACGGTGGTTATAGTTCTCCTGAATTGGTGCATGAATATGCTCCTATATGTAAACATTAAATATTAGTTTATAATAATAGAAAATTTATAGAAATGGATGTATTTTTTGTTGTAAAGTATAGAAATATTTGTTTACGTTCAAGTAGATGATAAACTAAAAAGTTATTGTAGCTGAAACAATTAGAGTTTAGTATTTTTTATATTTATGTGAAATTTGTTTTTTGTATGAATATTATAAGATTTTGATCATGCGATGATGCAAATTTATTAGTGTTTACCTCGCATAACGATAAAAATGTCGTGGGAATCGTGTTGGCCGGTCTTCCAAGACCTAGCTGAGGCCTCCGATCAACAAACAAATCGGCGATGCGGTTCAAAACGGATTGATCGATATTGGTTTCACGTATCAAACCGGTGACAAAACCGAACCGGTTCACGATCAGCTCTGTTCCGATGACTTCGTCGGCTCTAAGATGTTCCTTTGCAAACCTCTCTACCATAACTCGAGGCATTCTCGTCACCACGACTCTTTTCTTGCACGAGCTGAAAACCCTCCACGTGTTCATGCTTACGTCGTCCATGTAGAACTTGGGCAGGACGGCTCTAGCCACCGATTCAATCTCCGGTTCGTGTAAACCAACCGTAGATACAAAAATCATGAGCTTGAGAGCGGCGTTTTTGTAGCTGAAAACTTCAAGGAGTGTGATTACGGGCCAAAGAAACAGCAAGGCGGCGAAACGAATTAGACCAGATGCCTCGAAGGCTACGAGCATGAAGTAAGAGAATGGATCTTCGTTCTTCAGTATTGTCCCTTCAAATTCTGACACGACCGAATTCGATGTCGTTCTACCTTGCTCCATCACCAATTTGATCTGTCCTCTTTCTTGGTTTTTTGATCGAGTATTAATTGTGACTTGATTGGAGATGGAAGAAAAATGGATTATAACGTTTTTATGTTATGAGGTTTGGATTGACTCGTCTCTAATGCAATGGCAGTTTATCAATATTGCACCTACCGTAATTGTACATGCTTTTTTATGTTGAATAATGATGTCTTATATAAGTCAATATTATATATAGAGAGATGTGGAGAAAATACGATTACACACGTCACGTGTGGATAACAAAAAAAAAAAAGAAGAGATAGTTTCAAATTAACCAATATTGTCCAAATTTTTGGCAGAATGCACCAAAATTAGGCCATGTGTATACGGATTTTATCGGGTTACTCACCTTATTATATAAGTATTGCATATAGTTTATGAGATTACAATATTCTAGCATTGTAATAATAAATATAATGTATTAATGTGTGCCAATATGTATAATATCTCTTTCTCTAATGAAACGTGCACGAGTATATATGTAATTGGAAACTAAGGGCATGGTAGATATAGGTGTCTTTACCGTTTGGATTCAGTTATGTTTTGTTTAATTCGGTCGGAGAGAAACTTACTATAGTCCCAATCCCAATCCCAATCAAATTATAATTTGTTTGGTTCAGTTTATTTTCGTTTGATTAGTATATTTGGGGGGGGCGGGGTCGTGAGAGAACTTGCCAAAGTGGAACCATATATCAGTTTTTAATTAATCTGGTCCGGTTTGGTTACCTACCTGACCGATAAAGTTACGTATGAACAGAAAGCTTGGGATTCTAAGTACATAAGCAGAACAAAACGTACGTATTGCAATAGTATTTTTCCTACAGATATGATCATATTTTTAATTAACATTTTACACATTACCTTCGCGTCTATTATCTATATTATGTATTAACACTTGACATAAACTTGCGTGTTAACAAAGCCTTTTTTCCTTGTGCAATTTTCCTATCCATCTCTCTAACTCTGTTAGCTCAGGTTTGGTTGGAAACAAATCGGCTACTTTCATCAAAAGAAACTATATAAAATAAGATTTGCGTTCTGAATTCAAACCCATTTTTGGAGGCATTTTTTTTGTTATTTACTGTTAAAGTTGGTTTGGTTTTAGTAAAACTACAATATCGTATTTTTAACTGGATTTTTTTATTGTTATTTGATTTGATTCTAACAAAATCTGCTATATTTTTCTATTTTACATATATTAAACTAGATCGAATAAATTACTGAAGTAAACGTAGTTAAACCAAGTGGTACGGAAGAAAGTTTGTTTGTAATGATCTCTACGATAAACAAAAACTGTCAAAACTTAGTTGAAAATGATAAATAAGAAGCCAATAACACGATATCCCCAGCACCCCAGAAGAGACCATAGCCAAAAACAGGGTTTGCCATGTGACGTGTGTAATCGTATTTTCCAGACTATATATACTTTGTCATATATGAAACATCTGCATGATAGCTTTGAGAATCAAGTCCCTCTTAACATGTAGAGGCTTAAGCCTTAATGTCCTAGATATATTAATGGATTTGTCGAGACAAGATAACACACTTATATCTTGGAGTTTACTAAAAGAGTAGGTAAAAATGTTGTAAAACAAATTGGAACATCACGTCAAAAAGAGGAGACAAGAAGATCAAGAATCAAAAGATCAAATCCAAATTAAAGAAAGCTTTTTATGTCCCTTTTACCAGCTGAAGTAACCATCGCACAAAACGTAGGAAATTCGCAAAATTAGGAGAGTGGAAGCGTTTAAAATTATGGTTCCATACTTCTTCATTAAAAAGACTAGCAAAGAGTAAATGATTTTGATCGAGTTTCAAGCGTGAATTGGAAATAGAGGAATATAAGATCGCATCGTTTGATATCAAGAACCACAACTATATCATCTGAGACATATATATAATGCAAATTACGTTTAAAAGGCTCCTCACAATACCTCACTTGGCTACCTCTTCATTAACATACACACATTTCACCATGTGCTTCAGACAATTCCAAGTGAACCCTGCCTAAGGATAATACTTCACACCTTTTATTCAAACTTAGTTTTCCAGAAGCTTTCTTAAAGTTTAATTACATTAAAGTTTTCTGATCATACCAAGATATCAAACACTCTTTTGTAAAGTTTAACTTTTGCAATACTATTAACCTTTCGAAAGAAGAAGAAATGGCAATTCTCCATCTTTGTAGTTCTTCCCGGGTTATAAGATGTTTTTCTTTTTTCTTGTTGGCAACGAGCCAGAAGATGAAGACATACCTTGAAGTGTGAGACTTGAACTAGATTGCATGTTTCCAGTTCAAAATTGGAGATGCTCAGTTTAGCATTTTCCATTTACTAGAGGTTGAGAATAAGAGGGATTGGGGTATGGGATCCGTTTAATCACAATGTGGAACTAGAGTAACATTCATTTTTTAAACCAAAAAGGTAATATCCATTTTGGGATGTCGGAACTATAATATTGGTAGATCTGGAAAATACAGAGCAAGAATGCATTAAACTTCCAATATACACACAAACACCTTTAAGAATAATTAAGAAGTAGATAGTCTAACATATTCGACTAAATATATATATTTGAACTACGAAGAGGTGTGTATTAAAGTCACCAAAAAGAGAATATCATCAGGAAGAAAAAATGAGACAGATAAAATATTGTATAACGAATATAAATGTGAAATCAGAAAATTAAGGATTTTCCAAAACTAGGATCATTTGAGAGGATCTCAAGAACTCAAGAAAGATAAAAATGAACATACCAAATATCCTCGAGCTTTATTCAAGAAAACACCTCCTCTTGTGATCCGGCCGATCTGAGAGATTCATACAAGAACTTGAGCTACAGATTATATATTTATATAACCGAAACATACCTGTTTATATGTGTTTAAGCCACTGATTGCAGCTGCAGCATCATCAAGATTCTCATACAAACACCAAAAAGTTCATTATGTATGGATTCATTTACACGAATATGCATAGCTAGACTTTGATGATTTGTGAATCTTGATGATGCTCCAACAGCGAACAGTAGCTGGTTGATGATAAAATGTATATTAATTTGGATCTTGGTTTTGTCTTGGGTCTTTATCAAGACACAAGACGGCAATATCTTGCTGGTAACATGAAACCCTAATCTCAATCCTTAATCTAGAGTCATGTGACCTAGCTATAGAGAGAGAGAGAGAGAGGGGGAGCGAGAAATTAAAGGAGAACTTGTATAAAGCGATAAAGGAGATGCTATCTGGTGGTTTCTCCAATGATGTGCATAGATAATATATATAATTGTCATGTAATCAAATATATATATGACAAGTTGAAGTATCTTTAAAGAAATTAAAAGGTAAAACTTGAAATATCTTAATTGAGATCTTATGTCAGTTCAGGTTAGTACAACGGCTACTATGGACCGATTTTGTCATCCATAACTCGGGCTCGAACATGTTAATGTACAGTGACATTCGAGAGTATAATTAAGGAAAGATCCTTATATAGAAACCTTTCTATTCTTCTCTTTTTTTCAGTACTGGCAGTACGGTTTATATCTCAAACACAGCAACGAAAAAAAAGTTTAAGCAATGAATGAAGTTAACTTATGACCTTAGATAATTTTTTTTCTTTTAAATTTCCACTAAATAGTTTTTCACCTATTATGCTAATCAAGCATTAAAATATCAGCCAGTAATCGTCATCAATTATCTATTGGAACGCGTCAATTTTTTTTTTTTGTTTTTCGCCATTATTCATCTTATTCTACGCATACCATTGAAACTCTTCTTCTTATTTTTTTTTTCTGTCGTCACCATTTCTTTAGTTAATTAATAATACTCTATCAAATAGAGAATATACCAATACAAGAAAGAATCAAGTGAGAGAATAAAAAGGAGAGAAGTAGAGAGACAAGCGCGAGACACGGCGAAGTGGAACTGATCCTCTTACGTTCCTCGTACGTTTACAAGTTACACTGCTTTCCATAATTCTATATTATTATTGCCTCCATCCCTTTTTATTCAAACTTTTTTCACACACTTGGAAAATTAAAGCTTATTAGCTGTAACCTAATTGAAACTGGCAATTAGCAGCATATTCAAACAATTATTTTGAATGATTGCAGTGGATAAGAACGAACTAACCGGTTTACGGAGAAATCACATTCTGTTCACCATATATAAATTTTGGTCCGTAAAAATGCATACATAATCTTTGAACAAAATTAAATTTAGCCCACATTGGTTTGTTGTATGCTCTAAATTGTAAAACTAAATATTTTGTAAACGTACTAGTTTACACCATCCGCAATAACCATTTAAAGCAACGAAAAATTAATATGCATTTTGAAACAAAATTAATTGAAAATGTCATATACATGAAGATTGTCTCTACAAAGATTATCGACTCATATATATGCATCTCAATAATCTCAAAATAAGGACTAAAAAAATCCGTGTTGTCAAAATATAAAAAGAATTATATATCCTTTAGGAAAAAAGCTGTAATAGTTATATATCTTGGAACTAAAAACAGAAAAGAAACAAGTTTAATCATCCGAGTCTTTATTTTATATTTCACCTATTAGCGTTCAAATGGTTTGAAAAGAGATCCGAAAATACTTTTTTTTCCCTTTTCGGATAAAAAGTATGGCTCTTCTTTGTGAGTTATTTGAATATAGCAAGTGAATGAATAAGCTGAAGTAATAGGGAATAAGCAGATGCATGAAAAAGGTTCAAGTCATCGGTCTTATGATTCGTTCTTTGGCTTCTTTAACTTTAAATCGATTCGCCAATCTGTATAGAGAGTCACTGACTCACTGTCACTGTCACTGCCATGCATTATCTATTTGTTGACAGAGAAAATGAATTGACACTGATCATATATTCATATGCGTGCGTGCGGATTCCTAATCTCCTGCTCAACGTCATTAAACTCATTAATCACATCATTAAATGAAGTTTAAATTGCATTTTTTTCTTTGGTGAGGGTTTCTTTTAATCAAGACGTATAAGTCGTACACGTTTATTATACCAAATAAGTATACATTGCAACACATTTCTTAAATTGTATATCACGATTTATCATTTAGAAAATTTTGCTCAATATTTTGAATTTTTGTATTTGTCGAGACACACATATTTACAAATGTATGAGTTTGCAATCTTATTTGTATAACATAAAAGTTCGCTCTGTATAATTTATTAACGAAACACTTATATGAGTACATTAATAAATTAATAATATATGAAATTCATTTATAGTTTTTCCCCGAAAAGAAAAAGTAAAATAAATAGGAGAGTTTGCAGCAAAAAGAATAAAAAGAAAAAAATAAAATAAATAGGAGAGTTATTTTTACCTATTTGGGATCCTTTTCCACTTCTGTGTTGAGCATCCCGAGCTGTGATGAATCTTTGCTTTGGTGCTTTGATCTCTTTCTATCGTTAATCTGTGGATTCTCTGAGAAAACATCGGTGGAGCTTTCCCGCGTAATCCCTCTCTCTCTCTCTCTCTCTCCTCTTGATGTTTTTGTTATTTCTAGATTGTTCTTCCGATACTGCCTTTGAATCCATTTGCACGGATCTCTGATCTTCAATCGCTGTTTTCATCGTCTATGATCAGTGGAGAGCTTGAATTTTGAGCTAATTTTTTGATTGAAATTTAGTATTTGTGTTGTTTTCCATACCAAATCGGATTATTTTTCTCCTGTATCTTCAGCTCAACTCGAGCTCTGATTTCGTCTGATGTTGTAGAAGCTTTGACGCAGATCTCTTCGTGTTCGACTACTCCTTCGCTGTTTTTTTTTTTTTTTTGCTGATTATCTTCAGGTTACTTTGACCTCAGCTAGGGTTCGTGCAATTAGCTGTAGTTGCTTTTTGTTTTATCGTGATTCCTGATTAATCGAACACCGAACCAGTTGTTGCGAATTGGGATTTAAATTCCCAGAATTAGATATGGGATCTTCTGTGGTAGGATCCAATGAGAAACGAAGTGAAACTTGAAGGCATGATTAGCTGTGAAATCCAAAAGCTACTTTAAGGACTTGCTTATTTTGTGTTTCTCGTATATAAGAGTCTCCAAGTGCTTTACTCGTTTCTGGTTTCTCATTATCTGATGATTCACCAAAAATGGTTAAGAGTTCTTTCGCCAAAGACCTTTGGTTGTTGCAGTGTTGTTTGTTTTCAGTTTTATCATTTCATTAGTTGTTGATACATACGTGAGTGCTGCAGATGATATAAACTATTCTCTGGCTGAAATATTAAAGGGACTGTCTTGTTTCTCTAAACTGTTTCAGGGTTGGGAGCTTGATGTCTAAGTTGTTATTGAATTGCTGGGGTCTGTGTTAAGAGATGAGTTACATGACGACGACGACGGCTGAGAGTGATGATGGTATGCACTCCAGCATCTACAACGAATCACCAGCTGATGATAACATTGGCAATGGCTGCAGAAGTAGAGGGAAAGGACGTGTCCTGAAGAAAGGGCCATGGACCTCAACTGAAGACGGGATTTTAATTAACTATGTCAATAAGCACGGCGAGGGTAACTGGAATGCTGTGCAGAAATACACGATCCTGTCCCGTTGTGGTAAAAGCTGTCGTCTAAGATGGGCCAATCATCTTAGGCCAAACTTGAAGAAAGGAGCATTTAGCCAAGAAGAGGAGCGGCTCATTGTTGAAATGCACGCCAAGATGGGGAATAAATGGGCACAGATGGCTGAAAATGTAAGTAGTTTTCTAAGACCTGAGCATTGCCGAAGCTACCTGATTATCGTTCATTTCCATCATATTGATATTTTTTTCGTTGTTGTTCTTACCAGTTGCCTGGTCGCACGGATAATGAGATAAAGAATTATTGGAACACTCGTATCAAGAGGCGACAACGAGCAGGCTTACCACTTTACCCTCCTGACATCCATGTTGAAGACCTGCAATGGAGTGAAGAGTATACAACGAGTAGTTTCATGGGGGTAGATAGAAGAAGACATCAAGATTTCTTGCAGCTGGGGAATTCGAAAGCTAATGTTCTGTTTGATGAGCTAAATTTTGCTACCAGCTTGTTACCTCGAGCTTCTGACGTATCAGCTATGTTTGCATGCAACATGCTAGGAACTGGTGCAACTACTTCCAGGTACGAAAGCTACATGCCACCGATATTGCCTTCCCCGAAGCAACTCCGGGAATCTGGATCTCGTTTTCCCATTTGCAGCAGTAACATAAAGCAAGAACTCCAGTATCCGGACCATTTTCAGAATGCCGCTCCACAAAAGAGTCCCAGATCTTGCAGTATCTCGCCTTGCGATGTTGATCATCCTCCGTATGGAAACCAACATCCATCTCATGTGATGATTTCAGATAGCCATACCTTTACGGATGGCATGCTTCCTACTTCTAAGCCCTTGTTTGGGGCATTGAAGCTGGAGCTCCCTTCATTCCAATTTTCAGAAACTAGTGCATTTGATCAGTGGAAGACGACACCGTCACCTCCACACTCAGATCTCCTTGACTCTGTTGATGCCTATATTCAATCTCCGCCACCATTGGAGACAGAGGAGTCAGATTGTTTCTCTTCATGCGACACCGGCCTACTAGATATGCTACTTCACGAGGCCAAGATCAAAGCTAGTGCCAAGCACGGTTTGTTGTTGTCATCACCTCAGAAGAGTTTCGGTTCAACAACTTATACAACCGAAACCCAAATCAAATCAGGTGAATTTGATGGTTACCAAAAGAATTTGGCTCGCCCCGAGATTCCAATTCCCACGCAACTTAGTGCAGGTGGAATTTCATCAGGTGAGATCAAAGTTACTCTCGCTGATTGGTATCTTATCTAGTTTATCTCCATTCATTGAGTTGCTGTCTTGTAGCTGAGAGTCCCTTTTTTTCATATTTGCAGAGAACGTTAAAGAGATGGGTCAGGTTTTGGAACCAAAGAGAGTTGATATAACACGACCTGATGTTTTACTGGCCTCGAGCTGGGTAGACCAACAAGGCTGTCTTGGGATTGTTAGAGACTCAAGCAGCATGACCGATGCGCTTGCGCTTATCCTTGGTGGTGACGACATAGGGAACGCTTATATGTCTGCTGGGTCATCATCAGGTCAAGCACCACGAGGTGTTGGGTCTTGCGCATGGACTAATTTGCCGCCTGTCTGGTCCTTGTAACAAATTGAACCACATCACAGTTTTATCTTTCTGTACTTTCGAGCTACTTACTTCTTTTTAAGAACTTGCGGTTTGTTATATTGAGTGAAAGATTTATGAACTTGGGAAAAAGAAAAAAACTCTGTTTTACTTCACCTGATTGATTTCTTAGGAGTTGGTTCAGTTTGTTAATGACAAATCGATTGTAGGGGACATTTAAAACAAATGATGATTAAACAATACATAAGATTAGGAGGTAAAAATATATAATAGTGGCTCAATACATAAAAAGACATCAGAACTTCAGAAGCAAATGAATCATTCAAATAATAAAAAGGTTCAAGGTCTTGATCTCGCAATGTGACGGTGCCCCAAGAGGATTAAAACCCAAAATTCTCATGGAGCTCCGAAAAGATTATATCATTAGACTCCGGTTTTCTTGCTTCTGATGATTTCCTTAAGCTCTGCAAACTTCTTCTTGCACTGAATCATCGTTTTCCCAGGAACAGCTGCAGCTACTCTCTCCCATCTTTGGGTTGTCTCTTTTGGGAAAGTCTTCAAAGCCTGAACCAAAGCTCTTTCTTGCACAGCCGACCAACCATCTGTGTCTGAACTTCCACTTGCTTCACCGTTGTTCTCTGAGCTTTGACTGCCCGAGCTTTTCCCCACAGCAGTCTCTTTAACGGGTTTTGCCTTTGTTGTGGTCGTCGTAGGTAGAGATTCTCCGAGCTCCTCTCTTGTGGAGAGAGGAGACGCGATTGAAACATTGGGTTTCCTTTTCTCCAGGAAAGAATCAAATGCTTTGGCGGAATCTGGTTTCTGGAGAAGAACGGTCTTAGTTGCTTTCAGAATCTCCTCTACGGATCTTCCTGTACCGATATACTCTGATATAACCTCCCATCTCCGAGATGTCCCCTTTGGATATTTTATCATTCCTTTTCTCAGCATATCAATCTCTTCCTTGCTCCACGGTTGTTTCTTCTGAGGGTTATCTAACTGAGAAACTCGGTTCGTAGGCTCTACACCACCGTTGGGTTTCTCGCTTTCTTTTTCTTTAGAGTTGGCTTCGTGGTCTCTACTACTGTTGCACCCATCTTTGATCACCTTTGCCAATTCTAGCCCTTCTTTGTTTCCCATTTTATCACATAGATTTTGCAACTGCTCGATGTTAAGTGACATGCATAGATTCTCTATATCTTCCTCGGAGATGTCAAGCAGACGCTGAGCCACGATAGGAGCTGAGAGAGTTCTAAGACGGCTCCGTTCTTTGCGTAAGAGCTTCTTCTCTTTTTCCTTTGCTTTCTTTTGCTGCTGCGCAGATTCTGCTGCTCGCTTTTCTTCTTCTTCTTTTCGCCTTTTCTCTTCTTCAGCAGCGATAGCAGCTTCCTCTTCCTGCTTCTTCTTGGCCATAAGCTTTGCATCTTTTTTCTGCTGCTTCTCAGCCTTTTCTTCCTCTTTTCTTTTAACAATTCTCGGGTCTTTTCTATAGGCATTGTCAACAAGAGTCCGGATTCGAGCATGTTCCTCCTTCCTAGCCTTTGCAGTTTTTTTGGCATTCTCCTTCTCCATCCACCTCCGTTCCTCACGAGAATCTGCTTGTTCAAGATCATGCTCCTCTTCATCAGGAAATTCCCTCCAACTCTTGAAAGCGTACCAGAAGTTGTAGAACCTGTCAACATCTTTAAGCTTTGTGTTTTCATCTCCCAAATCTGGTATACGCTGATTCACTGACCACCTAGCATTCCTCTTAAAAGCTGGACCAAACACCTTGAAAAAGTCTTGCGGCAAGCAATCCGATGGGACCTCGTCGTCAAACTCATCAGTGGAGTCAAAGATCCTCCTCCTTGTTGGATCCATCAACACCTCATAAGCTTCCTGAATTGCCTTGAAGCGAGATTCAATCTCATCTTTTTTGGCTTCCTTGGCTTCTTCAGTCTCCTCTGCCAGAAGCAGGGTAGCGAGTTTATCAGGGTGATGCTTCAAGGCAGCTTCACGGTAGCTTTTCCTAATCTGATCTTCTGTTGCAAGATATCTCAGATTGCTCAAACCCAACAACGCATAGTGGTCTTGTTGCTGCGTACCAGACTTCTTCTTTCCTTTGTTGGCATAAGAGTTGAACGAAGGAACATACTCCTTCTCTTTATCATCTCCGACTTTCTTATCGCCACCTTCATCATCTGTGGGTTCCTCTGCACAGCCATACAGTTTAAGAGCAGCAGAGTGGAAGGCGTGACCAGCAGGTTCACGGTTTAAAGCCTTCACAGGAAGACAATTGGAAAAGGCATACAAGGGTTTCCCATCCACAAGCTCCTCAGAGTATGTAATTAGCTTAATGACAGAGTCGCTTCTACAGCTCGACATGATGAAAAAAGTCACAGGAGCTGCAAATTTCCTTACTCCAAGTGAGAGTATCCACGCTGATCTCTCTGTCACAAAGATTACAGAAACATTGTGAATTTGGTCAGCATTTTAAACGGGCGAGAGTCAATATTCAGCAGTAGACTAAGCTAAAGTAATCTATAAGCAAAAGCTAATTTTGAAAAGAGATACACAAGCCAAGCCTCAAATCACAGTCTCGAGATTACAAAATCAGTTGATCAAACAATACAAGATCATCCAAGATGATAAGAGCTGGAAAAGGATTGTTCTATTTCTAAATTTACGCAAAAGGAAGAACAAGGCCATACAGACAAATGATGTTAGCACAGATCTAGCAGCTTTAGATTGAACTCTAAATCATAGAACCTGGTATGGTTACTAAGGCAAATGTAACTAGGGAAATATAATTTTGTGACTTCGATAGATGAGATCCACTTGTAAAGAGAATCAACGCAGCTCCGCGTTTAAAATTCACTTCAAAACAAAATTAGGGAAACACGAAAGGAAGTAATAACAAAATCCATCTCTTAAGAACACCAGAAACCACTCATAAGGTTAGTCATGACTCAGTACCAACAATTACGAGATGATTTTCGACTTATCTATTCACTTTATTTCCCTTCTTATGCAAAACCACAAGATGATCTATTTTGATCCTAAGGAATTTCACAAACCATCTGATAACATTCAAAACATCCACCAACCGTAACTGGAAAACAACAGTGTTAAATCCACATTTTCTTACCCAGAAACTGAGCTCGCAGTCACTCTGATCCGTTGGTCGGAAGCCGGTCCGGCGATCTCTTGCCACACGAGCTTCCTCCGACCTACGGCGGCAGAGAGTGATGAACAATAAGAAGAAGAAGAGAAGTTCAATCTGGTTCACGAAGATATAGCGGCCGCAACGATTTGCAGATGGACAAAGTATCTCTCAGAAGAAATGGTCTATCAGATTATAAAATGTTTGGTTGTACGTATAAGTCTAATCTCCGAATTTGCGATTACTTAGCACAATAAATAATTTGGCCCAGGCCCAGGACCAGGCCCATATACTTAGGCCTTACTCTCATATAGTTTATATTACTAAACATTGATCCAAACAAGTCATAACCGGCGGTGAACCAATGACCGTCGCTGCAACCCGAAGCCTCGTACGTAACTCCGCCGTCGTCGCTGCGGTGGCTTCGACGCCATGGAACGTGCGTCTGAGAGAGCTCGCTTATCAATCCATGTTCTCCGACTCTATCTCTCTCTACCGGGAAATGCTCCGTTCAGGCACCTCTCCCGACGCGTTCTCTTACCCTTTCACTCTCAAGTCATGCGCCGCCCTTTCGCTCCCTGTCTCCGGCCAACAGCTCCATTGCCAAATAATCAGAGTAGGCTGCGAGGCTGAGCCCTTCGTGTTGACTGCTCTGATCTCAATGTACTGTAAATGCGGTTTGATCAAGGATGCTCGCAAAGTGTTCGACGAAAATCCTCAGTCACGTCATCTCGGTGTTTGTTACAACGCATTGATATCTGGGTACACAGCAAACTCGAAAGTAGATGATGCTGCGTGTATGTTTCGTACAATGAAGGAATCTGGTGTGACGGCTGATTCAGTTACAATGCTCGGGCTTGTCCCGGCTTGCACGGGACCTGATTACCTCGGGCTCGGGATGTCTCTTCACGGTCAATGCGTTAAAGGAGGAACAGATTCTGAGTTAGCTGTTCTGAATAGTTTCATCACCATGTACATGAAATGCGGGTCGGTAGAATTAGCTAGGAGATTGTTCGATGTAATGCCTGTGAAAGGTTTGATTAGCTGGAACGCTGTGATTTCTGGATATGCACAGAACGGATTAGCTCACGAAGTTCTGGAACTCTACGAGAAGATGAAATCTTCGGGTGTTTCTGCTGATCCTGTTACATTGGTCAGTGTTCTGTCGTCATGTGCGAATCTTGGAGCTCAGAAGATTGGTCAGGAAGTAGAGAAGCTAGTTGAAGCCAATGGCTTTTTATCAAATGTGTTTGTAAGCAACGCGTTGATCAGTATGTATGCTAGATGCGGTAACTTGGCAAAGGCGCGTGCTGTTTTCGACAGCATACCTGTGAAAACCAAAGTGTCGTGGACCGCTATGATAGGTTGCTATGGGATGCATGGAATGGCAGAGACGGGGCTAAAGCTTTTCGATGATATGATAAAAAGCGGAACAAGACCCGACGGGGCAGTCTTTGTGATGGTTTTATATGCGTGTAGCCATTCAGGGCTAACGGATAAAGGTTTGGAGTTATTTGATGCGATGAAGAGAGAGTATAACGTGGAGCCTGGCCTTGAGCACTACTCTTGCGTAGTTGATCTACTGGGAAGAGCTGGTCGATTAGATGAAGCCGTGGAGTTTATAGAATCAATGCCTGTTGAACCCGATGGTGCTGTTTGGGGCGCTCTGTTGGGTGCGTGTAAAATTTACAAGAATGTGGATATGGCGGAGTTAGCTTTCGCGAAGGTGATCGAGTTTGAACCCATGAACGTTGGCTACTATGTGGTGATGTCAAATATATACTCAGGGTCGAAGAATCAAGAAGGAATCTGGAGAGTCAGGATGATGATGAGAGAGAGAGGGTTCAAGAAAGAGCCTGGGTATAGTTATGTGGAACACAAGGGAAGAGCTCACCTGTTTTTGGCTGGCGACAGAAGTCATGAGCAAACAGAGGAAGTCTACAGAATGCTGGATGAGTTGGATACTTCTGTGGTGGAGATTGCGGGGAACACGGACTGTGATGAAGGCGGAGAGGTTTCGAGCAGTGGGCGCGAGCATAGCGAGAGGTTAGCAATAGCATTTGGGATTCTCAACACTTCACCAGGGACAGAGATTCTTGTGATAAAGAACCTGAGGGTTTGTGAAGACTGTCATGTGTTTATCAAGATGGTTAGCAAGATTGTAGATCGCCGGTTTGTTGTAAGAGATGCATCTCGATTCCACTATTTCAAAGACGGGTTCTGCTCGTGCAAGGATTACTGGTGATTGGGATTCCAAGAGTCTCACTGGTCTTCGCTTTCGCGGAAATGTACTACAGAAGGATGTACTCAAAACAAAATGCCTACAGAAGTTTGGGTTCGGTAATAAGTTCATCTTCAACAAACGGGATGGTTTTTCGGACAATCACCCTCATAGGAGACCCTGCAAGAAGGAGAATAGATGTGAGGAAGAAAACACTAAATAAAATGGAGTCGGGGTCAAGTGAAATTGCACCTTCGCTAGCTTGATCATCTTCAGTACAGACTGCAGCATAATGAGAACCAGCCAACTCTAAAAGGGCAAACTTCCATCCTCCATCGCATTTCCTTGTCTTCCCCAGTGGAGTGGCTGTCGTTTCAGATGTCTACAGAACAAAAATTGAGGGTCTTAAGGAAGCGTAGTACAAATACAACATGTAACAGTGTTTTGGTAACACGATATTCAATTCCAGAGTTTGATTTTTAAGTGTAAAACAAACCTCGCAAAGATTGTAGCCTCCTCTTGTTCCAGCCTTAACCTGAATCGTGAAGGTATTAAAAGGTGCAGCAGAGAAGCCTTTTCCTAATGCTTTTACATATGCCTCCTGGATTTAAAGAATCACCACAACAGTTTCAACATTCGACAAGTAACAATCATTTCAGGCTCAAATATATCTGTTGTTAGTAAGTAGAAACTACCTTAAGAGTCCATAACTTGATAAATTCCGTTCGCTGAACTTCAGGATCCGGGAGAGCTGACAAATAGTCCACTTCATCAATAGAGTAAAATCTTTTTGCGAATGCTAAGACATCATGTTTGATCTTCCTTTCCTTGTCTTCAACATCAATACCAACCTACACTCGTACCAAACTAAAACTGTTGCTATTTTTGGACCCCCAAAAAGCTATGTATTTGCATGAACACAAGACTCACCGGAACATGTGCTGTCACACCACAGGCAATCAATGAATCTGTGTGGGAGATGTTGAAATGCAATGGCGGGTTATTACAGTTCTGCCAATCTACCTTGTAAGGAATTTAAACACGAACAGGTTAATCTTCGCCTCCTAAGCCCAGAGAGTATGACTCTATATAACTGTTTCTCACCTCAGGCTTCCCATACATATTCTTCTTGAACATCAAGGATCCAGGATCGACCGCATTGTTTGTCTGATCTAAGTAATGATTCACATGGTGACAACGAACGAATAAGCTCTCATATTCAAGTACAAGAGGGTCAAACGATTAGATGGAAAGTAAAAGAGAAGAGTAACATATACATCTGGCGATGGTGGTTCGAACCAATGTGCGGGCAAGCAAAGCATTCTTCTTGAGCTCATCGCCTCGCATCTGAAGCACTTTCTCATTCTCGAGCGGTGACAAAAGCTGAGAGTAGTGTTTTAGTAGAGATGTGCTTTTCACTTCATCTGGTAGAATATACCATACATGAGTCTCCCTAGGATAACACAATCAAAAGGAGATACGCATCATTACTAATAGACCCGATTTGGATCGTTGCACGAGTTCATCATAACAACACAAGCTTATTGCATTTCAATTTGAAGACAAACATCACGCAATGAGCTACCTACATCCGAGATGGAAGTTGCAGGGGAACCAGTGAAGGCAATTCGATCGATAAGCCTCTCTGTATCTGCGACATGACACTGATTCTCATCAGCTTCAGGTCCTATTCCGAAGGAATCTTGAGATCTCCGCCGTACGAATTAAACAAAGTGGCAGGAGAATCCACCTGGTAGAAGAATCAATCTCAAGAACTAGTTATCAACTGAATTTGAAATCCAATTATAACTGCACGCGTTGAGACCCCAATTTAAAACACAGTTTATCCTCCGGCTAACTACGGTGACGTCACCCGCCGGTTACCGAAACGGTGACGGAGGCGAGATACCCTAATCGACGGGAACACCGGGACGATTGAATACTTTCAGTTTTAGCAGGAATGTGAAATTTAACAGAACCGTACCGAACCAAATCGAATCCCATTTTCGTTTTTTTTAACCGAACGGTTTTGCTTATCCTCAACCCGAACTAAACCGATATTACTTTGGTTCCAATTCCGTTCGTTGACTAATACAGAGGACGACAAATTACAAATAACTCGATAAAGGTTACATTATTTTGGGAGAATTCTCATGCAAAATTGCAGAATAAGGTTTCATATAAAATTATTAATTTATGGGATTCAAGAAAATCATTTATTTTTTTCGGTCAACATGAAAATCAATAACTTACACAATAAAAAAGACCCCTAAAATTTATCTTAATCTAGCAATTTCGCACTAATCGATCTCATCTGTTCTTGACCAACATGACAACTCCTTCTCAATTAGAATTACTAGAACACCATCACTTGGTTTTAATGGATGTTAAGAGTTTAAGATCATACATATTTCGAATGTTTTCGAACCCAGTCGTGATATGTAGTCAGTATGACCAGTCCAACAGAGAACCGTTCTTCTTACCAGTTAGCTCTTAGCATTCGATTTGGATCACTCGCTGACTCGTTCTTAAGGTTTTGATTAACTAATAATGTTTCGATCTTTTAATAATGTTACCTTGAAAGATTAAAATTATGGAATTTCCTTTTATTATTTGTTAGTTTTCAATTTCGGAAATATACTAAAAGTATAATTAAAAATACAATATTCATATTTGCATCCTCAAACATAATAACGTTTATTTGATATATAAAAAAAAAAGTTACTCAAAAACCAGTTTAACTAGTTGGAGAGCTTCGATTAGCCATCATGTGATGTTTTCGAATCAATTTTAGATACATCGAAATTACAGTTTTTTTACTATTATTTTGGTGCAAAACTAATTATAGTATAATATATTCTTTTTTTGTACGAGAAAACTTGAACGTATTTAATTGATCATGCTTGATGATTTCCTCTTAAGAAAAAACGTGACGTTTCGATCGGCATAAATTAGTTAGTACGAAAAGAAAATGATATATAAATGAGACTTTCGTTTTCCACATGGTGTTAAGTTAACTGTTAAGTATTAAGAGTAAGACCATATATACAATCACTACCACTGATAATCGTTTTCGATCAAAATATTCGAGTTTTATAAACATAATTAAGCGCGATTGCGGCTGTTCGGGTTGTCTAAACAACATTCTTCCATTTGTAATTTGATCCAGCGAATAAACGCTTATTCTTAATTAGTTCTTCCACCGAAACTCAAATAAAACACGATTAAAAAAATAATAATAAATAAATAAAACACGATTAATATATATATATTATCAAAACTACTGAGAAAATATATTTAGTTATCATGTATTTGTCAATCGTAACGTGACATATATAGACAACAAATTCACAAAGGACCATGAAACACCACAAGTTTATGGTAGGCCACCTCCTTTTTTCCTGTCTTTTTGATATGAAGAAATTCGAATGTATTTATCGATCTACCACAAATTTGACTGGCAGAAATTATTTAGCACGAAAACCAAAGAAATTTAAATTGGAGTTTCTTGTTCCACATGTACAAGACCATGCATCATGCATGGCAGTATGGCACATGCATGCATTATTAATATTCGTTTTTTTGGGTCAGAGAATGCGAGTATTATAAACAAAGTCTACATTTCATTAGTAAGCAGGACTTAATGTTTCTAATTCGAGTATTATATATAGTAATCTCGCACAATTTGATTAAACGAATCCTCCTCAGCACAGAGTCTGTTCACACTTATTTGAGATTAGCAGAAGAATCTTAGTCGCTGTCAGAGATCCTGACCTTCGTATTCTTTTTTTTTTTTTACTAAAAGCTTGACCTTCGTATTCTTAGTCTTTGATTATTGGAAGATACTCGTCAGTGTTCACCTCAACTGGCATTTTTTGTTCATTTTAAATTTTAATTAAATTTCTTATTTTACGGAAGTTTTATTATGAAATGATTTGAGTTGTAAAACGCATCCGCATATATATCGTGAATATATAGTATTAGTTTTCACTTTGCTCACCATTTTGTCTTTTTCAATACAACATGATCACCAACAATTTTAAAAATATCGTGTTTTAGGTTTTCACACTTTAATAGGTCATACCTTTTTGAAATTATTTGTCTCTGTCCTTTAAATATACCAGTTCCAACACAAGTTTTTTTTAGTAGGATTATCATTATTTTAGACAATATATTCATGATATCCATTTGATTTTTGGACAAATACTATTACGATATATTCTATATCAATATTAAGAAATCTTCTGTATTTCCGATCCTTATGTATATCCTTTATTCTCGTGTAAAACCCTAAGCTAATGTATTATATATACGATCTCTCAATATCAATAAACAAGGAGTTTATAACAAGTTTGGCAAATATCCATATTATTAAAAAAATAACATGGGTATTTGTTCTGCTGCGAATAATGATATGAAACGAGACATGAGTTTTACCGAGTTTGATCGTAACTGATATGGAAAAAGTGCATTAAAATGCATTGGACATGAGACATGAGTTTTTTCACCTACGTCTCGTCGTCGAGACTTTCCTTAAAATGCATTAGTGAATCACAACACTCATCACGCCTCAATCTTGAACCCATCACATAAACTTTAGTTACACTTCATGCTCCATTAAGTTCTTTGGATCAATTAAACTACACGTCACCACATATATATATACCGTAGACGACTCAAAAAACCACCGAAAAACACTCTTCTGCAACAACCTATAACAATCTCAGAAATCCAAACTCGGTACTAATTTCAGCTAGTAAGACCATAAACTTTTTAGTTATAAAAATAAAATACACACATATATATATATATAAGAACCAGTCACGTCCTTTGAAATTCGCCTTATTTACTAGAGATTCAGTTGTGAACCCGAGGTTAACTAAAAGTCAATTCTATAGAGTTGGCGTTTATGGTTCTAATGTTACGTTTTTTTTTTTTTTTTACGTAGATCAGACCAATTCAATGGAATTTATAGAAAATGTGAGGCATTTTTTTCACTAAGCATCTACGGTAGTCATCTATGATTGAAATCACAATATTATGTAAAAAAATATTAAGGAATATATTGTAGCGACATATCACATATTAAGGAATCGTAAGGACAGACAAAAAAAGGAATCGTCAGGACAGAAAAAAAAAAAAAGAAATCGTGAGGACAGAAAAAAAAAAAAAAGAGTAATGGCAACGACTTTGCAACTTTTACACTTGGCGTGTTTCACGTATTTTTAATGCACTAGTACTTGATTAACTTCTATCTCTCTATAAATTGAAGTGCGTGAGTTGCATCTTCCACACAGCAACATCTTCTAATAATTCTCCTTAATCTTATCACTAATTAATATAAGTACGATAAAAAAATGGATTCAAGATTCATCGACACCATTCCTTCCTTGAGGTTCTTATCTCCAAATTCATCATTACAACACATTCACATATACTTAATTTTGCTCTAATTTAGTTATTTCATATATATATTTATGTATGTATATATGTGCATGCTGCTGTATGTATATGCACTAATATATGTACATCGCGATGCAGCTATAATGATGATAAGAGCGATGATGACTATGCGTTTGTAAGAGCTCTACGTATGAGTGGTGGAGATGGAGCCAAGAGTTACTCAGCCAATTCTCTTCTTCAGGTTCTTCATACATTTTTCCAATTCAAATATGCTATATATATAAGACCAACGAATACTTGGTATGTATATTATCGAACAAAATCCAAATATATTATGTATGAAATATATAGATTATATAATTAACCTGCGTTTAAAATTGAAACACATGTCTCATGATCTCTATATGTTGGATGATCTTTCAATATATACCACTAAAAGTGAAATTACGAATGAGGTATGAGGATTTTCATAGGTTTTATCCAATCAAATTCGTTTTCATGTCATATGTTTATTTTGTGTGATTTGTGTCCTTTTAACATTTGAGTTTAGATTATAATTAAAAATAAAAATATATATCATGGACAATGATTGATGTTCATTTGTTGTTTAAGAGGAACTAAATTACTTGTATCTCTTTGTTTTTTTGGGTTCTTAGAGAAAAGTTTTATCAATGGCAAAACCAGTTTTGGTAAAAAACACAGAAGAAATGATGATGAACTTAGACTTTCCAAAGTACATCAAAGTTGCTGAACTGGGTTGTTCTTCGGGACAAAACACATTTCTGGCTATATCTGAGATCATCAACACCATCAATGCGTTGTGTCAACAATTGGACCAAAACCCACCAGAAATAGATTGTTGTCTGAATGATCTCCCGGGAAACGATTTCAACACGACCTTCAAATCCGTACCTTTCTTCAACGAGGAGCTCATGATCACAAACAAAACATCCTGTTTCGTCTATGGAGCTCCAGGTTCCTTCTACTCCAGGCTCTTCTCTCGCAATAGTCTCCATTTCATACATTCCTCTTACGCTCTCCATTGGCTCTCTAAGGTACTTATTAATTATAGATTTTAATAAACAATATGTTATTTGATATTCAACGATCGATGATGGAACTGTACATGTTTGTGATTAAAGGTTCCTGGAAATCTCGAGAATGATAAGGGAAGCGTGTACATAACGAGTTCAAGTCCTCAAAGTGCATACAAGGCTTACTTGAATCAATTCCAAAGAGACTTCACGATGTTTCTAAGGCTGCGTTCTGAAGAAATTGTCTCTAATGGACGCATGGTTCTCACCTTCATCGGACGAAACACTCTCAATGATCCATTGTATAGAGATTGTTGTCACTTTTGGTCATTGCTTTCAAAATCTCTCCGTGACCTAGTCTTCGAGGTATATCATATAAAAATAAAATTAATTATTAATATTTGTTCAAACATTTTAATTATGTCCATGCATATCTTATTGATCTGAATGCATGATTATTACCTTATATTCTCTCATTTATGTAGTGTATTTTTTGTTTTTAGTTACCGTTGTTGTTTAAAATATCTAACCAATATATATACCTCATGATTTTCAATTATAACCCTCGCTAAAAAATATATAACTTCACTTTTCCAATTTTATTGAATTTATAAGACATGGTCCTCATCATAGTAATCTCGATCTATATATACACAGGGGCTAGTGAGTGAATCAAAACTGGATACATTTAACATGCCGTTCTATGATCCGAACGAACAAGAACTTGAGGAAGTGATCCGAAACGAAGGCTCTTTTGAAATGAATGACTTCGAGACACACGGATTCGATCTTGGACATTGTAACTGCGATGACGAAGAGGTTGATGAATACGAAGCAGGATACAATGTAGCCAATGGTATAAGAGCCGTTACTGAACCAATGCTCGTTGCTCATTTTGGAGAAGACATTATTGATCTCTTGTTTGATAAGTATGCACACCATGCGACTAAACACGCGAGCTGCAGAAACAAAACCAGTGTCACCCTTGTCGTTTCATTGACTAAGAAGTAATTTATCTTTTGTGGTGTAAAAGTTTTTTTTTACTTTTTACTATTGCGTCCCTTTTCCGTTAATAAATTCCAAGACTCGCCGCCACACATGTAATGATGTCTTTCTAGTCTTGGAAAGTAAATTGTGATTTTAATATGTTGTTTTTCTGTTTGATTTGTTTATAAAAAGGATTTGTTATTGGTATGTGATAGCTTTGATAATCAATTTGGTAAAACATACTACGTTTACATTAAAAAAAAAACAGTTTTAAGGATTCCTTTTTCGTCAAAAAAAAAAAGTATTTCTTTATACGAAAAATGGTTCTTATTGATTATCTATTGAATTCTGATTTTAAATGATTGCAAATTTGCAATGGGTCTAGGACTAGTTTTGTTAAAAGAATATGAACCATTTTTCAGATTTTTTTTTATAGAAAGTTTCTTGTTGAAATATGAAATTTCTAAAAGAAGTTATAGTTGAAATAAATGTTTCTTTTTTGTCAAGTTAAAATACCTTTGGAAGAGAAGCAGAAACTTATCTTTGACATTATATGCAGAAACTTATCTTTGACATTATATGCAGAAACGTAGCATTTCTTGATACACAAGCAACCATCAACAAAAGCAAACATCCATCCCAACAAAAGCAAAATCAAGAAAATCCAAAAGTTGGATCAAAAACATCATTTAATGAAATGAACTTCACCGCCAAGCTTCGAACAGCTCAACTCTGTAATTCACACGTCCCACAATACTACTCGCATTCGACACTGTTGTCTTCTTCCTCTTCTCCTCCAAACCATTATGTTTCTGTCCAAAACCTCCATTGTTGTTATACTGACAGCTTTTAACCAGAGACGTCTTTATGCAAAAAAGTTCTCGAGATTCTGAAGATTTTTCTTCTTTTTCTTCTTCTTCTGCAGACTCTTCTTTGACTTTCATTTCCGCATCAAAGTTATCTAAAGCTTCCTCCTCGTTAGCTTTCATGAGATGCAACAACTGTCTGCTGCTGCTCTGATCACCATTATGATCCCGGGGACCTGGATTCGAGGCCGGAATCATCTTATCACGAGACTCTTTTCGATCTTTAAGCGTCTTGACAATAAGTGTTTTAAGAAAGTTCATGACTTGCACAGCATACATCAGAGCCGTCAATGGATCCAACATCTGCAATCCAAATTACACACAGCACAATTGCTTGATTCCAAAAACCTCCACAAATAAACAGTACAATAGAGATTCATTGGAAAGAAACTAACCTGAGTCATGTTAGGTGCAAAAACCATTGCGATGTTGCGAGCATTCATCTTGTTAAGATGTTCCATCTCTACAACATCTGCCATTAGATTAACTGCCCAATCTAACAAAGAAGCTTCTGTTGAAGGAAGAAGCTTTACAAGCTCCACACACTCATCTTCACTTTCAGACTCCATTACTTGCTCTGGTGAGAGCGAATCCAGAACACCACTCGGAAGTTCCCTAAACCAAGCCTAAAGGGTACAGAAAGCAAAGACAAATAAAAACCCAAATTTAGAAAGTTAAAAATACGGTAAGGGAAAGAGACAACAAGGGAGTAAGATTCTAGAGAAGCATGTGTGTTGTTATACCTTAATGAGACTTGCCAAGCAATGGACATCGATGTTATCAGGTATAACACCTTTATTCAACTCTTCTCTTATGTACTCCTCTTGAGCATTCTCACCATTAATCCTGAAAATTCCTTCTACCTAAATATGGCAACAAATGAAAACTTCTTACTTACAATTTGTAAGTAAAACCAGATGCAAATTGTTGAAAGCAATGCAAATATACACGCACCCGTAAGCCACCTCTATTGTACAAATGACTCTGCATCATCAAGAGTATCGTAGGCACAATGTTTCCTCTAGCATCATAAGATAGCTGCATTGACTCAGTTGAGACTCCAAACACGGTTGCGCTGCATTTACATTCACTTGGTAAGACATTTCACTCAAATTCATAGAAAATAAGTGAATTTCATTTAAGAACACCAAGAAAAAGTAGGGATCTTTGCTGATGTCAGGGGTTATACACTTATACTAATAGAAGGAAGAATTAAAACAGGTATACACACGAAAACTCCTTAATAACTCATAGAAAGCAAGCGATTTGATTCAAGAACATCAAAAACTTTGGATCTATTGATGTCAGAGGCTACATTAATCCCAGGTAGAGACATTCTTCTGCTATCAACAGAAGGATTTCGATAATGGAAATTTATAGAAACTAAACCACACACACAATTAGCTCTTGCATAATCTGACAATTGATGGAGCTTTTTCAAGATTTCGTTAGCTAAAACAATACTTAGAACCCTAATCACTAAACATTTCCAGGAACAAAATGCAATCACCATCATAAAACAAACGAACCTTGCGCTAGGAGCTCGTCTTGGGACTTCAGGTTCAAACTCAACAGGCAAGCCAAGGAAGCCATGGAAACGATCGAAAGTGACATGAGCGACATGTCTAACATCTGTGGGAACACCAATCTCCATTGAAGAAAGATCCTCTTCACCAACACACCCACCAATCACAGACCTTCTAATCGCAGAAACCAGAATCTCCAATGCAGATGAAAGCTCGAATCTTTCTCTCTCTTTCTCGCTCCTCTCTTCTTCTCCTTCTTCCTCTTCCTCTCGAGAAATGTTAAAAAGAGAATGTGGGTCTCTGTTACCATCATTGGCTCCGCATGAAGTAGAAGAGGAGCTTGAAGGTGAAGGGAAATAACATGATTGGCTCGATTTTAGTACTTTCGCCATCTTCTCTCTCTCTCTAGTCAAGGATAATCCAAAAAAATCTAATCTTGGAGTGATGGGTACTCTCAAGGGAAAGAACAGTGATGGAGGTCAAAATCAAAGGCTATAAAGAAACAATCTTTAATGGAAATTTCAGGAAAAAAAGAAGGATTAGTAATGGGTAATTAATGATTCTGTTTGGAAATAGTGGGGAAGCTCAAAAGATTGAAACTTTTGGGGTACTAGGCGACGCGTAGAGTTGAATTGAAGAAAAGGTTTTAGTTGGTGGATTGTAATTATCACTTCAATCTTTCTTTCTTCCTCTTCGTATTCTACACAAGTCGTGGCTTTTACAGATTGGTGGAGTTAGGTGAGAGAAGATGAAGGGTTAACGAGGAAGATGAATGTCGAGCTGTCTTTTTAAGTATCTCTCTTTGAAGAAAACCTTGCCTTTTGTGTATTATCCTCTGCAAATATTATCAAGCAGAAGAAGTAACTTTTGTTTCCATGTGAATAGTATCAAATATCTCAAATATCCCTAAATAGTAAAAATTTTGATATTTGTTTTTTTTTTAATTAACTACTCTATATCTTGCTTTTTAATTATTTTTATACATAAAATGAAATAGTAGTAGCTGAAATTTAGTTTTTTTTTCTTCCTTGAAACAGATGTTGGTCTTGAAAGATTTGATACTAAACTTGAATTGTCTTTGATTGATAAGTGTGTAATCAGATTCCGAAGAAATCAAATAGCATGGTTATTGAACAACTTGCATCTAAAGTGATTCTCTTAAGTTACTTACAAAGTTGCAATGGTCCACGAGAAAAGAAAACAAAAAAAAACATTTGTTACCGTTAAAAGGAAGCCATCTCTAAGACTTTTACCTCTTCCCCATAACTAAAGAGAAAAGAAAGAAAGTATAAAAGAAAAAGCAAAGAAGAATAGTGAAGTTGGTGAAAGTTCTTTTATGGATTAGTTGTAGATCCATCATGTGTTTAAAAATTGGCATGTTGATCAATCTTTTGTTATATGTGTGAGTTGGAGATTATTCCCCGACCAAGGAAATACATCACAAATTATATTTTGGATTGAATGTTAAAACACATATAAAAATTGTAAGAAGTGACTTGGCGAAAAAGTATAGAATTTGTAGACGATAACACAAATACCTACTTTCTACCAATAAAGTACATCGAGTCATGTATAAGTTTGTGGTAGATGTGAATTATATATTAGTTTTGTTATTAGATTTATAAAAAGAGATACGAAAATGGGAACATGGAATTAAACTCCCCCACGTGTGACAACGACCCACGTGCCGAACATTTCTCATTTGCCTTCTTGCAACAACAATACTTCGTGGGTCACATGCTGCTTCTTTGATTCCTTCCACTTTCACTACTCCTTACTTCTTTTTCGTTTTGTCCTTCTCTTTTTTTTCTTTTCCGGTTCTTCTCATGGTGCCAATCGGCATAATTATGATCTCGCTAGAGAAAAAAAGAATAGATAAAAGAGATTAAGCTAGCCTTGATGGGCTGGCTGATTTTTTAGCTAAGCTAGTCTTGAGAAACATTATCATGTTAAAGTTTGGGCTTTAACCAAATTCATTTTCATTCATCAATTTGGGTTTGCTCGTATAAATTTAAGGCATGTTTCGTCAGTCCATCAAGTTTAAGTTGCGACTAATGAAACTAAAAAAAAATATTCTGATTAATTGGCTTACATCGGATTCATGTGAAGCCTTTTGAATCCACGCCTCAAGTACGAGAGTGGTATAGATAATAATGTTTTACATCTATGTATATTCACGTAGGGTGTTTGGTCTAGTGGTATGATTCTCGCTTCGGGTGCGAGAGGTCCCGAGTTCGATTCTCGGAACACCCCTATTATTGTCTTTTTATCAGATAAAAGGCTTTTGGGCCTTCAAACGACGCCGTCCAAACCTATAGATTTCCAGACCGAATATCGGAATCTCTTCAATTCTTTCTGGAATTGAGTGAGTTTCTGAGCCGAGCCTGAATAATCTCAAGAAGTAATTTCTCTTTGGCCACTTGTTGTCACAATTCTTCCCTTTAGTTCAACCACGGAATGTTTTGGTTTCATCCAGCTACGGCTTCTTCTTTTCGTGTTTCTGATATTATTCTTCATGGTTAGTTTTCGTTTTGACTGCTCTTGTATAACATCAACAAGAATCGCTGATAATGTATCATTCATGGGATTATCTCATTACAACCAGCAATGGATCTATAATTCACCATTTGTTAACTTTAGTATAATTTTATTCTGAAGAGCAACAATCGATTCAAATAGCATAACAAAGCTGGCATTCGATGAAACTGAAGTGAAGAGAGAGAGATAAGAAGAAGAATTTAGACAGCAATATAACAGTAATAATCAGTCACTAACACTTGTTCTCATTCAGAAACTCCAAATGCCAAAGTTACAATGTTGAAGAAAGACAGCTTATAATGTTTTCGAAACAACTTGAAAGATAAAACTGGAGAGAGGCAAAAAAAAACTAACTTCGAAGTGTACCCGAGAGAGAATATCAAGGACACAATTGAACGACGATGAGGCTCATGGCGCGATCACAGTCTTCTTCCTCTTCTTCCACCCTTTCGACGTGTACTGTCTGTGGGAATCGGAGTCACATCCTCTGCAAATACATTCAAGAAAACATTCTTAGAGATATAATCACAAGTAAGAAGTTGTGCGTAAATATAAAAAACACTCGAGAGATTTGGTTTTTGTGTTTACCTATACGACCAATCTTCATGCCTGAACGAGCAAGGGCTCTGAGAGCAGACTGAGCACCAGGGCCTGGAGTCTTGGTTTTGTTTCCTCCAGTGGCACGGAGCTTCACGTGAATGGCTGTGACACCAAGCTCCTGTAACATACGGCATTACATGTTTATTTAGTAAAGAGGATGAAAAATCTTATACCGAAATAAAAAGCCATGAATCCTAAAGAGTATCTGACCTTGCATCTTTGAGCAACATCTTGAGCTGCAAGCATAGCAGCATAAGGAGAGGACTCGTCACGGTCAGCCTTCACCTTCATCCCACCTGCAAAAACATATGTGTTAAAAGACAAATTACAGACTAAGGACATATTCAAAAACATAAGCAGGAAGTGCTAAGATTAAGAGAACATACCGGTGATACGAACGAGAGTTTCTCTTCCAGAGAGATCAGTCACATGCTGCGAATAAAGTTGACAGCAAGTTCATAAATCTACGTCACCATAAATATATAAGATTATACTATGAAAGGCAGCAAGAATCAAAGAGGAAACACTTACAATGAAAGTGTCATTGAATGATGCGAAGATGTGAACTACACCGAAAACTTGCTCTCCCTCACGAACAGCAGGTCCAAGAGTAACATTCTCCTCCTTGGGCTCTCTGGTTTTTCTCCTCGACTACAAATGAAATACCAAAACGTATGTGAGAAACATATCCTTCACTCCTATAAACACCAGACACTGGTACACATACCATCACTTCAATATCACTACTCTATAATAACCGTACGTAGTACAAATGGATCAGAGAACGGAAGATCAATTACACAATTTCGCATAGCTGAGAACACAATTAACATAGAACTCCGATGACGGCTACAGAAATCGATTTACTCGATTCACGAAATGCAACACAATCTCACCAAATCCCAGCAATAGATTTGACGATAAGAATATTAGACGTTCGATATCTAGCCGGAGAAAATGAGTGAAATCTAAGAAATGATCTCAGCGAAGAGTTGGGTTCCTTATACAGACTAAAGAAAACTGTAAGTATTGGAGATAGAGAGCTTACCATGTTCACAAATGGATGAAAAGAGACGAAACGATTGGGATTTTAGATGCTCGTCTCTGGAAGCTGGCAGTGGAAAACAAGGAGGACACACTCGGCGCTACAAAAAGCCCTTTATAGATTAGGGTTACATTCGGAATCCCTATAACAATTGACGTAATTACCCTCAGCCCTTGGATTCCCAGTTACGTCGTCGTTTCGTTAATATGCGAAATTATAAAATCAGGACTCAAAGTTTTCTTGATATACTTTTGGAAATGAGCAAACTGATCCTTTCTTTATCCGGAAAAGTTTTCAACACTTTCTCAATTCTCAAATTTCTTTTTCCAAACCATTGTTTTAAGCTTTGATGAACGAACGACGTTAATACAAAATTAGTGTGGCAGCTTATAGGTCGTCATTGGGGCTATGTGTATAGAAGATATCAAAATTTCAAATTTAAATCGAATTGGACCCAAAGTTTTAACATATATGATAGAAGACCAAAACGATTCTAATACAGAATTCATGAACACTTTTGAATTCATAGGGTCATGTCTCAACAAGCAAAAGGAAAAAACATTTACACATCAAAAGATCAAAGAGATCTAAAATGCAGAACTTTGCCGACTTGTTTCAAGACTTCTTCAAGGAGCAGAAGCCAAAATGGACTTGGCTGGTGAAACCAAAGCAACAGCACACCTTTCCTGTTTCGAGTACTTCTTGAACACAGCGCGTAGCTTGCTCTCCCCAACTCTCGAGTGGATCAAAGCTAAAAGCTTTGAGCTTTCCCTAAAAAAGCCACACATACACATACAGAAACAAAAATCAGTATTGTATAATGATAATGATGAATTTAAGCTTGAGAGAGAAGAGTAGAAACAAAAGACTAACATGAGCTGATGTTCAGTGTATCCCGTGTGGAACGTCAGAGTATCAGTCCAAGCAGGGGTCTTGTTCAAGCAGCATCTCGCTGTGTAGACTGCTGAAGCAGCGAGCAGAGAAGGGCTGAACTTCAAAGTGCTGTAATGCATCATACCCAACTCAGCTAAGAAGTGGACCATGTTCTCCGTCTCCGTGTCAGGACTCGCCGCTTTGATGAACCTCACGAGGAACACATACTGCGTTGGAACCGTCAGATACCATTCCAGGTTTCCCAATATGGTCTTCTCCATCACTAGAATCTGTTTGTTACTGAACGAGTTGTCTGTGACATATACCAAATCATTGACCTGTTCACACCACAAAACCCATGTATCACATGGTTAGCTCTCTCTCTAATTGACAATAACCATCTTGAAATTGGAATATTCGTGTGTGTTAACATACCTGAGGAGGCCAGATTTCTTCATATTTCGAAGCGATGAGCAACGCACTGACACCTAGAAGCTGAAGTTCTCTTCTAGGCACAGGTTTCAGAGACAGGAAACGATCAATTATGTTGATGGTGAGGTAGATAGTCTCAGGGGACAGATCAAACTTGACATGAACGTCTACAAGCCAGTCTATAAGAATTGATCTCATCTTCTCGTTGATCTCAGGCTGATTATGCATATATAGTTGAGGCTTGCTCTCATTCTGCAACAGAGAACGAAACAACAAATTTCAAGAAACATTCACAAGACTTGTCCATAAACATATACTACAACAAAGATTCCGACCATATGTACCTCAACTTCTTTGTAGAAAGTGTACATGTCCTCGACATATTCCACAGCAGCAAGGTCATTGTCTTTGTCGACAGAGTCGATATCCAGAGTCTTGGAAGCAGCCTAAGTGTATAAGCGATTCAACGAACAATCAGGACATTATCTAAGAAACATTGCAAGTCATAATTCTCAATATCGATCACACACACACAAAAAAAAAAGAATCTACCTTGCTTCGAGCATTGAGAACCGAAGTGTATGTCACTTTCTTCTTGGACGCGTCGTTTTTCTTCTCCTCTTTAGCTTTTGCGACCTCGTTAGTATCAGGACTGATCGAAATCACTTCGATAGGTTTTAATGGCTCCCGCTTCACAGCTCTCGCGTTCTTCTGAACCGCCCTTACAGCTTCTGGTTTCTTGGGTACAACCGGAGCTCCATCAAGAATTGAAGCCTTGCCCACATTGATTTGCTGTTTAGTGAGGAAGAAAAGTTTTTTTTTAAAAAAGGGGTCAGATTCAACAATCATATATACTCTCAAAAACAAGATCTGGAAAAAAACAAAACCTTTTTATTAGCGGCTGCTACTTCTGCGTTTCGGAGCAATTGGGAACGGAAGTTACGGGTCAAGGGGCGATTAATCTTTCCTCCTTCGGCTCCGGGCAGAGAAGCAATGTTTCCGATGTCGCCAAGTGCGCGACGATTCTTTGCTGCCGCGTTTTTCACGTCGAGGGGATCACCTGTGTTCCACAGAAATCACCCATCAGAAACGATTTGGGTCAATAATTTAAACCAATTTCAAATACAAACAATCGAATCAGAAACCGCCGGTGAATAACTTCTAACAATCACACGATTCGGGAATCACCGGTTAGAAGGGGCAAAACCCATGATCTAAATCGTCAATTATGATAAATCTAGGGTTACGAGAAAGGGGGAAAAAGAAATCAAATTGAGATCGGGGGAATTAATTAACCTCTAACTTGTTGAGGAATGGCTCGTCTCGTCGCCATGATTGTACCTCTTCGATTTTCTGTTTTCTTTGAACCTCCTTGCTCTTTATTGATTAATCGCTGAAGAAAATCTGAAAGAAGATGAGAAGAAGGAGAACGATATAGAGCGTGAAAGAGAGATACTGCTTCTTATGGTTGATGGAAAGGAGAGGAGGAGCCAATAAAGAAAATTTCCAACGGTCAAATTTTAGCGGGCTTGGATTTGTAGCCGTTAGATCATGAACTTTAAATCCAACGGTGGATGAGTGAAGTGAATGAGATTCTTTAGGCGGTTAACAAGTAAGGTTTATCCAGTTCTCACCCCTAGAGTTACCGTTGCACTGTAATGACAAAATATGACGGCTTTTACAACTTTGTTTTACTTTAATCACTTTTAAATGCAGTTTTATTCACCATTAATTACCTGGCTCGAGTTTTTATTGGTATTAAATGAAAATTCCATTGCCTAATCATATATTTTTTGTCGTTATTAGGTGAAAATATTATTTCTCTTGTTTTTTACTAGCAACGTTTAAAACTTCACCACGAATGGATTCGGAAACACAGTACACGTAACGATTTAAGATTTGTTACTCATTTTTAAGTTATATACAAGTAGCAGTAATGTTTTTTCTTTAATTTCAACATAAACAATTATGTTTGTAATATACACAAAATTTTGTTTGGTCTTATTAAATTATACATCTTCCTCCTTCACAGATCATACAATGGATAGTTTGGACCAACATTTAGCAGATTGGGCCAAATGTCGAGACTTTGTTTTAGGCCTACATTGTTCAATCTATCTCTTCCCTACCATATGTTCTACCCCTAATTTTTATTATAGGCCCATTAACATTTTTGGATGTTTAATTAAAATCAATTGGGTAAATGAATTACTGCTTGTGGATAACTTTTTGAGAAAAAAAAAAGCTACCCAACAAAATTTCAATGACAATCCACTTTTTAAAAAACTTAATCCTGGGTAGAAATTTATTACTGTCCTTAACCTTTAAGGCGAAACAATGTGGTATAAAAGGATTTAGGCGTAATCATCATACTTAATCTTATAAGATAAGCACATTGATCCTCGCTCAATATTTAAAAATTGATGTTTTCAATACATCGTTATGTTATATGAGATTCCCTGAATGTTGATTACATATCAATTTTCCAAATCCATCTATAGAGAGAATTGCTAATTGCTACATGTCGGGTTCAAAGATACACTTGAGGTTCAATGCTCTATTCATATTTGAAAGTTTGTTTATAAGCTTTCATAAACAGCCTCAATAGAGTATTTCAATGGCGTAATCAGAATATCAAATAGCAAAATGATTATGTAAGGATTAATATTAGAAAACACAATGTCTCCATCGCCCTTGAATAATACTGATCATTATTCGCAATTTGTTATAAAAAAATAAACATGATTGGATAAAAATCAGAGAAGAAGAGATCACGATTGAATTGTAGCAAAAAAAACAAAACTTGGAAATTCTTGGAGGAATGGAAATGTCAGATAATAATTGCCAAATTGAGTTTTTGAGCTCATAATGAAACCATTCGCACATCTAATTGAATCATCATACAAAAACCATTCCTCCAATTCCAAGAGTATCAAACATATGTAAAACAAAAAACCAAACAAGAATAATACAGAAGATGACGGCAAAGTCAGATTAATAATCGCCAAATTAAGTTTTTAAGCTCAACATGGAGAAACTCCATTCGCACATCTAATTGAATCATCATCCTCGCCGTTTTTATTTCATGAGAAGAAAAAGGGGGGGGGGGGGGGGGGAGAAAAACCAGATGGTTCAGAAAATGTTAACACCGACAAAACAAAATCAACAGATAACAAAGTAGTAAAACTCTAAACTACACAGAGACGAAAACCCTAAACTACACAGAGACGAAAACCCTAGAAGACGGCTAGACCTTAAATGTGTTCGATAGAGATGCACGAGTATATTTTTTTATATATAGGGAGGGAGAGTCATGTTGAAATTACGCTTCTATCCTCATTGGGCTCTGTGTTAGGCAATGGGCTTTGTTCTTTGGATCGAAGAAATAAATGTTATTATTCTCAAAAGGAAACGGGTTTTGGATTTGTATCTTAAGGGCCTCAATAATTTCAACTTTCTGGTTGTACCAACGGTTTTCGAAATTAACCAACATTTTTACTTTCAAACCGATTGATGATGGTACTACCATCTCTTTAGATTTACGAGTCATCTTTCTCAATGCCAAAAATTGTAACGTAACGAATATAATCAAACGCTCTATGTATTGTTGTTACCAATCATCATCGATGCTAACCCCATAAGAACACACGATAGTGCAAATGTGAATGAAGAAGGATGTGACACAGATGAACATTGCACCGGTCTCGATCATCTGTGCGTGCCTTAATATGATTGGCGTGGCGAGGCTTCCCAAGGTCAATACTCCGGCCAAGAACCTAACCGGATCTTTTCTTTTCCTTTTTATACGCAACTGTTCAGCTCTTTCCCTCCACCTGCGTTTTTTTTTTTTTTTTTTTTTTTTTTTTATATATTAAGAAGAATCAAATTTTGGTGAACCATATATGTATGTTTTGTAATTTGAAAGTAGCAGTAAAGACTCTAGTAAACTAACCCTATACCGTCTGGACCAATTAAGGATTGGTTTAAGTCTCCTCCACAGAGCAAAAGAGGCATAGGCCCAACCACATACACGAGTGTTGATAGCATTAGCCACCAGTTACCATATAACCCGAACGCCTGACCAATATACAAACATTATAGTTTTATCGCTACATTTCTTACATGTTCATTGCAAATAAACCAGACCAGGATCTACTACGCCTTATCTTGTCTAGCTAAAGCTAAATAAATCATGATCTTGATCGTAAGCACACAGCTTATAATGATCAGGCTTAAAAGTAGACTGCTATGCTTAATCCGTACCAGGATCTGTAGGAGGACAAAAGCTGTGAAAGTGTAGGCAAGTACAGAAAGTCTGCATCAAGAAACATAAAATCTGTAAGAATCACGAAGATACACACACACTCATGAGTCATGACTCATCTGATGTAACAAAGTCTAGTAAATAGAACACTTACGCTGCACCAATACAAAAACACCAATTTGAGCATTCCAGAAGAAATCCGCAAAAACAAAACAAATATTAGCAAACAAATGATTTGAGTTAAAACAATTCAAACCCCAAGAAAACCATATATAAGCTCACAAAAGTAACAACCGATGACTACCTTCGATGCTCATCCCCATGTCGGCGACTGTAAAGAGAAGGTGATGATTTCTTTGTTACCCAGAGATAGAGAGAGAGAGATAGAAGAGAAGACTCAATAGAGCAAAACCGAAACAACGTGTCAAAGTCGTCGCCAAATAAAGAAGATCAATATGTCTGCAAAAGATTTTAATTTAATAATCATTGTAGGACTTTGGCTCAATCATCCTTCCATCATTTCCCTCAAAATTAATAGTCTATAGCGTTATCTCAGTCTTATCCTAGTAAATGCAACTCTATTAGTTTGTTCACTCTCTCTTTCCTCTCCATTATTTTGCTTTTCAGTTTTGTCAGATTCATTTTCTCTTTCATCTCGTGTTAATTCGTCTCTGCATGAAACAGCATTATACAATCTATATCATCTGTTTCCCAGCTAAATTAAATTTAAGATGTCTACTAAGCTCAGGACAAACATTTTACAGAGTCTTCCCTGAGTACTCTTTAGTTAATTTGTATTTAATATCTCTTACATCACCGTTATTCTAATTAGGAGCGAGATTATTATTTTTGATTTCTGTTTCCTTCACGATAATCATATGGATCAAGGGATGGAAAATGTTCTATTTTGTTTTTTTTTATCAATCCAAATTTATAACGACGACACTGAATGAAGGTGCAAAGAGAATCACATATGTTTAAACGTATCTCAGGAGGTTAAAGAAAACGTATAAAAAACACAAAGCATCACTTGCACGATGATGAATAAAGTTTTTTTTTACATAGATTGATACAAAAGCTTTACAAAAGAGAGTGAGAAGAGAAGAGAAGAACACAACTTTCTCTAACATATTTTTTCTCGATCTCATCATACTATCATCTTCTTCAATCCTAGCTCTCTTCTTCTCTCTCTCTCATGCGAACCAGATTAGTAGATTTACCGGCAACAACCTCTCTGTTACCAATCATCATCGAGGCTAGCCCTGTGAAAACACATGACGGTGCATATGAATATGAAGAAGGATGTGAATTCTATGAGCATTGCACCGGTCTCGATCATCTGTGCGTGCCTTAAGATGATCGGAATCGCCAGGCTCCCCACCGTCGATGCTCCTGTCAAGAACTTAGCTGCATCTATCCACCTGCGTTATAATAACAAGCAATTTTGTGGAAAACTGAAGTTTTGTAATTTCGAACTAAAAAAGTGAAGTCTAGAGTAACTAACCCTCCACCATCTCGACTGATTAGGAATTGAGTTGAGCCTCCTCCAAAGAACATACAAGGCATAGGCACAACCACATACATGAGTGCTGATAGCATTGGCCACCAGTTACCATATATTGCGCATGCCTGAGCCATTAGAAACAAAAACTTACCGCTATAGATGACTAGAAATGATATCACTCACTGAATTATACAACGCAGTAAGAAGGGAATCACCACAAGGTACGATAAACTTATCAAATATGTAAAATCTGATGAGAGACCTAGTATAAAATATGAGTTCAGGAGGGAAGATGCTTGGGTTTGGAGAAGTTTCTCAGAAAGTTTAATTAGCAAGTTAGAGACCGAGTTAGCACCTGAATTGGCTAGCTTTTCTACATGCATCTGAATAAGGTCGCAGTTCAATTTCCAGCTTAGCATATACCAAACCTCTAGGTGGGTTAGTGTAGAAAGATGATAAGTACAGCAATTGTAATTGTTCTTTTGGGTTTGGATGGTTTTTGGAGTCCAATGCTAGTTAATCAACAAACAAGTAAACAGAGTAAAGCTCAAGACTTTGAAATACGCAGAAGATTCAAATGTTACAAGATATTACAGCATACAATGTCTTAGTAAAATGGGCCAACAAGCACAACTCTGAAAGGAACCGGTATACTGAACTCGTAAGATCACAGCAAAAATCAGTAAAAGTGAGACAAGTAAGCGACATAAGTAAGCAAACAAAAACTGCTGAATAAGAGAAGAATGGTCTAAGCCTTAGCGTACAGAACTGAAGCTAATTAGTCAAGATACTGAGCAAGCAGATATGATGAGGATTACAGAGACTTATAAGTAGACTGTTATATTTAACCGTACCAGGATCTGTAGGAGGATACTAGATGAAAACATGAAGGCAAGTCCAGCGAGTCTGTGCATCAAGAAACAAAAATATAATCTTTGTTACAAATTCAACTCGGAATGTAACAAGAAAGTAAATAGAAGAAGAAAGAGCTTCAAGTCTTAAACTTACACTGTACCAAAACAGCAATTTGAGCATTCCAGGAGATATCCGCATCGGGAAGTAAACAAGGAAACAAACAGCAAACAATCAGTGAGTTTGAATATTTCAAATCCCAGAAATCCTATAGCACACCAAATTAACAAATCATGAAGCCCTAGAAACCCACAATCTGAGTAAAACAAGACTCAGACTCATGAGCAAACACTACCAAGAGCGTCTTAATGCTGCATACTTAGATCGTTACTGAAGATACGAACTCGAAGCTAGTAGAAATGGAGAAGGGGGAAATCAATTCGAATCTGATTCGATTCCGTAAAATAAAAAATAAAAAAGAGAAGGAGGGAGGTGATTACCTTCGATAGTCATCGCCATGTCGGCGACGGGAAGAGTTCTGATTAACGGAGATCGCCGGTGACTGTAAAGAGATGGTGAGGATTGCTTTGTTGTTACCGAGAGAGAGAGATGGACTCGGCGATTGGGAGCAAAATCGAAACACCGTGTCAAAGTCGTCACGAACCCAAAAAGTATGACCGGTCAGCCAAATTGATCCCATCCTTTTGGTTTGGTTTATTTTTGGTTATAATTTGGTTCTCCGGTTTATCTGATTTTTAATTTAAACATTTTAGAAATATAATAATAATATGATCTATAGTAATTTGTGCTTTTTTGGGTCTAATAATATTTGTGCCATTGTATTGGTAAAAATACGATTAAAATTAGGAGACAAATAACTCATTCTCATTATTAATTAGGGTATGTACAGTGTGTTCTTTTATCCTAATTCATCCAATATATAGCTTCTTTTGCTTTTCAGACAAAATGTCATGGTATCATTCTTCCATTGTTGGTGCATCATTTATTCAGAAAGTGACTGATGATAATTCAAAAGTATGTACAGTATCATGCTACAAGACAAACTAATCAAAATTGTTGGAACCTATTTTTATCAACATGCACTACGTATTTTTCAATAAAAGAAAGTGTGACAATGGTTACATGTTTTTTTTTCCTACTCTAAGTCTCTAACTAAGGTGTTCGTCTTTGTCTTTGCAGTAAAAAAAAAAATTTGGACAATCGAGAATATAAATAACAGTGTCCAATAGTTTTTTCTGCTAACATACGTGATGCGGTCCAAAAGTTGACCAAAAGTGATCGCTAAAACTAAACAGGTAGGAACGCAAACGCAAGTGGACGCCGACATGATCCTAACTATTTGACGCCCACTTGTCTGTTCATCGCCCCACTTTTCCTGCACGCGAGCGAGAGTCCTATTTCGGGATTTAATCTCAATCCTTGAAATTTCAAATGATCAATGTTATTTTTGAACATATACAGCTCCCAACAATTACTTAATAATATGTTGTTGCATCACTACTAAAATTGATTTGAGCTTCGACTCGAGATTTCTGATTATTATAAAGAAAAAAGACAGATTTTTGTCTTTAACATAAAAAAGGTCAATTAATTTTTGTTTGTTATTATAACTGACTATTTTTTCCACCTTTTTCTTTAATTTCGAAATATTTACTATATATATATATTTTTTTGACATAGTTTGTCTGTTTAACATTCTATTAAAATAAAAAAATAACAAGCCAGGAGAGCTAATCTGAGTCGTTGCCTCTGTCAGCTGGCTCGGACCGACCTCGTACCTTCGCTTGTCTTGTCCCCGAGCATAGAGGCTACGCCGTCGCCGCCTCCGCTCCGTCCAATTCACGGCCAAGCGAACAACTTCACCGCTTAGGCTTGGGCTTGGCTTGGCTTGGCTTGTGAGAGGTATAAATCCCTAAGCTGCTACTTACTGATCAAACGCTTTCTGTTTTCGGAGGAGCGAGGCGGAGATCAGCCTCTCCTATGTCTACTCGCACTTTTCATTCCTCCTTCGCCTCTCGATTTCATCTCTAGCTGCTTCAGATTCTCATCACTAGACAGACAAGCTCCTCTTACAGGCTCTGCGGCAGGTTTTTCTTAAACCCTAATTATCGCATTCGTCTGTTGGTTTCTGACTCTCGATTGCGGATGCATTCCTCTGCTTAATCGTGTCTTTTGGTTTCATTCCTACTTGATTCAAAGCTTGGATTTTTCGTGTCTCTTTGTGTATATGTTTGTGTGATCTTAGGGTTTTTTGGAATTGAATGTGATGAGATGGGGTTGATACTGTTAAAATATCAATCTTTAGCTTCATTTAAACTTTATTTTCTTATGTCAGTAGTGAAAGATTTAATTTTTCTTCTTGTTGATGTTCTCCTGAAGGTTAAGAAGCTTTAAGATTCAAGAAATGGTTGGGCTGGAAATGGTTGGGCTTGAAGATAATACTGAGAGAGAGAGTTCACCACCACCAGTCTTAGAGAATGGTTTCTCCAATGGATCTCTGTCTTCTCCTCCTAGCACAGATGTTTTGTCTCCATCACCAAAGGCCGCTCAAGGGAACGATTCGCTTTCTTATGCCAACATTCTCCGGGCAAGAAACAAGTTTTCCGACGCGCTTGCTCTATACGAGACTATGCTGGAGAAAGACAGCAAGAATGTTGAAGCTCACATTGGAAAAGGGATATGCTTGCAGACGCAAAACAAAGGGAATCAAGCTTTCGATTGTTTTGCCGAAGCAATCAGGTTGGATCCGCATAATGCATGTGCCCTCACGCACTGTGGTATACTTCACAAAGAGGAAGGTCGGCTCGTAGAAGCTGCTGAGGTGTGACACTACCTTTCACTCTATCTCTGCTGATTTTAGTTAAACCGTAACATTTGTTTTAACACTAAGTAGGTCAATTTCTAAGTTACGATCGTCAAACTTTGCACAGTCTTACCAGAAAGCACTGATGGCAGACGCATCATACAAGCCAGCAGCGGAGTGTTTAGCCATTGTTTTGACCGACCTTGGAACTAGCCTGAAGCTGGCTGGGAATACTCAGGAGGGAATTCAAAAGTATTACGAAGCCCTTAAGATTGACCCGCACTATGCTGTAATTTCTCTGATCCTTTACTTTTTTTCACTCTGTTTTATGTGGTTTGGTTTGCTAACACCATTTAACTGTTCTTCTGATTCATAACGCTAAAATTCTGTTATGCAGCCTGCATATTACAACTTAGGTGTTGTGTACTCTGAAATGATGCAATATGACAGTGCCTTGGGCTGCTACGAGAAGGCTGCACTTGAGAGGCCTATGTATGCCGAAGCATATTGTAACATGGGTGTCATTTATAAGAACCGTGGTGACTTGGAGATGGCAATCACTTGTTATGAGAGGTAACATATCCGTTCTTTTATTGCTAAGTTTTGATTTGTGTCTTGCTGCTTTGTTGAAGGTACAAGTGTGGCACTGATTATTTTTTTCCTTTATGTCATTAGATGTCTAGCTGTATCTCCAAACTTTGAGATTGCGAAGAATAATATGGCCATAGCTCTGACAGATTTAGGAACAAAGGTAATAATCCTTAACTTTTATCATAACTTCGGTAACACGAGTATAATTCTTCATAAGGGGGCGCCTTTTGGAAAATTCTTTATAGATTTCGTTTTGTTAGCTGGCTTTTCACTAATGTCACGGCATTGGCTTAAGATCTGCTTCCGCCGTACAATCTTGTTTCTCAATTTATATTATTCCTTCTTTTTCCATCGTGAGTATATCTGAGTTGACAACGATATTTCAGGTTAAACTTGAAGGCGATGTGAGCCAAGGAGTGGCGTATTACAAGAAGGCTCTCTATTATAACTGGCACTATGCAGATGCTATGTATAATCTTGGGGTGGCGTATGGTGAAATGCTCAAGTTTGACATGGTATTTAATCTGTAATCTATTCATTTTTCGTAAGTCAGTAATTGTGTGCTTGTTTTTGCATGTTTGTCCCTTCTTCGCCTCGGGATTTGCATGATATAAGTATCTATATATCTTGCTCGTCTACCTATATTTGCATCCTTCTCTCCATGCTCTCATAATCAATACAAAACTCTGTGTGTCTGTGGTCATGATTGCGTTCTCTATGTGCAGGCAATTGTCTTCTATGAACTTGCTTTCCACTTCAATCCACATTGTGCTGAGGCTTGCAACAATTTGGGAGTACTTTACAAAGACCGTGACAACCTTGATAAAGCTGTGGAGTGTTATCAGGTATTATTCATGCGAATATATGCAGTGTTTCATGATTATTTCATTGTCTTATATGTGGCTCATAATACTCCCAACCTCTGCAGATGGCTCTATCAATCAAACCAAATTTCGCACAGTCGCTTAATAACCTTGGTGTCGTCTACACAGTCCAGGTTTAATATAGAATAAGGGCAGCTCAATATTTTCATAATATAATTTATACAGCCAATAGAATGCCAATTCCTCTGATATTACAGGGGAAAATGGATGCTGCTGCCAACATGATCGAGAAGGCAATCATTGCAAATCCCACATATGCAGAAGCTTTTAACAACTTAGGTTTGACTTCTCTCTTCTGTTCTCTACGACCCTCCTTCGTCAGTTTTATATTTAATTTTGTTTTTTCCTGCTTTCCTGTGGCCAAGTGTTGTTTAGTTTCTGTTCTAACCAGTTTCATGATTCAAATGCAGGTGTTCTTTACAGAGATGCTGGAAATATAACTATGGCTATTGATGCTTATGAGGAATGCCTTAAGATAGATCCAGATTCTCGCAATGCTGGCCAGGTAACTGCCCTCAGTATTAGTACTTTAACGTGCTCTTCTTGATGTGACGTTGAAAGATATACGCGTTTTAAACCTACCTTTCTGCTATGTAGAACCGATTGCTTGCCATGAACTACATAAATGAAGGACTCGATGACAAACTATTTGAGGCTCACAGGTTAGCACATGTATTTATTAGTTTGGATTTGTGTTATGTTACTTTTATGGGACTTACAGTGAGAAACTCTTATGCACACAGAGACTGGGGTTGGCGCTTCACAAGATTACACCCACAGTACACTTCCTGGGACAATCTGAAAGATCCAGAGCGACCTATCACCATCGGATATATCTCCCCAGATTTCTTCACTCATTCAGTATCTTATTTCATTGAAGCGCCACTCACGCATCATGATTACACAAAGTACAAAGTGGTGGTTTATTCAGCGGTAGTTAAGGTATGATTTTTCTTGAAACACATTCTCCGTCAAAGCCATTCATTTCCCTTGTTTCTCGTGGCATTATTCCTCTTTGACCAACCCTTATTCTCTCATGGCTTGCAGGCAGATGCAAAAACCTTTAGGTTTAGGGATAAAGTGTTGAAGAAAGGTGGAGTTTGGAAAGATATCTACGGAATAGATGAGAAAAAGATTGCAAGTATGGTCCGAGAAGACAAAATCGACATTTTGGTGGAACTCACTGGTCATACGGCGAACAACAAGTTGGGAACAATGGCCTGCAGACCAGCACCTGTTCAGGTGAGAGGATAGATATAAAACTTTCTCATGTTCTTCTTTCAGAATTTTTGTTTTCCGACTTTCCATTTCATGTTTACTTTGATTGGTTAAAATATCAGGTTACTTGGATAGGCTATCCAAATACTACGGGCTTGCCCACTGTTGATTACAGAATCACGGATTCGTTGGCTGATCCACCAGATACCAAACAGAAGTACGTTTCTGGTTCATATCAGTATGATTTTCTTGTGTTTTCAGAGTGATCCAGACAGAATCCTTACTATTTGTGTGTGTGTGTGTGTAATTGCAGACAGGTCGAGGAGCTGGTTAGGCTTCCGGACTGTTTTCTTTGTTATACACCTTCCCCAGAGGCTGGTCCTGTTTGTCCTACACCCGCACTTTCCAATGGCTTTGTCACATTTGGTAGTTTCAACAATCTCGCAAAGGTTAGATATACTTTTCCTTGGATCATACACACCAATCTCCCGCTGCATCTCTTTTAATGGTTTGATGGGTTTTATCTCTGCGTTTCTGCAATCAGATCACTCCTAAGGTGCTGCAAGTGTGGGCTAGGATACTGTGTGCTGTCCCCAATTCTCGTCTGGTGGTGAAATGCAAACCTTTCTGCTGCGATAGCATTAGGCAAAGGTTTCTCACGACGCTGGAGCAGCTTGGGTTAGAATCAAAGCGTGTTGATCTCTTGCCGCTGATTCTTTTCAACCATGACCATATGCAAGCTTATTCCTTAATGGATATAAGGTAAGATTCGACACATTGTGCTACTTGAAAACACTGAGGCTAATAGTTTTTTACATATGAATATGATTTACATCTCATGCAGTTTGGACACATTCCCTTATGCCGGAACTACCACTACCTGTGAATCCCTGTACATGGGAGTGCCATGTGTTACCATGGCTGGTTCAGTACATGCTCATAATGTTGGTGTCAGCCTTCTCAGTAAAGTTGGTAAGCTCTTGGTGAAGTTTGGTTTTCTTGCTTAGAATTGGTTATTACATCTTTTAGCTTATGCAACCGTTTCTTTGATTCAGGTTTAGGACACCTGGTTGGTAAAAACGAGGATGAGTATGTGCAGTTATCTGTTGATCTAGCTTCTGATGTCACTGCTCTTTCAAAACTGAGAATGAGTCTCCGGGATCTAATGGCTGGATCTCCTGTTTGTAACGGTCCTTCCTTTGCTGTTGCTCTCGAATCCGCATACCGTAATATGTGGAGAAAGTACTGCAAAGGTGAAGTACCATCCTTGAGGCGAATGGAAATGCTGCAAAAAGAGGTACAAGAAGATCCCTTGGTCTCAAAAGACTTGGGGCCAGCAAGACTCAACGTTACTGGAGAAGCCACTCCTTCTCTCAAGGCCAATGGTTCTGCTCCTGTACCTTCCTCTTTACCGAACCAATCTTCGCAGCTCTCAAAGAGAACGGACTCCACTAGTTAGAGAGTCAAATCAAGCTGCTGCGTAAGGCGGGAAAATAGAACGTAAGAGAGCTCAATGCCTTTGCAGAGTCTGTTGTATCCATATGGGAGAAGGTGTGAAAGAGAGTCCATGAGATCTTCTTCCTCCCTTGTTTACTTCCAAGACTGTAGGAACTAGACTTTTAGATTAATGCTTGTGTAGTAAAAAAAAAAGTGAAACCATTTCTTTTCCTTTTCTTTTTTTGGTTCTGTCTCTATCCACTCGTAGTTTAGCTTTATATGATTCTTGGGAAGTCATTAGGTGGAAGTGGATTTGGAGTTTTCCTCTCATTTGAGAGGTCAAGTTGTTGTGTATCACCATCAATTAGGATTTAAGGCTTTTTTAGGTTTGCTTGTTTTCATGTGTTGGATAAATGAATCATATGGTAGTAAATATATTTTATATCCAAAGCTTTTCAACGCTTAAATTATTTCTTTATATAAATTAGTAATTCTAAAATCCTGTTTAAAAGTTGGCATATTCCCTATTGGTTTGGTTAGGGATAGAAAAAAACTGAAGATCCTAAAAAAGAATTTTGACTTGTATTATATATATGGTTTACTTATGTTGCCAACTCCATATCCCTTTAATTAATTTAGTGTGTAGAGATTAAAAAGCAAGCAACTACTCTTCAATTCCAACTCCATTGATTCCACCAAAACCCTATAAAACTCCAATCTTTCTTTACTTTTCCTTCACCACCAAAGCATCAAACATTCTTTGATTCTCCATTTAAGGAAAACACAGAAGATTAAGCCTCAAGGAACAAATCAAGAAAGATGAAGAACGAATCCACCATCATTGATGTCCCTGCAGAATCAAGCTCAGCCATGAAAGGCAAGGCTCCTCTAATCGGTGTGGCTAGAGACCACACTACAAGTGGCTCAGGTGGATACAAGAGAGGTCTCTCAATCTTCGACTTCCTCCTCCGTTTAGCTGCCATTGTTGCAGCATCAGTCGCCGCTGCAACGATGTTTACAAGCGACGAGACTCTTCCCTTCTTTACACAGTTCTTACAGTTCCAAGCTGGCTACGACGACCTACCAACTTTCCAGTTACGACTTATTGATGTCTGATCAAATACATTATTTCCTTGTGAAGCAAGCCACCTAACTATGTTCATGTGTTATTTTTCAGGTTCTTTGTGATTGCCATGTCCATGATTGCAGGATATCTCGTCCTATCTCTTCCTTTCTCCGTCGTCACCATCGTCCGCCCTCTCGCCACCGCTCCAAGACTCCTCTTGCTTGTTCTTGACACTGTACATACTCAAAACTCTTCAATACTATTATCTAACCAAAAACTGTATCTTAATAATAATGACTTATCAAAAACTAAAAACATAAATGATAAAATCAGGCGGCTCTGGCGTTCAGCACGGCGGCTGCATCATCGGCGGCAGCGATATCGTATCTAGCACACAATGGAAACCAGAACACGAACTGGCTCCCCATTTGCCAACAGTTTGGAGACTTCTGTCAGAAAACCAGCGGGTCTGTTGTCTCATCCTTCGTTGCCGTCGTCTTCTTCGCCATGCTCGTCGTCCTCTCCGGTGTCGCTCTCAAGAGGCATTAATCAAACTCTTATAAACAAAATATGTGTTCATTATTGCAAAACTATATATAAGTCATGTGTGTAAATTACTCATCCCGCCTTTTGTATCTTGTATTAATCTTTTTTTTTATTATGGAAAAATGAAAGTGTGATTGTAGCTCTGCTTTTGTGAAAAATCGATATTATTTCTCAACTTCATCTTCTTTGATGTTTTATTATAAATTTCGAAATGTATCTATTTATATATGTTTGCCTGTCGTCGTCTCGTCGCTTATGTGTTTTTTTTTTAATTCCCGAAATGCGGGGAACGATAATGCTACGGAGAGTAGCAGAGAAAGGCCTTACGTGGCGTTATTTCAGTGGACGTTCAAGGAGTTATTCCTCTGTGATTTTCCTCAACTCCTTTTTGGTCTAAGGGATAAAAGAGCCTTCCTGGTGCCACGTCACCTCCTTCTCTTCTTCTTCCTCACTAAAATGATTCATTTTCTCGTCAATCTTCTCCATTTTTTCTCACCACCAACCAAATTCGTGGAAATATATTTTCCCGCTGGTTTTTAGTAAAAGCTTCATGTAAATGGCGGTTAAAATACAGAGACCTGGTCTTCCATCGTCAAGGTAAAGCAATCTCACAACAGCTTTTGATGATTTTTTCTTCTTCTAGATTAGCTTCCTTTAAAATTTCTGATCCTTAATTGAATTCAGTGGATAATTAATTTGGGTTTTTCTCCCCCGACCAAATTCACCTCTGTTCCCGATTGTTCCTGAAGATGATCTTGCGCCTATTTCGTTTATGATATCTAACTTTGTTTTTTTTGGGTAAAATTGTTTTAAAAATTGGAAAGTAGAGCATATAGTAGTTGAACAATTAGTTTAATTAAATACCATATGCTATTGGTGTGTATGTGTCTTTGCGGAATTGTTCTTTTGATTATTCGTGGCTGCTTAATCTTTGTAGCTCTTCAAAACCATGTCAGCCTCGGATGTCCGTTGTAACGTTTATATCCTGCAAAAACACTGTACGTTCGGATTGGTTATCAAATCGCTGGAGCAATCACAGGAGCCAGTTGTTAGTAAGAAGATATGGTTTTGTCGAGAGGAGCAGGAGTTGTCTTAATAAGAAGAAATCACGGAGATTTCTCCTTGCATCTGCTGAAGATGGAGGAGTGGCCGTTAATGGAAGTCCATTGTCAAGATCCGGCGGTGATTTCGGTGAGATGAGGGCTAAACTCGCCGGATCATTACAAGACGAAAACTACTGTATTGGACTCATCCAGTCTCTGCACGATGCTGCAAGAACTCTTGAGTTTGCAGTAAGAGAGAAGGTTACTCCGTCCAGATTTTCGTGGTTTCAAGCTAACTGGCTGGGTGATGATAGAAACGCATGGGTCAAGACTCTTTCTTATCAGGTGTTTACGTTAGTCTAAATCCTCTTCTCCACTTTGAAAACGAAGTGTTTCTTTTTCTCTAATATGCTTAATTCATCTTAAATTCATGATTATGCAGGCTTCTCTTTACTCCTTACTACAAGCTGTGAATGAGATTTCATCTAGAGGAAATAACAGAGACGAGGATGTTAACGTCTTTGTTCAAAGAAGGTAACTGCAGGAAGGTGCTATGTAGAACTTAACCTTTTGGGTTATTTTACTTTTTGCTTATTTTTTTTTATTTCTTTGGCATCATACAGCTTATCACGCCAAGCTTCTCCCCTTGAGAGTATGATGCGGGAGAATCTATCTTCCAAACATCCTGAAGCATATGAATGGTTTTGGTCTGAGCAAGTTCCTTCTGTAGTGACGTCTTTTGTGAATTATATTGAAGGGGATCAACGATTTCTTGCTGCCACTTCTGTGTATGTTTTCTCTTTCAAAACTCCTTCTTTTTGGTTTAAACTTACTGTGAAACACTAGTTTTGAATGTGGAGTTCTGATGAACTGAAGATGCTTTATGTTTCATTTTCAGCTATGCGAAAGGAAAGTCAGCTGCAAGTAATGAGATCGAGGTGTCACTTCTCATGCTTGTGCTCCATTGCATTGCAGCAATCACGAAACTTGGCCCGGCAAAATTTTCCTGCCCGCCATTCTTTTCTTTGGTTCCAGATACAGCTGGAAGATTGATGGAGAAATTTGTAGACTTCGTTCCACTGCCTCAAGCCTATCATTCAATCAAAGGCATAGGCCTACAAAGAGAATTTCTTACTCATTTTGGTCCTCGCGCAGCATTGGGCAGAGTAAAAGGTGACTTTGCTGCAGATGAAGTTGTTTTCTGGGTCGATCTTATGCAGAAACAACTGCAGCGGGCTATAGATCGGGAGAAAATATGGTCGAGGTTAACAACATCCGAAAGTATAGAGGTAAGGACTAGACGCGTCCCAGATGACACATCTAAGCAGCTTTTTAGGCTCATAATATCAGGAACATAATAGCTTTTCTAGATTATTATGGATCATCCAGTTCCATGTTGAATATGCTAGATTATCATCTATTTTGCTCTCCTTGTTAGTGCTATTTCGAGCATGAGAAAGTGGCACAAACAGGTTACTGTGGTTCCATGTTTGTTTCGGTTTTAGCCAGCAGTAAGATTCATGGCTGTGTACTTGTATCCAAATCTTCTGGAGTTAACTGGGACCTGTTTGTGTCTTGCAGGTTTTGGAGAGGGATCTAGCGATTTTTGGATTCTTCATTGCCTTAGGCAGGAGCACGCAGTCCTATTTAGCTGCAAATGGTTTTCATTCTCTGGAGAATCCTTTGGAAGACCTTGTTAGGTTACTGTCACCGTTTCACCCTCTTTCAATCACCACTGACTTTTGTAAGTTTGTGTGTTGCTTATCACTCTCTTGTCTTACACTCGTTAACTTCTTTAATTCAGGCATCTAATCGGAGGCAGCGTCCTGTACTATCCTCAACTCTCAGCCATCAGTTCGTACCAACTGTTTGTAGAGGTAGGCTTAAATCAATTCATCGGCGGCAACTCTCTCCAACCATTTTTGAGCTATATTAAATTATTTTGTTGTGTAGGTTGTTTGTGAAGAACTAGAATGGATTCCTTTCTATCCAAACGATACTGGCGCACAGCCTCCAAAACAATCGCATGGGCATAGGAGCAAACCAGAAGGGCCACCTAATTATGAAGCTATTCCCCAAGTGCTGGATGTTTGCTCTTATTGGCTACAGAGCTTTATCAAACATAGTAAATGGCCAGAGAATCCTTCTAATGTCAAGGCAGCAAAATTCTTATCCAAGGGGTATTTGGCGTATCCTCTACTCAATAGTTGGATAAAAGTAAACAAAATAATTAGCTATCGGGTTGACTTTATTTCTTAATGTTTAGGCACAAGTGTGTGATCCGGTGCAAGGAAGAACTGGCTATATCAAAGTAAGATAACGGAAACTCCCCTATCTATCTATGATCTATGCACTCATGCCTGCATTTGGAAAATTACTGTCCTGTCTGATTGGTAAATTGTACGCAATTTGAGAATGTACAATGCTACAATCAATTGTGTGGAAAGCATCCTTGACGGTCATCTCCATGAACTTTGCATTTGTCACATTCATGATTCTGGGGTCTGCCTTCAGTTAGTATCAGTTCAGTACAGTCTGCATTTGGATAATTTTTGATGCAAGATGGAAGTAACAAAAATCAGTTTTTTTTTACAGGAATGCGTCATCAACTGTTAGAGAGTCGGATTCATTTGACAAGGTTAGTCTTCTATGAATGTTTACTGGGAATACTACTTGGATCTGATTCCTTTGAAAGAATGTTGTCATATCGAATACAATATATATACTAACAGTACATAATCTCCAGGCCTTAGAAAGTGTAGATGAAACCCTCGTGAGACTGGAAAGCCTGCTACAGGAGTTGTATGTATCAAACTCATCGTCTGGAAAGGAACAAATAAAAGCCGCTTGCTCTGACCTAGAGAAAATAAGGAAGCTTAAGAAAGAGGCTGAATTTTTGGAGGCAACTTTCAGAGCCAAAACAGCTTCCTTGCAACAGGTTTTTATATTTCACTCTCATTTTTGTTTTGATCCTGTCAAGATTTGAGTATGATATATCTGGACGCTAAGATTGCATGATATATCTGAGTATGATGGACCAAAGCAAACTAATTGTATCCCTCTTTACGCCGTGTAGCATACTAACACCTCGTATGGTTAACTCAGGGAGGTGACAAAAATGATTCTCAGGAATCCTACAAGGTACAAAAACGGTATTTTAAAGGGAATGGCACAAAGAATGCAAGTAGTTCTGAAGATCAAGGCAAAAAGTATGCCCACATATTGCTTAGTATTATTCCTCTACCATGTTAGTTTGAACTATATAAACGTGATTACTCTGTTTTTCCACTCTGGTAACGATGACGTATTTGTTGTTTGCCTCTGCATTAGTATGAGTCGTGGATTCTGGGGATTCTTTGTGCGGTCTCCAAAGAGTAAGCCTGATCCTGAGTTATCGGTAAGCTCCATTTTGTGATATTGACTCAAGTATTCTGCCAACGGGATTTGAATATGTAGTATCCTGTAATCTTTTGAAGACTCTTTTCCATAGTACTCTGCATTTGTCCTGTCAGTTAATTAGCTTATAATACTACTTTGTTTTCTTTGCAATAAGGAGATGATTCAATTCGTTTATAGTCTAGCCATTTCCAGTCTAGCACGGATAAAGGTTTCAGAAATTCTTTTAGCTGATGCAGGGAGATGAATATATTGGGGAACCCAGTGGAAACTTACTTAGCATGAACTCGGAGACAAATGAGATTAGTCGGTTCGAAATTTTAAGGAACGAACTGATAGAACTGGAAATGCGAGTCAAAAGAAGCACTGATCAGTCAACAGATGATGAGGTTAGTAAGTAGCTGCTGCTGCAAGAAGTCTCAATAGAATTTTAACAATGCACCCATTTCCTCTGCGTCTATTTGTCACCCGTACAAGCTTCGAACTGTTTGTTCATATACTGCAGGAGAGAATCTCTGAGGATCCTCCTCAATTAATCAGTAGAACGAAAGGCGGTCAGTTGATTCAGATTCCAAAGAAGGAAAACATAATCGAGAAAACTCTTCACAAGCTAAGAGAGGCCTCAACGGTAATAAATATCTCCTCTAAAGACTAAAGCTCTATAGCGTGCTTCTGTGTCATGGGGTCATTGTCTTTTTCTCAGTCGGTTTTATTAACATTTTTCTATATACAGGACGTGTGGCAAGGTACTCAGCTTCTTGCCATTGATTCAGCAGCTGCTGTGAAGCTACTTCGGAGGTCTTTGATTGGTGATGAATTAACAGAAAAAGAAAAGAAAGCTCTGCGCAGAACCATGACCGACTTGGCATCAGTTATTCCCATTGGTATTCTTATGCTTCTTCCTGTAAGTCAAAAATAACCTTACATGCAAGTTTATGTTTTATATACTCTGGTCATGTTACACATTTTGTTTGAATTTCTCCGAGCTACATCTTTAATTAGTTTTTTTGTACAAAACTGTGGAGCTGACCTCTGCAGTGTCAACATTCCCAGCTCCATTTTATAGTATGGGATATATAATGAGTAAGCCTATTGTAAACAGGTAACAGCGGTTGGTCACGCAGCTATGCTTGCTGCAATTCAGAGATATGTCCCAGGCCTGGTACGCACACCTTCTCTGTATAGATCCATCAGAATTCAAAACCTTCTCTCTGAATCAGTTTTGATGAATACCTTCTTCATTCAGATTCCTTCCACATACGGGCCAGAAAGGTTGAACCTGTTGAGACAGCTTGAGAAAGTCAAGGAACTGCAAACAAATGAGACTGATTCCGAAGAAGGCATCGAGGAAATAGCATCTGACTAGAAGGAAGCGATATATTACTTCTCTTTTCAATTTGTTCGGTAATTCATCGCCAATAGCTGCGCGTAGAGAATCTCGTTCCATGTGTCAGGTACACCGGGTAAGCACCAGTGACTGCAATCCTGAGGAGCATCGGTAGGAGTTCCCGGTTCTCGATACCGCGAAGGATGAGCATCTTTCCTGAACTCGGTCAGATATGTAATGTTCAGAAACTCAACCTTACTATGTTCATATCTCATTTCTTGTATTACTTCAGATATATAATTGTTATGGATAGGGTCAGGTTCCATCTTCTTCATATCAATCTCTGGCTCTGTATCTGCATCACACAAACCACCCAAGTTCCATGTCCCATTCCTGCAACGCCCAAAAAGCTTAGTGAAAACCCAGATTCTAGAGACTCTTGTTTGATTTAGCATCTCATAGATTGTTACCTGTAATGCACAGGAGAAAAGCTTCTGAAGAAGACATGGCTACTCTCAGAATCTAGTCTCTCTAAAACCCATGACTTCCATGTCTTTAAAGACTTTCCAAATCCCTCCATTACTCCCATCGTCTTGTTCAGTTTCCCTCCCTCCTGAAAATAGCAACCCCTGCAACAACAACATAAACCGGTAAGAGTATCTATCAGTCTCACCTTTTGTTTTGTTCCCAGAATGTTGAATTCAAACATGAAGAAGATTATTACGAGCCAAAGGTCTTGTCTTCGTTCCACCAATGTCCTGTATTGAAGACTAGAACATCAGACCCGGCCCATCTTTTCGACTGCCAGTTAAACTCGTCGACTCTAATCGTCATTTTAACATCTTCCGGTGCGTTCTCAGGTGGCCGAGCAACCACGACCAGAAACGGGGTTCTATGATATTCGACGGTTAGGTTTTGTGCCGGAAATCTCATCGAAAGGAATCCCTTATGCTTGCTTATAGGGTTTCCGTTTACTTCATATATCTCAGATTTATTAGACACAGCTTGTGAAAGCATACACAAAAGAGATTCCCATTGATTTCTTCCGATGGAATCTCCGACGAACACAATCCTCCCGTTCCGGCTCCTCTCCAGGAAATCACTTGCGTTGAATCTATAATCGTGACACACCAATAAACCAAGTCACCTTAGTTAACAAAACCAAAATAAGAAATTGAACTTGACTGGCGCGAGAGTCATAACTAAAGTGTTTAAAAGTTTCAACCTTTAAGCAATTTAAACTCTAAATTGGACAAATTTTCACTTTATTGTTTTCTATTTAAATGGTTTTCTACTTTTCAGAAGCACTGTTTGAATCAATGAATTGCTTCTAACCCTAAACGCTAAATGTTTGTTTCAATCCAGACTAATACCTTAAGTTCCAAGGAAAAGTGACACAAGAGTGGCAATATTACCGTGGAAGATCGCAGCCATGTGGTTGCCAACGCCATTGTCGAAAACCAGAATCTTTTCTTCCGTTATTCAGACAACGAAAACCAGGATCCAGAAACCGACACTCTTCTCCGTAAGAGGTTTCGTCCACGTCACGGCGTTGTCTACGAACCCATCTTCCGTTTGAATAGTCACATACGTCGTCGTTTCTTCCTTCCTTCGATATGTTTCTCCATGACGATAAGAATCCGAAACAGAGATGAGGCTCGATGCCGGCAAGATCGACGACGATAACGGAGATGATTAGGAAGCTGATGAGAAGAGAGAATACGAAGAATATATGTTTCTTGTTCTTGAAGGTTAAGAAGAAAGGAGATGGAGATAAAGAGAAGAGCTGCTTCAGAGAATTCGATTCTTGATGATGATCCATGTCGCATAAGATCTCTCTCTCTTCTCTCTGTGTAAAAGAAGAGACGTGAAAATTGTGAACATACGATCTTCTTTTGCCAGAGAGGAAAGTAAATAATAAATATATATGTTTCGACAAAAGCAATAAATTCGTAATTAATTATTAATAGATCTCCACTATCAATTCATCCATGTGACAGACACAAACTATTGATAGATGCATCCCACAAAATCAATTAACGTATAATAAAAGAAGTTTCCTCCCATGTTAGCTTCTTCATATTTAAGATGGAAACAACTGTCAATTTCCCAAGATTTTAAAAGTTAAAACTATATTTTTTCATCTGAAGTATAAAAAAATAAAACTTATCAGTTTGATGATTTTCTTCTAGCAATCAACGCGGGTAGCTTTATATACGAAAGTATTGTAAGATAATGAAAGAGAGCTTATATATTTATAACCTATAAAATCTTTGGGGTATGTTTAGATTATCTTGAGTATTTTTGGGAAAAGGAAAAAAACTCTCAAGATTATCTTTAATATGATACACGAAGCAGTTAACCGACACAGGATTCTGTGGGAATGGGCTGGAGAAGGATAACATCAATAGGGGTTGGGTCGGTTTAGAGGTGAACCAACCTGAGATTATTATTCGACTTATTACAGGTTAGGTGTGTTTAATTACGCTAACCGATTTGAGTCGGTAGTTGATTGATTAGGTTAATTAGGCGATTCCAAGGAAAGTATGGCTTAATGAATCAGGAAAGAGATTGGTGCCATGGCCGGTTCAGGAAATAGAGATATAACGTGCGACGCAAGTTAAGTGGGAAAACAAAGTTTTTTAATTTGAGGGAGGAGGATCGGTAATTGACGTTCATGTTGTCAAAGCAAGCACTTACCATGTTGTATAATGTTTCTAATCATAAAAACGGAACGCAAAGAAACAAATGAGACCTAAACTTATTTTGTAAAATATCTTGTAAAAGGATGCTTCAGATATTCGTTCTACACTTTCTTTGCAATGCAAAAGAAAAAAAGAAAAAGAAACAATAGAGAATCAAAAGTAGAGAGTAGTATAGAATAAAATGGTCCCTAGGTTTTACTTTGGACCAGATAGAAAAGGCGATGTAAGTTGTAACACAACATACATTTTACACACATGCTTTAATCATTTGTTAGCCCCCACACTCTTTTCTTCTTGTAATCTCATCCCATGAATCTCAACACTTCCCAATTCATCTTTCGTCATCATTGTACATGATACATACTATGATACATGCACATACATATATATATATATATATATATACAGGCTACATGTGTGTGGGGATGTCTAGCTAACCTATTAGGGACACCTGCTCTCAAATGGCATTTGTTAAAGCTTGCTTCATTGAATTTATCTCAGATTCTCTGGCATCAAATAATAAACACTTCCATGTTTTGTACTCTAGGCCACAACCACAAATGTAGAGAAGAAAAATAAAATAAAACAAATCTCCTCTCTTTTTTTAACATTTTTTCCAAGTTAGTTAAATAAGTAAATACATAACGAAATTATGCTGATTTTAATTACCCTCCTTTTTGGGTGTCATCATCTCTATGACATTTGGGCCAAGTATGGGCCCATAATCTAAAGTCAAAGACTAAAAAAGTTGTCACTTCTTTTTGGATATTATCAACCTCGTCCATCTCCTACCTGCTCCATTGCTTCCCCAGCAAATGAAATATTCTGTTTCACAAAACAAACACACAATTGACAATTCTATGATTAATTAACCATCACCAATTATTCTCCATAAAATTGTAAGAGAATAATGTTTTTAAATTTTTTCTTATAATATACTTTTAGCTTAAATATTTTTTATCAGCTACTTATAGTTTAAAATTGAAACGACAAAGTTCGCAATAGAGTTTGACTTCTACAAAAACACGACGGTGCCAAACAAATAAGAATAGTAAAACTAAAAATAGATATAGTTGATGCATGCATATATAGATTAACTAATCAAACTTGATTTTTTCTTTTTTTTAAAAAGTAGGCTACAGAAGAAGAAGAAAAAAATCATGCTAGGCTACAAGTTATCATCAACAAACTGGCCATGTGCGTTTACAGTCAAGTGCAGTATTATTCTCCCTGATTCCTTTTCATATATAATTTATTAAACAAAATCTCTCTCAGGTCTAGTATCATAAAATACTAATTTCATCTGTCTCGTCTCGAGAAACAGCCACGACATCTGTTCAATACTTAATCAATTCAATTTATATCATATTTAATCAGATAGTAGCATATACGTACTAACGTCACCAAATTGAATGCGACAACAAAAAACTGTAAAATGATTTACCATGGGAAGAGGGGTTGAGTAGTAGTAAACGTGTTGGCCGTTATAGCCGTCGGGACACGGTGGTGGCTCGACGACGTCACCATGACATTCGAGGTTAACGCCGAATAACCTCACCGTCCTCGAGCTCCCTGCAACCACCGTTGGTGTCTCAGCGACGGCGCCTACAATTTTCCACCGTGACGACACGTGCGCGTCTTTTAGTTATAATTGTTTGTAATAAATTGATTAAAAGGAAGAAATAAAGAGCACGTTAGTCTAAGTGCATTGGACGGTTCTCTACACGCGCGTGTAACGGATTAAAAATACAACTTGGCGAAGATTATTGAAAAATGTCGGGTTTTTCTTTGTCCAGAATTAAAATGACATAATAGCGAAAAACAAAGAGATATCTCTATGGCGAAATGTTATCTCAGGTTGTGATTATGCATCATACACACGCAACTAAACTAATTGTCAAACATTTTAAGATAAAGAAAACAACTCATTTGCGTTTTAATTCCGACAAGATTTGTAAGAACTAGAGAAGCTCCACCAGTTGATTTTCTAGATCGATCCAAGCCTCAATGGAAATTTCCAAGCATGTTTTTGAAACAAAAGTAAAACATACTTTATAGAAGAAAAAAAATCTTTAGAATAACCGAGGATATATAGAAGAAAATGAATATTTCTCTTTGTAAACATAAATGGTGTAAATCTAAAACACCATGCGTAAAATAATAATCTAGATGATATTTTAAAAATACCATGTTAATATGCATTAAAAGTTACGAAACATATTTGTTTTTGAAAAAAGACATTATCTAGAACAAATAATCTCGAAGAGAGAAAAAAAAAACAGAAAGGGTATAAATCTGACATATATAGATAAGAAAGAAACAAAAAGAAAAGATAGGAAATAAAGAAGTTACCATAGTGTGAATACTCTTGGTGAACGTTAGGGTAAGAAGTAGTTGACGCGTGTACTTGACGATAAGGCGTGGTGAAGCCGCTCCAATACGGCGTCGTGTTAACTCGAGCCTCTTGAGATACGACGGAGACGGCGGAGGAAGAAGAAGCCTCGCCGCGTCTCCGCCAGCCAATGAAGAGCCTATGGAGATCGAAACGGTGCCGTTGAAAGAAAACGACGTCGCCTGCGTCGAGGTGCTTGTCTTTGACATACCTGCTCCATCCTTTGGTCAACACGTAGCTTTGACTACTGTTCCAATAAGAGTATCTGAATTTCCAACACTTGCCTGACTCGTCCTCGAAGCTAAGAAGCATCCCTTTCTCCGTCGTCTCCGCCACCACTTCATCTCCGCCGCCGACGCCATTATTGAGAGGGAAATATTTCTCGGCGTGTTGTTTTGGTATGACTAAGCGGTTTAGCTTCCCGACGTCGCTTGGTGTGAGTATTTTCTCGAACAAAGACTCTCTTTGTGCTACGGCGTCGTTTTGGTGGTGGTGCAACGAGAGAGCGTTGTGGTGGATGTCTCTTGAGTAATGGTTTACTGACATTTTTCTTTCTTTTTTCTTGGAGTGAGAGAGAGTATAGAGGATTTGCAGAGGTTTGGTGGTGAAAGAGAGATGGGTTATGGTACTAATATAGTATTATATGAGAGAGAGAGAGAGGGAGTGAAAAATTGTGAAAATAGTTAAATTGATGTGAAAACTGTGGGAACTATTTGATGTAGATGAAGAGGAGGAGGACACGACATCGATAGTACTTTTAAGGTTTTGCGTGATGATATTTCTTTTCAATCATTATTTTATTTTTCCTTTTTTGTTGCTGTTGTTCCATTGTAAATCAAGTTAACATTTAAAAATATAGTATTGGTTTCTTTTTCTTTTTTTGCTAAAGGGTAGTATTGATTTCTTTTAGTTCTCGTTTGATAAATTCTTCTCTACGACATTGGATCCCAAGATGTTCTATTGTTATATATAGTGTAAGAAAATAATCAAATGGTTTTAGTGTAAGTGTCGTTTTGTCGTAATGTAGATATTTTTCATAATAAATATGTCGTTTATGAACATATATGTCTCAATATAAATCAGAGTAGAAAAATATAACGATATATAACACCAAGATTGGTGATTACGTTTTTCTTTTCTTTCTTTCTATTTCTTTAATTAAAAAACTTTGGTAATTACGTAGTTACGAATACATAGAATGAATAGCTTTTTTCTTTCAAATGATCCGAATTCAAGTTCTATTTGAGCAACCATGGGTCAAAAGATTCGAGACTTTCTGATTATTAAACAAAAATCTGTGACATTATGAGCTAACAAGATCTTATGGACTATCAGTTTCTCAAAGCAGATAAACCTTATTTGTCAAGCAGCCATAAATGTGTGGCTTGCGTGAGCCAGACGATCCATTTTTCAATATGGAATTGCAATTCTGCTAACCGAGTCACCATTGGCTTCTAAGGGTTTAAATTCTCATAAATGGTTGTTATGTAACCTACCTCGTGCCTAAGAGCTGGCTATATGCATTTACTTCTTATATTCCTTTTTATAACCGAAATACATATATATATATATATAGCCGAGAACCTCACTACAAACCATTTTTAAGTGGCGATAAATTACTTGGAAGATGATAAAGGACAACAAATTTCTTCCAACCATTTGGTTAATATTTTATTTTGTGAAGGGGGAAATATTAAAGTATTTGTCGAATTAACTTTTAGTTACAAAGGAATAAATATTGATATAAAGTTATGGTTTTTTATTTCTATTTGATAGTTAAGAAAGCCAATATATAAATTTAATGATAATTTGGTGTAATCACTTTTATTATTATATTTGTGTTCATTAATTTACGAATACAAGCAGAGTTATACTATATGAATCCGTTTATACAAATGAGAATGACAAAGAAAAAAATACTATCCTATTTTTGGTAGTTATCAATTGTTAAGCACTCTTTATTCGTAGAGAAGGATGATACTCCATATCATTGCCCGGAACAGTACCGAAGACTCGTGGGTAAGCTCATATACTTAACATATACTCGGCCTGATCTTTCTGGGTTGAAACTGGGTCTTATGAGTTAAGCTGAAGCATCAAACCGAGCTAAGAAGGTGAAGCAAGTCAGATCTGGAAAAGTAAAGGTTTGAGCTTTATCTCTCTCTCTGGTTGAAAGGTCTAGTCTAGAGGAATCAGTTTAAGGCAAAGGTTGTGGATAGATTAGTGTTGCGGTTTGGCTTGTGGTTTGAGTAAGGAAGGTTCGAAAAGTTGGATCTTTGGTCTTGGAAAGTGTTAGTTTTGGTGTTCAATAAGCGAAATACTTAAGCTTTGGTGATGGCTGCTCTTCAACAAGCTCCTATGCCTGTTACGGTGTATGATGGCAAGATGAATGACACCTTCAAAGACTTGAGATTTGCGGTAACTCTAAATGGGAACAACTTTCTGTTGTGGAAGCGAACAACTCTGAATGTGTTAGGAGGAAGGAAGCTCACAAAACACATTGAGTTCACCTATGAAGAGCTAAAGGCAATTGATAGAGGTCTGGATGAAGATACTTGGAAGCAGTATGATCTGAATGTGCTGACTGCTCTACACTGCTCACTAGAGGCGTCAATTCTAGAAGGCTATTCGTACTGTGAGACTGCTAAGGAGCTGTGGGATACTCTTACAAGTGTCTTCGGCAATGAGTCTAACTTGACTCGGGTCTATGGTATCAAGAAAGCTCTCGGAAATCTGAGCCAAGAAGAGAGTGACTTCAACACCCATTTCGGAAGGTATAGATCGTTGGTTGCTGAGTTGGATATGTTGAGACCCTTTACCACTGATGCTAAGACACTCAAGGAGAGAAGAGAGCAAGATCGTGTGTTTGGGTTGCTTCTGTCTCTGAATCAAGGCTATACTGATGTAATCCAGCACATCTTGAGAGAAGACAAGACTCCTACCCTAGAGCAAGTTTGTGCTAAGATACAAAAGGAGTATGGCAATCAGGAGCTGTTTGGCAACAAGAATGCAAGTCTACCTACGGCAAACAAGGTGGGAGTGGCAAAACATGGAGACAAGAAGACATGGGTTTGTGAGCATTGTGAGAAAAAGGGTCATCTCAAAGACAAATGCTGGATCCTACACCCTCATTTAAAGCCAGATAAGTTCAAGAAGGACAAGATGAAGGCGAATGTGGCAGAAGCAAGTGAAGGCTCCGAAAATGCTGAAAGAGCTATGGTGCAGTTCGGTCATCATGAGAAGGCTTTACAAGCTATACAAGACAAGAGCTCAGCTTCCACCTCTCAGGAGACCATTGTGATGAACAAAGCTGATCTAGAGAGCCTCCTTCAATCCATTGCATCTAAGTTACATCCAGGCGGTATATCTCTCTTATCTTCTAACTCTAGTGATTTAAACTCATTAGTATTAGACTCAGGAGCTTCTCACCATATGATTAGTAATCCTAAGTTGTTAGAGAACATTAAACCGGCTTTAGGGAATGTTAAGGTTGCAAATGGTCATAATGTGCCAATAGAAGGTATAGGTTATATTAATGTGTTTAACAAGAAGCTAAGTGCCTTTTATATGCCTAAGTTCACCTCTAATCTCCTTTCTGTAAAGAAAACTACTAAGGACTTAAACTGTTTAGCTATTTTTAGTCCTAATGATGTTAAGTTGCAGGATATTGAGAGTGGAAAAGTGTTTGGGCAAGGCAGCACCAAGGATGACTTATATGTGTTCCAAGACATCTCTTTAAATTCTGTTTCTAAGAATAATGTTTCTTCTATCTTTGCAAACTCTGTTAAGACATCTGTTGTTTTATGGCATGAAAGACTTGGTCACCCTCATTCTAGAGCCTTAAGTTTACTAATGCCTGGTTTTTCTTATGATTGTGCAAATTGTGAAGCATGCATATTAGGCAAACATTGCAAAGCTGTTTTTCCTAAGTCTAGTGCGATTTATGAAAAATGTTTTGATCTTGTGCATTCTGATGTGTGGTCTTCACCTTGTGCATCTAGAGATAACCATAAGTATTTTGTCACATTTATAGATGAGAAATCTAAGTATACTTGGGTAACCTTGATGCCTTCTAAGGATAGAGTTTATGATGCATTTATAAACTTTCAAAACTATGTGACTAACTACTTTGATGCAAAGATTAAGATTTTAAGAACAGATAATGGAGGTGAATATACAAGCAACAAGCTCAAAGAACACTTAGAGAAATGTGGAATTCTTCATCAAACCAGCTGCCCATATAACCCCCAACAAAATGGTGTTGCTGAGAGAAAGAATAGGCACCTAATGGAGGTGGCAAGGGCTATGCTATTTTCAAAAACACATGCCTAAGAGGTTTTGGGGCGATGCAGTAATGACAGCTTGCTATCTCATCAACCGAACACCAACTCGTATCCTTGATGATAAATCTCCTTTTCAAATCCTAAATAACTCAAATCCTAGTATTGACCATTTGAGGGTGTTTGGTAGTCTGTGTTTTGTGTTTGTTCCAGGTGACTTAAGGAACAAGCTGGAGCCTAAGAGTAACAAGTGCGTATTCATTGGATACTCAACAACTCAGAAGGGCTACAAGTGCTTCGATCCAGTCACCAACCGGTACTATGTGTCAAGGGATGTCAAGTTTTTGGAAGACAAAGCCTACTTTGGGGAAAAGAGTTGGGAGAGTGTGAAGGACCTACCTAACTCAACCGCTGATAGAGCTTCAAGCCTCCGACGAATTCTGGAGCACTTAGGGAATGCAAGCTCCCCTCAGGCAGAAAAGGAAGCTCCATCATTTCCAAATGAGGATGTGCATGAAGTTAGAGAGGATGAGAACAATGCATCTCAGGATCTTTTGGATGATCACCAAGAAAGTGATAGAGGAGAGAAGTCTAGTGAAGAAGTGGCAGAGACGGGTCAGTCTAGTGAAGAAGTGGCAGAGCAGACGGGTCAGTCTAGTGAAGGAGAGGTCATTGAATCGGGTCAGTCTAGTGAAGGAGAGTTCATTGAATCTTCAAGCGATGACGATACCTATCAAGCTCCACAAGTTACACCAGATCCAGTCTACACTCGGGAGAATCAAAGAAAGAGTACAAGAGAGAAGAAATCCCCCTCAAAGTGGAAGAATACGAGAGTTTACTACAACTGCCAAGCTGTAGCTCATCCAATTCAAGCTACTTGTTCGATTGACCTTCTTCCGGAGGAGCATAAAGCTTTTATCAGCAAGCTGGATGTAGAACTCATCCCACAAAGCTATGAGGAAGCCAAGGAAAGTAAGGAATGGACTAATGCTGTTGATGATGAGGTTCAAGCTATGGTGAGGAATCAAACTTGGGTTGAAGAAGAACTACCAAAAGGAAAGAAGTGTGTTAGCTCAAAGTGGGTATTCACCATTAAGTACAAGAGTGATGGTGAAATCGAGAGATATAAGGCAAGGCTGGTTGCAAGAGGGTTTACCCAAACTTATGGGGATGACTATAGGGAAACATTTGCTCCAGTAGCTAAGCAACATACAGTGAAAGTGGTTCTCTCTTTAGCAGTTAATTTGGATTGGGAGTTGTGGCAAATGGATGTCAAGAATGCTTTCCTTCAGGGGGAGTTAGAAGAAGAAGTCTACATGTCACCTCCTCCGGGTTTAGAAGACATAGTGGCTCCGGGAAAGGTCTTAAGGCTTCGGAAAGCAATCTATGGGCTTAAACAATCTCCAAGAGCTTGGTATCACAAGTTAAGCTCTACACTACTGGCTAATGGCTTCAAGAGGTCACACTCTGATCACACTCTATTTACTAAGCAAGATATTCATGGCATAGTAGTAGTGTTGGTCTATGTGGATGATTTGATTATTTCAGGGAGTAACAAAG